ATGATTTGTTTAATCGTGGCTATTTCATTGGTATTGTTTCCCTGACCTTCTGGTACTTCAATGATTCTAATCTTGTTCCTTTTAGAATCATCTCTTAGGACTCTGATTTGCTTTAGAGCTAGTTTGAGGTCTCTTGCCATTGTTTGTTATTATATGTAAGCTTTCTGCAGCTGTTCTTCCAGCTCACTGATTCTGTCTTTAGCTGTGGCCGTTCTACTGTTGAGGGCACAGAATGAGTTTTTTATTTCATCTACCGAACCTTTTATTCGTGATATTTCTGTGCATAGCTTTCCAATTTCTGCTCTCTTTTCTTCCTGTATTTTCTCGATTATTTCTCTCATGTCCTCCTTTAAGTTACCAGATATCTGTTTCACTGTTTTATTGAGTTAATTGAACATCTTCATTACTTCATATCTGAATTCTTTCTCTGAAAGGAACTTAATGAGGCTTCTGGAGTCTTTTCATCATCTTCACCTTGTGGTGGGGATTTGCATTGTTTCTTCATGTTGGTGTGGAGCTGTGGAGACTGAGATTTTACATGAGATTTCTGGGTATGAGTAAATTACCTGCAGCCACGTGAGTGACTGCTGGCCCAAAATTAGGCCATGCCCAGTTCTCCAGAGGCCACACCCACTTCTGAAGAGGCCACGATCCCTATCAGTACCTGGTTTTGGGGGGGATACACCCTGGGGGAGGAAGAAAACTGGGCACAGCATTGGGAACGAACAGGATGAGGCTCAGGGATGGTGAGCATCCTAGGGTCCTAGAGGACGCCTGGGGCACGTACGCAGGGAAAGCCAAGTTCCGGGTTCCAATGATGACTTTGCTGGGGGAGGAAGAAGAACCACTTCCGTGCTTCTTGAACATGCACTTATCCTAACTCTGAAAGCTTTTCCCTCGGTGATCTAAACTTCAAACATTGACTTGCCAATTAAGATTTATCACGACCATTTCATTTAGATAACTTCACCTCTTCTCCAATCTTTATCTACTCCTCTAGATCATTTGTCACTTTTCATTCCATTGTTCATCTATTTTCTCGAGTGGGCACCAGTAATGTCCCCATTTATCCCTATCACGTGTTAGTGTAGCCCCATGGTATCTGCTCGCTCCAGGAACATGAAGAGCATCAAACTGTTCATCCAGGGTCTTAACAAAAATTCAGACCATCTTCTAGGTGGGCGACCAGGTGTTCTTTTGACATACCCTGGAATCTGGTTGGTAACGGCTATAGTCTAGTGTTTGTCTCCAAATTGCATTATGCGTCTGGCCCATCTGATTTTCGATGACTTGGCAAATGAGTCAGCATCCCTGATCTTTGATCATCGATGGAGGTTGGAACTCCAGATGCCTTCTCTCACTTGTGAAGTGTGATACTCCAAGCATACCTCTTTTGATTCCTCTTTGGGTTACACAAATAGTGTTCTCATCCTGCTTTTGTAGGGCTCAGGTTTCTGAGGCATATGTTAATGCTAAAACTAGTAAAATAATGGGCCGAATTCCAGTAACTCCTCTAGATATTTTTATATATCTTCATTAATCTTAAATATTGTCCTCTTATGTTTTGTCATATGGCTTTCTGGCTTCTATATAAAAATAGCAAAGATCACAGATCTGTTTAAACTTGGGCACCTGTTTAAACAACCTAGGTGCCCAAGATGAAGTGGATAAAGATACTGTAGTATATATACAATGTGGTACTAATCATCTATGAGAAAAAACAAAATTATAAAATTTGTCACTTTGTGGTTGGAATTAGAGGATAAAATATCAAGTGAAATGAGTCAGAAGGAGGAGGACAGATGCCAGATAATCAGTCAGATTTTAGATATAAAGAAGCATAGTAAGGAATAACAAGTAGTTGAAAGTAACAGAACCTGAGAACTGGTCTACAGATCCAAGCTTACTAAGGATGTGAGGTAGAAGGGAAATGGGAAGGGACCCTGAGACAATGATGGAGGCAAGCAGAAACATTGTGAAGGGGATGGTAAGAATGAAACCCAATGTTTAACAGTGCTGTAAATCGCAGCACTTCAACATTTTTAAGAAAGGTATAAATCTGTCAATCATTTATCCATCAATTCAACAAATATTGATAAAGTACCTAAAATGATCCAGATTCCATGTTGGATTAAGCTTGTAAAAACCTGTACGTCTAATATTCCCAGCTCATTTTATTGCCTGGCATAGGTGAAGCCTTATACACACATTTTAGTTAATGCCAGAAAAAAAATGCATGTCATATTAACATTTTTCAAGTACTGTATTATTCCATTGGTGTCCATCAGATTTTAATAAGGGAGGGTATTTGATAGAACTTGCCCAGACCAGCCAGAACTCAGTGATAGATTACTCTATTCTGACAGACCTGACTCATTTTTATGTTTATGTGCCACTGGGAGAAAACAATTTTCCTAAAGGAACACTATAGCTTAATGAACTGAAACATTTACAAAAGGTCCCCAAGGTAAAAACAAACAAATAACCTCAATGTTCTATCAGCAAAACCATGGATTTTGTGAGTCTTGAGAAATAAAAAGCATAGGAGCTATAATTTCTACTATTAACTTTATTCTCTATATTTACTGCAAGACATTCTAAGCCAACGTCTCCAGGAGAAAATGTGTGAGGAAATGGGGTTACAGAAAAAGAAGAATATTTATGAAGCAACACCATGCATAGTAAGATTATGCTTGTCTAAAGAATTTCTTAAGAGGCTAATTATTTACTTATTTATACATAAAAAGTGAATAATCTCATAAAATGTATAAACTTGCTTTATAGTAATCTATCTTGTAGGCAGTTGAATTTGAAAATGAATTTACTTCTATAGAAAGTATGTACAAATACAAATACTATTTACGTATATCACGCAACATAATAAGTGTCACTCATTATAAGGAAAATCAAATTTGCTCATTTTTCTGTCAGTTATAAGCAATTAGGCCTGAATGGATTGCCATAATAAAACCTTCCTAATTCTTTAAAGCGTTTCTCACTCAGCACCATGGATAGCGCCAGCATAACCTCTATTGCATGCACTTTTCTTGTAATTATCTCTTCTCAGAGGCAGCCTTTTAACTCCTCTCTCCCAGCAGCCCAAATTCCATATAAAGATCTTTTTGAATTCCAAGTTACCTTCTTAATGCCAATTGACTATTCGAACATTTGTTTCTAAATCCCATCTTATTTACAGCTTTATATATCAAAATGAATCATATGTTTACAAATTTTGCATTTGAAATAGAAGGAAGTATTTCCAATTTAAGGTAGTACAGTATAGTTTAGGCTGGCTTTTAATATGGTTAAAGCAATTATTCATGGTGCTGTAAATTATACATTATTTTAAATTAGACTTTTTAACACAAGTCTTAAAAACACAATTCTCTATTATTATGGTGCTGAGATCCTAAAGATGCAGTTATAGTATTAAAGGTAAAATGGAAAAGGGAAACTCTCTTAATATTAAGTGACTGGAATTCATGGCCCAGGATATAACTTGTAGAAATAACAGAAAATATGGATTCCAAAAGTGCTTTTTCTTAAATTACTCCACTGGGATGGATAATGATATGCTTTAGAAAAGTGGTAGTTGAAGCAGAAAATGGCTCTAAGAAATATATGCAATAATATTGAAGACATAAAAGAATTTTAATTTTTTTTCAAAAACATAGTCAGTAAAAAGCAATTAGAAATTATATATCCCGTGATTTTAATGTACATATTAAATAAAAGCACAGAACATTCTAATATTAATAAGTGACTATTTTATGAAAATTTTAGTTTGTGCATTTGAATTGGTTATATAATTTCCATAAGATGTAGTTACATTTAACTGTATATCCTCATTTCGAGTACAATATTTCTTCTCCCAATGTCTTTCATGTTATGATTCATAAGAACTCCTCACTCCCTTTCTTCCTCTTCCACCTGCTACTTGCATTTTTAAAATCATTTTTAAAATTTTGATTTTTAAATCAGAAAAAGCATCACATCCTTCACAAACCTTTCTTCAGTCAAACCAGGCTGTGTCAATTGTCTCCTCTGGGCTCACTTGTGCTTTCTTCCTAGCACTTAAATACTTTGGCTGCTTGTTACGTTCTCGAAGACCACAAGCTGTAGGAGGGTTAGGAATATACCACCTATATGCTTGCCCTACTGTCCAATGACCCATGGCAGAAGCTCATGGATATATGGATATGCAATAAATTAACAAATGCACTTTCTATAGAAGTATAAATGAGTTTATGGGTGAATTGGTCAGCCTAACGATGGATTTGGGAAGCATTTTAGCTCACTCACAAAGGTGTGTGTGTGTGTGTGTGTGTGTGTGTGTGTGTGTATGTGTATGTGTATGTGTTTTAAGAATGTGGTTACAAAAGAGTTGAGAGGTGAATGCTATTTACCAAGTGTTCTTCCTTTGATCCTGGGTGCTTAGATATATGATCATTCCCCACCTCCCCTCCTGAGATTGATAACAGATTGGTATAAGTGAACACATATTTCAGGTGATATCTTTTGACAATGTTCATCATTTCCCCCCATTATTTTCCACTTCACACCAAGCACTTGGTAGGAGGCACTGAAATTTGAAAGCGGGATAGTCACTAGAACAAAGGGATCTGTGGAGTCAGAATTTGCCACCTACATGATTTCTATTCAAGTCAATGCAAATGACAAATGATTTTATGCTAAATAACAATAAATTGGTATTAGTAATCAAAATCATAATGGTACTGTAACTGCTGAGATTCATTGCTATGATGATTGAAAGACTATATCTTGTAAATGCATTTAATTAGAAAATAATTATTAATAGCCAGTTGTAAGACAATTACTTCAATAGCACAGTTTGAATCATATTCTTTCATCAAATGAAATGTGATGAACATATTCTTTCATCAAGTGGAATGTGTCATGGGTTGTTTACAATAAAACTGTCTACAGTACCTTTCTCAGTAAAACTCAGAGCATACACTATGTGTTAAATAAGCACTTACCTTGATTCCAAGTGCCCCAGGTAATCCAGGTGGTCCACGAAGTCCCTGAGGAAATAAACCATAGAAAGGTAACCATATGATCACCAGTGAGCATTTTCCCATCACAGGCCAAGGTAGGTACGCTATATACTGATGGATCCCAGATAAAATTCTGGTTCTCATGACCACTCTTGTACAAGGGAAACAAAGTGTGTGAATTCTGATCTTGTGTGACCTTGAACAAATCCCTATTTCTCTTTCCCAAGTATTGTCAAGAACAGATATAGGATGGATGGAGAAATCTGGCTCATCCAGTTCCAATGACTGCACTCGTTTGTGCTAACTATGCATGCTGTTATTACCAGCAGACACAGGAGGAAACTTCTTCAATTTTAGAGTGAAAAGGTTTGTGAGATGCAACATAAAGGACTAGAAGTAAAACCACAAGCCTCCCTTTGGGAAGTACTGAAACCAAGAGTCAGAATAAATCAAGAAGCTTGAGCACTGGGGGCCAGAGAATTAGTACAGCAGGTAGGGCACTTGCCTTGCATGTGGCTGATGCAGGCTAGATCCCTGGAATGCATATGGTCCCCTGAACCTGCCAGTAGTAAACCTGAGAGCAGAACCAGGAGTAAGCTTTGAGAACTGCTGAGTGTGGCCAAAAAACAAAAAACTAAAACAAAAACAAAAAAGGGAAGAGTGAGTACAGTCTCAGATGTATTAATAACAAAACTCTCCCACTTTCTAGAAACTGACTTTGGCAAGTGACTCATCTTTTTGAACCTCATATTCCTCATGTATAAAATAGTGCTAACAATACTGCTATGATCTGAATATGTCTGCAAACTCCCACCCAATTTACTATATGCAATCTTGATGCCATGATATTAAGAGGTAGGGTCTTTGGAAGATGATTATGCTATAAAAACAGGATCCTAATTAATACAGTTGAAAAGAACTCCAGCTCCAGCTCAACTGTACAAAAGGATTTTATTACATCAGGACATAACAAGAAGTTAGCAGTCTGAGACTTGGGAGTTTTCTCACTCTCCAAAACCTGAACTTAGAATTCCAGCTTTCAGAACTGTGAAAAATAGTTTTTTTTAATAAGCCACCAGTTTATAGTATTTTTGGAAAGAATCCTGAGCGAAGATATAAATGGTAGTCGTTCTCAGGATAATTGTATAAGACTATCCGTAACTGGTACATAGAGAATGCTAATGCTACCCTAGTTAACGTAATAAAAATGAATGCAGTACCATGCTCTACTGATGTATGCACATCTTTTCACTTAATGATTGGAAACAAGATAGCATCATCATTTATTTTTATGAATTTAAGAAAATTTATAGTGACAATAAAAGAGCAAGGATTGGGATACAGAGAAATTGAGTCCTTTGTGCAAGGTTACACATAGTACATTGTTCTGACTTGAACTGAGTCTCTCTGAGTCTCTTTGGCCTTATTACCTTGTGAGCTTCTGAGAGTGACATTGTCAAATATACGAGTCTTCAGAGTCTAGTACAGAACCTAGAATCGGTATGCTGAGGTAGATTTTATTATTGGTCCAAACTCTTCAGTATTATTCCTATGAGAGGATTATATTTGTCCACTTGCTCACAATGAACTAACAGACAAGACCTCCCCAGGGTGCAATAAACACATGTGCCAGATTGATATGGGGCAGTTTTGAGACTGACTTTGAAAAATGGCATATAAGCAAATGTGACTGATGCATGTCACATACAGGCAAATGATTCTTTGTGTTTCTCAGCAATCAGAAACATTTTTTTAACTGTGAATCCTTTCATTCTGCGAACAAGATCCTTAGGGGATAAGAACAGTTAATCAAATCACAAATGCCAACATGTGAAACAAAGACCTTCTATTAAACCACAGAGATTCTAGAGTTCTTTTCTCTGCAGCAGAACTTACTAATACCTCTCACTATATGTTCAGGATTATAGAATAGCTACAAATATTCATATTTGCAACATCCTTATTGCTTACACATATAAGTCTTCTGTCCTTCTGCCTGGAATCCATTCATTATGCTGTTATGCAAAAAAACATTCCTTTTAGAAATTTTTCTTCTTCTCTAGTGTACCTCAACTCTATATATGGACCAAGGAATCCTCCTTTATGTGCATGCGTAAGGTTGTCCTGAGCTGTGCTTGTCTGCTTTGTAGTCTTGTAACATCTCAATATCACACTTTATCATCTCTGTTTCCCTGTGATCTACTCCATAGCCTGACACAGAATAAGAGGCACACAACACTGAGTGACAATGCCTGAAACATACTAGAACATACTGCTTTCCCCACCATAAATCACACCCTTTCATAGACAGCCCAACTTCAGATTACCACTCAGTTTCTCCAAATTTTAGCTAATTGACCTTCTTTGAGAAGTTTTCAGAGAAATCCTTGAACCAAATACTTACTGGTTCTCCATCTTTCCCCTTCCCAGGAGGTCCGGGGAGCCCAGGAGCACCAGGATCACCCCTGAGGCCAGCTGGTCCTGGGCTCCCTTCTTCACCTGCTGACCCCTGAAATGGAAATTAGGTCAGTTTTCAGGATTAATACCAAGTACAGCATAACTTTTTCAATGGTGAGCCAAGAAAAGTAGGTTGGTAGGATTCCCTGGATGCTTAAAAAAACCTGTTCTGAGGACAAAGAGGTACAGCATAAAATGTGTAATAGATTGGTAGGGCATTTGCCTTGCACGCAGCCAACATGGCAGACCCGAGTTTGATTCCTCCGCCCCTCTCGGAGAGCCCAGCAAGCTACCGAGAGTATCTCGCCCGCACGGCAGAGCCTGGCAAGCTACCCGTGATCGATATGCCAAACACAGTAACAACAAAGTCTCCAATGGAGACGTTACTGGGCCCGCTCGAGCAAATCGATAAACAACAGGAGGTCAGTGACAGTCAGTGACAGTGACAGATTAGACTTGCCTTCCCTCAAGGACTAGCCCTAGACCTAGTTTTAAAAATAATTATTGAGATAAATAATTTAGTTAAGATGAGGTTAAACTCAAGGTGGTCCCTAACCCAGGATGACTGGCATGAGATTTGAGGGAGAAATTAGGACATAGGTATGTAGTGAGAAGACAATATAAAGACACTGGGAAAGGTAGTCATTGATAATCCAAGAGAGAAGCCTGGAAGAGATAGTCTTTTACAATCCTGATTCCACATTGATTTAGAACTCTCAGACAGAATGAGAATGGAGAGAGTCCATTTCTGCTCTTTAATCCATGTAGTCTGTGATACTGTTTTTAAAAGATGGCCATAATTGGGTTTCTAGTGAAAAAAAGTCCACCCAGGACAGGAATCTACTGAATGAGTGACTTATAGGTGTCCCTTCATTTTCTACCTCGTTTTAATTTTTTTAATATCAATTTTGAGGTCATACCCAGTGATGCTCAGGGTTTACTCTTGGCTCTGTGCTCAAGGATCACCCCTGAAGATACTCAAGATACCATATGTGGTTAAGGGATCAAACCCAGGTCTATAGCATTGAAAGGCAAGCACATTACACACTGTACTATCTCTCGGACCCACTACATTTCTTCTTAATCTTTATAAGAGAGCCAATAACTTGTCAATTTCTAATACTGCATTTCTTTGTTGTAAATCTCTATTAGATAACATGTCTTTACTTCATTTAGACAAGATATATAGCACTTTCTTAAATCTCTCAGACATCCAATACTCAGAGTTGGAATTCTAAGGATCAAATCTCCCCACCATAGAACTTCAGGGAAGGGGTGAGAGAGTGGGGAGGGGAGAGGGGAGTGCAAGGACAAAGAATGCCAGGATTTGATGAGTGAGCTGGAGCTCACGCCAAGCAAACGCTTACCTTTATGACCACAAATCTTACAACCCCCATATGCTAGCTCTGGCTGAGGAAAGAGGATTTAGTCACAGATTCTTCCAGAAAGAGTTCCCTTGGGTTTAAGAGCAAGGCCATGTCATCAGATACTCACAGATAAAGAGGAAGTGAGTGCGCATGGGCAGATGATCAGAGACAGGACTAGAGAGAATAGTTTCCCAAAACTAGGGCAGGATGAGCTTCCCCAGTCCCAAACCAGCCACTGGACAATGAGAGGGTCAGTGTTGGCTAGGTTCTCTTAACAACCACTTAAGGCTCCCTCCCAAATTTACCCTCAGGTCTTGGCTCTCACCAGGGATTTCTGCTCACACAATGGAGGTGTTTGGCTCCCCCTAGAGGTTGTATGTGATTTCCCCCCTTTTTTGGGTCACACCTGGCTATGCACAGGGGTTACTCCTGGCTCTGCACCCAGGAGTCACTCCTGGCCGTGCTCAGGGGGACTATATGGGATGCTGGGAATTGAGCCCAGGTTGGCCGCGTACAAGGTAAATGTCCTACCCGCTGTGCTATCACTCCAGCCCCCTGATTTTTTTCTTGTCTGCTCAATTAATCCACAAACCTCACATATTCTTGGTTACCTCCATTCAAATTATCAGCACCTCATTTATAATGTTTTCAAAATATAAAATAGCATCTTAGACTGATACACTCAATGAAATATAAGGGTCAGTAAGATTTGGGGGTGGATAAGCTGGTGCATTAAATTAAGAGGAAGCCAGGGTTAGAAACAAGCACTGTGTGTCTTACCTTCTCCCCACGCTCACCATCTTTTCCAGGGGGGCCTCTGATGCCAGGAGGACCCTGAAAAAATGTTATCAACATGTGAGTTTCAAGACAGACAGGAGTCCCTGTCTATCTTGATAGAAAAGAGTTATTATGTGCCTTTAAGTCAATGGCACCAGCTTTATTCTATTCATTCCTCATTCCTAATAGACTCCGCAGCAATACTTCTCTTTGTCTTTTTTATTATTGCTATTTTATTGAATCACTGTGAGATGCAGTTACAAGTTTTCATGTTTGAGTTACATTCATACAATGATCAAACACACATCCCTCCTCCAGTGCATATTCCCCACCACCAATCTCCCCAGTGTACCCCCCCCCATTCCCATCCTCCCCCTGCCTCGATAGCAGGCAATTTCTCCTCATACTCTCTCTCTACTTTTGGACATTATGGTGTCCAGTACAGATAATGCCCTTTGTCTTAAATAACCCTAACCCTCCTGGCACCACTGCATGTGCACTGTGGCACATCCGGGACCCAAACATGAGGCTCTGACCCACTCCTTGGTAGGAGAGGAAAAGGAAGGTTCCTTGTAGGGCAGACCTCAAGAAAGAGCCTAAGAGCTTGTTCTTGCATCAGAAACTTTACTCGCCAGTGTCTCTGCACCTTCCTGAAGGTTGATTTTGAACAAGGTTCAGGTGGGGAAAAAAGTGTTACAAGCAGGTAGTGACATATCTGTGTGATAGACACCCCCTCCTGGGACATATGTAAGATGAACACCAGGACAAAGAAGCTCAGACATATACAACTTGTTTCTCAGGACTATTTGTTGGTGCTACTGGTCATATGTCATGTGCCTGGACAGTTTCTAAAGGCCATAAAAAAATTCTCAGGCAGACAAATGCAGGGTTGGCTGCTATTTCCACTGTAGTGATATGGACAATGCTATAGCAAAATCTGTGCAAACTATTACAGTTATGACTCCGTCTCCCCATACGTCTATTTCCTCCTGTGCAAACTGGCAACAATGACATGCAATTCCCAGGATTGCTGGATTAAGCAATTTAACATACATAAACCACTTAATATAGTCTTTGATTTGTATAAATGTACAGTACTTGACTTTTAAATCGCCAGATTATTATCCATAAAGGTGGATGACTGACCAGAACTGACCTCATTCTATTTTAGGAACACAAATTCTCTGCTGAACTTGACTATGTACAACTGGGTGTTTTATTGAATGAATTAAAGTCAAAAATCAATATCCATGGTGGATCTTAAAGCTAGTCCATTAGCAGATACCTCAGGCCACATACTGAGAATTAATTTCATTGTGTTAAATGTCCTGGGATGTTAAAGGTAAGTCAACTCAACCCATTGTCTTTAATATGAAGATAAAATTGTGGAGGCCTTAAGGAAAGAAAGAGAGATCTGGAGGCCTGTGAAGGCAGAGTTGTGATTAGAATGCAAATTTCTAAACATCCCTTTGACTTCATTAGGTTCATCGGTCCCTTAAAGCAAATTATGATGCAAATCTTAGCATCAGTGACATTTACAGGCTTCCCGAAGTTTCAAAAATTTCATGTATCCCTGAGTCCTAATAAGATACTTGGGATCTTATATTGGTAGCTTTTTATGTGACATTTATTGGGACATTAAAATTCCCTTTGTAAAATAGAAGAACATCTATATCCCTGAGGTTCAGGAAGGACAACTTATTAATTAGGTAAATGGGTATTGTGGATCCACATCCAGTGCTATCATTGTTCCACTTTCATACCCCTGTTACTCACCATACTTCCTGGGGGGCCACTGGGACCAGGGGCACCAACAAGTCCAGGAGTGCCCTATGTAAAGCAGAAGACATTTAGAAAGACCCTTTGATTTTACTATAAGAAATTATCCCAGTCTTTCTCCCAGCCTTGATTCATGTCATGCTGGATTGTCCAAACCACTTCTAAACAGCCATGACCTTTAAGGGTGAGATCAAGGGCTTCAATATTGAGCATTATAGTCAATCCAGAGAGAGTGGGATCCTGGTATAAGGATAGCACTGTAGCACTGTCCTCCTTTTGTTCATCAATTTGCTCGAGTGCGCCCAATAACGTCTCCATTGTGACACTTGTTTCTGTGTTTGGCGTATCGAATATGCCATGGGTAGCTTGCCAGGCGTTGCTGTGTGGGCGAGATACTCTTGGTAGCTTGCTGGGATCTCTGAGAGGGCTGGAGGAATTGAACTTGGGTTGACCTGGTGGTCTGCGTGCAAGGCAAATGCCCTGCCCACTGTGCTATTCCTCCAGCCCGATATAAGGATGGGAGGTAAATTCTGTAAAGTTCTTAAGACCAAAACACAGAGGAGATAGATGTGGAGGGATGGGAGAAGGAGAAACAGAAAGGACTGCCAGGCACTGCCATGGTAGAGGATCTTAGGTTGGGGGTGATTTTTATCTTAAATTCACATGGAAGAAAGGAAACACTTATATGGAACAAATTGTTCAGAATTGAGTTGAAGAGAAAACACCCTGCAGTGGTGAAGAAAGCAGTTGGCAGAGACACGAATCAGCCCCAGAGATCACCTCACTCTAAAGGCTCCAGCTTCCCAGAGGGCAAAAGAAGCAGGAAAGCCAAAGTATGTGTGTGTGCCTGCGTTTGTGTGCGCTGGCTTCGATGGGAAAATTCTGCCACCTAGAGGATTTGATTTGATTTGATTTGAACTTAACACTGCACCATTCTCTTCCAGGAGCTGGGTTTTATAGTCTCTGGGTCTTGGCTGTTGATGGGATTACACGGCGCCAGGAGGCCAGTTGGTGGGTGTGACCCCTGCCTACTGGAATATGGAGAATCTGGGTGGAGGATGCTAAGCTCTGATCCGAGCAGGCTTGGAGAGAACAGCGCAGAGTATCCTGCCCCCGTGCCTGGCTGTCCTAGATGGGACCCCTTGGAGGGGAGTGGGTTGAGTTTCCCTCCCCACCCCGACCAGGGCTCTGGCAGCCAAAGACATCCAGAACTATCCACCACCATGCTGAGACCCCTCTCCACACGCATGAAGGTACCAGCAGAGGAACAAAGGCATGTGGGTCCCGGGGCTGAGATCTCCAAGCCTGCTTGGATCAGGGCTGAGCATCCTCCACCCAGATCCTCCATATTCCAGTAGGCAGGGGTCACACCCACCAACTGACCCCCCCAGCGCCATTTAATCCCATCCACGGCCAAGACCCAGAAACTAAAAAATCCAGCTCCCGGAAGCGCGCAGCCACATTCATGGCCGTGTGACATCTTCTTATCTCATTCTTACTTTGGACAAACTGTCAGGCTACTGAATGTAACCTGCCCACATGGCAGAATCTGGCAAACTCCCCGTGGCATACCCAGTATGCCACATACCAGTAACAATGATGGGTCTCATTCTCCTAACCCTGAAAGAGCCTTGAATATGGCACTTTTTAAAAAATCTCAGGGCTAGGACGAAGGCGACGTTACTGGGGCCTGCTTGAGGCAATCGACGAACAACAGGATGGTCGTTATCGTGATCGTGAACTTACCACTGGCACTTGGGAAAAACTTCCATGTGTCAGGACATTCCAGGTAGATCAGTCCCATGGAGATGGAAACCCATAAAAGCATTGGGGGCTACTCATACAATCCATCTGACTTCATTCCCACCCCCTAACACCATTAGATTTCAGAATTAGAAAACATATAGAATCTGCAGCCTCCATGTCCCTCAGGACTTTTTTCTAAGTCCCCATGAGCATGGAGGAGTCTGCTATCTGCCCCCTTCTCTATGGTGTCTACATAAGTCACTGGCCTTGGTTAACACTGACTCCACTTAGTCAAATGAATGGACAGCTGCATCGCACAAAATTATGACAGCGAGGCATGTGTGAAATGTGGTTCCAGGGGCGATTGGTCCCTATCTGTTCCTCTGATTCCACTCATGCTCCTGAAGGACAAAGTAGGTATGATCCTTATCCTTCTGCCACTAGCTTTGTGAAGAATCCTGACCTCTGTTGGGCTATACCATGTAACAAAACTCTCATCAGTCCTCTTCACACAAGGGCCCCTTAGAAATCTTGGCCCTAAGGGAACACATGGAAGAAACAGCATCAGAAGAACCCAGAAGGCATGTTGATGTGTTCCTGTGTGTGTCAGCAGCTTATTTGTCTCTCGATGCCACATTATGTATATACCCATGTTTCAGACTATGTATATTTCAAGGTGGTCACATTTTTTCAGAAGAACAGACTGAACTGTGAGTGAGTGTGTGTCCATTTGTAGCATCTGTGTATATGTAAAGCAGATTTCTTTCATAGGTTGAGCATTTGAACAAAGTCCCAAAGTTTGTCATTGTCACTGTCATTGTCCTCCTGTTGTTTATCAATTTGTTCGAGTGGGCCCAGTAATATCTCCATTGTAAGACTTGTTGTTACTGTGTTTGGCATATCAAATATGTCATGGTTAGCTTGCCACGGTTAGCTTTGCTGTGTGGGCAAGATACTCTCAGTAGCTTGCCAAACTCTCTGAGAGAGGAGGAGGAATTGAACCCGGGTCGGTCAGGTCAGCCACATGCAAGGCAAACACCCTACCGCTGTGCTATCACTCCAGCCTCAAAGTTTAGAAGCCCAAAATATCTCTAATGGTACTGATGCTCAAAATACCCCAGGCCCAAGCTAGCCACGTAAAGGATGTCAACTGCGCTTACTTGGGTCCTTCAACATGAGCCTGGAGCTCTGAACTAAGAGACAGGGCATTCAATATAGGATTCCCCGTCCCCTCCCCAGCCCCTAGGTGAGCAGAACATGAGGACTCACAGGGCTTCCAGCTGCTCCAGGAGCCCCAGGTGCTCCATCTTGTCCTTTGGCACCCTGCAGGAGAAAGAAGCCTGAAGGTAAGATGTCAAAGTCAATGTTGTCCTCATCCCAAGAAGGGACAAGTTGTCACACCTTGTTCATTCGGATATGATGTTCCCAACTTAAAGCTCCAGGAGCAGGGTTAGACAGAAGCAGAAACCACAGCCACCTAGCCCAGAGCTCAGGCTATTCCATGTGACTATTTCTGTCCTTACCATCCCAGGACTTAAGGGTCTGCTATCCCTGTGGCTTTATGCCAGTGGACCTCAGTGAAATGGGACAGACAGGTTCCCAATTTCTGGCCCATGGGATCCAGACCAGACACCTAGCACCAAAGGGAACCCTCAAAACAGCACTCCCCTCACCCAAATCTGGATAACTTGGCCTGAGAGTGAACAAGTTAAGAAGCAGAAAGAGAACCACAAAATCAAAATGCTAAAACACGTACAGGGTGATTTAAGCCATCCCTGTAAGTCAAGGCAGGGACAGATGAAGGTAGAAATGATTGCTCCTGAAAACCTCTAGGGACACAGGAATGTCATTTTCATGCTCCACTGAGCTGGAGAAGAAAGAAAATTCATTTAAACATCCAAGGGTATAAGGTCAGAACCTCTCTCTGGGGTGGTGCACGGAGTGGGACAAAGGTGGGATAAGGCACTTGATCCCCAGGTGCAGATCCCAGGAGCACTCTCTGGTGGATATATCTGAAAACCCAGAAGAGAAGGGGGAGAAAGGGCTAGAAGCATAGTGTTCTGTATTTTAGAACAGAAAGGAATCTAGAGAGTTTACTTACCGGTGGTCCCATGGGTCCCTGAGGTCCTAATTCTCCAGGATGACCCTGGGATCCCTGCAATGAAACAATCCTTGAATGAATTAGTTCAGGGCATGGAAACATATAATGATTGAAAGCTGAAATCCTCAGGGACGGTACTCTAGGAGAGTTAAGGGATTTGGCACTTGCCTTATATGTAACCAACCACAAATTGGTCTCTGGTACCACCTATGGTCCCCTGAACATCACCAAGGGTCACTTTTGATCACAGAGCCAATAGGAAGGAGGCTCTGAACATCACCAGGTATGCCCACCTCTCTAAAAGCAAAAACAAAGGAACAGGAAAAAAAACAGAGGTGGGGGAATCATTCAAAATCCAAGAACAGAGGAGGAGCTGTCCTTGGAACTGAGGCTGTGGGTGTCAGTGTTTCTCAGAACTGCACTGCCTGTTTGGGGACCATGAACCTGAGAGTGATCAGTCCCACTGAGTGCAGAGTTAATGAGGGATGGAGTTAGTGTGCAGGATGTGGGATGAAGGGCACTCACCAGCTTTCCAGGTGCTCCTGGATCACCTTTCTCTCCTTTCTGCCCTTGTTCTCCCTGTTGGTGTAAAAGCACAGAGTAGAACACATTATCAATCCATACTCCACACTTCTCTGCTACCCATGCACCAGATGCACCAGATTTGGCCTATTCCCAAGAGCTGCCCTGCTGCTGAAAGATTCTTCCCTGCTACATCACTGGACTGTGCTCCAATTTTCCTTATCCTTTATTATCTAAGGTGGAAAATATGTCTTCTTAAAAGAAATTGAATTGCAAATGGATACAATACTCCCCATTCCAGTTTCATAGAGCTGCCTTTCTCTTCCATGACATGGGTTGGGAAACAGCTTCACCCTGATTTGCATGGTTTGGCTACTGACCCTGTAGTTCAGTTTAGAACTGGATGGGCAGCAGATGGTCATCACATACTGATGGGAAGAATTCAGAATGTAGGAAAGACTTACTTGGCCTCTTGTCCCAACTTTTGTCCTCATGGAAAAGCGGGAGAAGGAGCTCTACTGGAAGGACTGGGCTTTTGAATGATAGACTGAGGATTAGACACTTGTATCAGGATGACATAGTTAACATTTCTTTCTTTTTTTACTTCTTGGTCAATAGATTTATCACTGTCTATGGAGATAGATTTATCTCCATAAAAAAATCATGGTTTGATTTTAGCTCTCAGCAACCTGCACTTAAGCTCTGAGGAAATTTGCTTTCTTCTGGACTACCTGATATTTCTTCTGGGCAATAGGTATTTTGGGATGGTTCCACCTCTTCTTTTCAACTTTTCTCTTAGTATCTTCTCATAAACAGGGTTGGCCAGGCAGTCACATCAGCTTCCTTCTACATCTGCTCCTTTATGTTAGGCATTCTATTGTCCTTAATGTATTGAGAAAACTCTTTCTGGTAGGCATCTTCAACTTCTTCCATTAGGTAATGCTTATATCGTGCAATGTCCTGCCCAATAATGACAATAATGTGTTTCCATTGTACTCCAGTGTTGAATTCCTTACTGTCTGAGTCATAGCCAGGGAATCATTGGGTACTGTGAGGAATAGACAGCCTCCATCTGCAGCTAGTTTCAGAGCCCCAAAACACTGTTTCCAGTAGTAGTTCTGTCAATTCCTGCATCCAGATAGCAGGTAAAGGCACCAGATTGTCCATAAATGCTTTCCACTTTATATTCATATCCTGTACCCTCCACTTGGTCTTGAAAAATTCTGTCTTTGCCAAATCTATTGAGAAGCCTGAGGGTCTGTAGCAGGCCAGTATAATACATGGCAGCGTAATTTGTCAGATCAACCTTCACACTATACTTTGGAAGTTCATGAGCATATGCTGCACAGACTATTATATCTCCTATATGAGCATATGCAATCTGGCAGAGGTATCTATTAGTGACACAGACTATCATCCTATATTTTGGTGCACTGTATTAATTTTATCCTGGATTACCAAACTTTTCCAAGCATAGTGATAGATTTTTGCCTTCTCGATATCTTCTAAATTTCACTTGTTCTTGTTCTCTCTCTTCCTCTCTCTCTCTTTCTTTCTTTCTCCCTCTTTCTCTTTCTTTTTATGATATTTATTCAGACACTGAGTAAGCTTATTGAAGCAGGAATGAATTCTGCATTACATTTTTTTTATTTTTAAAATTAAAAAAAAATTCATGAAGTTGTTCACAATAACTGTTTACATTCAACATTTCATCACCAATCCCATCATCATTACACCTTCCCACCACCATCAGTTTGAATCTTCCCACAACCACCCCAATCTGCCCCTTAGGTAGATGTTAAATAATTTATTTTGTATTGCTTGCCATGAACAGTATGAGGTGTCACGTGACTCTGGGAATTCTAAAATTTTTAAATGTCTGAGGTCCAGAAACATATTGGTGGCATGCTGCTCTCTTCCGAGATTCACTTGAGAATCTCTGAATCACGGCCATTAGTGGCCATTTAAAGCCATTAACCATCATGGCTTAAAAAGGAGTCTGAGGTAGTTATTGGGCATGACTGCAGGAAACGGAAAGGGTGGGAGAGTGGGGGAAATTGCCTCTATGAAGCCTGGAGTTTTAGTCACTGGTCCCACATACTTGTTTGTTTTTTTGTTTTTGTTTTTTTTTAAGATTCATTCTCAAGTGTGGAGAGTTCAGGATGAGCCTGTTGAAGGTCAGCTGTGAGCGTGTTGGGGATTGGGTTCTGGAGCTTTGCGGCTCCCAGGGTTCATTTGGGGGAGTTTGAGGGACACACCTGTACCCTTTGAGGTGTCCTGGAGAAATCAGCCTGGTGCACGGTGGGGAGACATCTCTGTGGCATGCTGCTCTCTTCTCAGATCCATTTGTAAGTCTCTGACTCATGGTCATTAATGCACTTAAGTGGCCTGCTTTTGATCTCTTTCAAGATTTATTTATGGGTCTTTGAAACAAGGCAAACAAATGAGCTTATATAGCTGAGCTGGAGGTGGTTTGTGGGTGTGACTCCTACAGACCTAATTTTTGGCCACTTAATTTTTGGGAGGAAACTTGGTCTCAAGTTGTTGGGATCCAGCCAGAGGCACAGCAGCAATTTGGGGGTATCAAGAAGCCTGAAGGCAACATCACGCTGCTGATGCACTCGCCTCTCTAGTACAGGTTGACCTGCTGGGAAGCATCGTACCGCCAGAACTTATTATCTCTTGAGGTACATCTTATTCTTCACAACTTTAATAAGCCCCATCCACAAAATAGAGACCATGGAACATGACTTGACACAGACCTACATGCCAAACAGCCCTCTGAGGGGGAGAACTAATTAACATTTCTAATAGACATAGTGGAGGAGCATTCTCAGAATAGAGATAATGCAAGATTTGAGGGCAAGGAGGCAGAATTTTTCCCCATCTTCTTTTTTTCTTGATTTCCTGGAGTCAATCGAGACTCCCAACAAACCTCCTTGGGAGGTGGAAGAACAGGAGTTCCTTCTCTGCTGTTCACAGAGACCAAAGGGTAAACTGGAGGCCTCATCAAGGCCCAGGATAGATGGGGAAGGGCTCAAGTCTCTATATTTCAATATAGGAGAGGTAGCAAAATCGTGAACCAGGTACAAACCATTTTATCTCTAGGTTCACATAGACTTGCTTTGAATTCTGACACATGCCTTGCAACTTGTGGCAATATTGAACCAGAATAATCTTAATTTCCTTGCCTGTAAAATTAATCAGATGTCTATTTCACACAGAGAATGCAGTGGCAGGGGCAAGGTGAAGAAGGTGCCCATATGGGGAGGTGGACAAGTCTGTATCCCAGTTCTGTGCCACAGGGCCTGGGAAAACAGGATCTAGCAAAGCACCAGCAAGCTGTGTTCCTGGTCCTTGCTAAAGGACCAAAATATAGCCTTGTCTGGAAGTGTCACAGCTGCCAAGGGAGAGGTAGGGTTCCTGCTTGCAAAAAGGCCCAAGGGAAGATGGATGCGCATACGAATGTAGAATGTAGAAGGAAGTCCTATAGAATCAGGGAGTGTGAATACAGAGAATTTATGGAGTTGGAAGTTTTGATGAGGACCCCAGAAGCATCTCAAAGGCAAAGCTAACATCGGATTAAGGAGATTGGGGTCTAATACTTTGGATTCTTAGTGGAGAAGCCAGCACAGAAATTCACTGTCCTTCACAGGTCATATATGATTTCTTTCCAGCAGGGACGGATCGGAAGACCTTGTCTTGGAAGTTTCCATATACCCATCTTTCCCAAGTCACCTTTTTGATCCCTAACATACTATCTAATGACTCTGAGTTAGTTTTCCTGAAGTGGCTGATTCTGAATCTGTGAATTATGTTACCTTTCCCATCCCCCACCTTCCACTCCACCACTCCATTATAAAGTCTCTTGGAAATTCTCAGTTGTAATTTACTGAGGCCCAAGGTTGCCTGCACATGTTTGCTCCAGCTAAGACTACCTGTACTTTGTCTTCCTTCTTTTGCTAATGACTAGTTTTATTCTCCAGCTGACATTTCCACATCAGACCCTGCTCTTTAAGAGCCCAGCTTTTGACACCTAAGGATAGTAGATACACTGGACAGGTAGATTGCCCCATAGCTGGAAGCCTGCCTCGTGAGCAAAGGGGAGAAAGCAGCTGGAATAGAGAAGGGAATAAGAAAATAAGAAAATGATGGCTGGAGGAATCGGTCGGGATGGGAGATGTGTGCAGAAAGTACATAAAGGACCAAACAGGATAACCTCTCAGTGTCTGTATTGCAAACCACAATGCCCAAAAGTAAGAGAGAGAGAGAGAGAGAGAGAGAGAGAGAGAGAGAGAGAGAGAGAGAGAGAGAGAGGATGGGGAATATTGTTTGGCATGGAGGCAGGGGGAGGATGGGAAAGGGGAGGTATACTGGGGATATTGGTGATGGGTAATGTGCACTAGAGGGATGGGAGAAAAAAGCCCCAGCTTTATTCTTCACAATCTGTCACCACATCCCGTCCACACATCCTAGGACAAATTGTCAGTCATCCCTAGGACATTCTCAATCCCATGTAGGAGGGAGGAGAAGCGCGAGCTTTTCTTCCCAGCCCTTCTCCTCTTTCTGTTATTTTCCTTTCTTTTTTAAGATCTTGGTGTTAGTAATCGAACAGAGTCTTACGCATGCAAAATACGTACCTTTCCACTAACTACATCCCTGACCTTTGTTTTAATTAAGCTGAAAACTTTGCAGCTCCTCTAAACATCCCCAGATCCTGCAGTGTAGGGATTCAAAAAGCACACATCTGAAGAGAGCAGAGGGAAGTCGAAGAAACAGCACTTTCCCAAACCATCAATATCAACAAGGTTACCATGGCGACATAGCCAGTCCTAGGAGATTCATGCAATGATCCTCAAAGAATCTTTCTTTTTTCCTTTTTTCTTTCTTTTTTTTTTTTTTTGCATGGGATAAGGAGTACTTTCTTTGTTTTCATTATAAAGTAATTTTCTGGATTCCCCAAAATTACAGAAAGTAATTTTCTGGCTTGACCTGCAGGGAAGTGTTACTCTTTGGAAAAAACAGGGAAGACAAAGCAGGTTTCCAAATTCTCATCATGTGTTTTCACGCTGGATATCATCTTGTATTGAACAACCTCATTAAGGAGAAGCTGGACATAAATGCTTGCCTCAAGCTTGAGAGATTCAGGGTGTGTCTGATGAATGGAGGCAGAGAAGACTGGAGTGGGGAGGGAGGTAGTGAGTCCCAGAAGATGGAGATAATTGATGTAGTATGTGATGGGGATCTGCAACCACCTGGGCAGCAGTTGGGGACAGTAGCTCTGTCTGAGGTTTGACATTTGACAACTTGATTCAATAGCCCATTCCAAATGTTCAGGCCTCCACCTACGTGTTCAAAAGCTCATGTTCTGTCCGTCTCAGCTTCTTTTTTGGCATAGAAACAGCTGCCCAATTGTGCTTCTCCAAAGGCATAGCACGATGACCTCTGTCCATGCTGATACTGCTATCCCCCTTCAGTATTTGCTCTCTGTTTCACTTCCAAAGTGGCTCAAAGTCCTCCTTTCACGATGATTTCAATAACTGGCCCAATTTCTCTACCTGTTTCATTCTTTACCACGGTAGACAGGATTCCCTTTTTGGCTAAGTTACACCTACTTGACTCTGAATTTTAAAAAAATTTAAAAAAGGATAAAAACAACCTCCCAAATAAATGCATTTAATTCTCCAAGCTTTTACCTTCACACATCAGGGGGCAGGTCCCTAGGCTTAATTAGAGCAGAACTGCATCTATGCAGACAGTTTCTGGCCTCAGCATTGCCAAGAGCATAGAGACCCTGAGAATATTTATTTTCACAACTGCCACTTATTAAAAGAGGAAGAAACAGTTCCTCGAGACTGCAGTGGTGGCAGACTTTCTTTTCAGTAAATATAGTCTTTAGAAGAAGCCACAAGCATGTCTCCATCTGCTTCACCCCAAAGCCGTCTCCATTTCTCTAGTGCTCCTAACAATCTCTCTTCAACCTCCATCACTGAGTCTTCTTCACCACTAGCATCCATGGTAACTGTTTCACTGGATTCTTCAATTTTTTCACCATCTCAAACAACTCTTTTCTCAAAACTACTAGTGTTCCTTGGTGAAGAATTGACTTTGCTTAGAGAGTTCTGGAGCTTTATCTCAACATTCAGGCTCTGCACTTTGTCCACCTGGCATTGGACTGAGTCCCATGTTGGTGTATTTCACCACCAAGTCCCTTCCAAGGCCAGGTTTGAAGCCAGATGTCTGGCAGTGACTAGCATGTTAGGGTTGAGAGAAGGACCCAGACCACCCAGCTCCCGGAACACAAGGGGTCATCTCAATCCAGATTGAAGTCACCCAGAGTTTACTGCAACTTACCGGCAATCTTGGGTATGGTGTAAACAGAGATGGCTGAAAAGGAAAGCATGGAAGTAAGGAAGGGGTGATGTAGAGTGAAAACATAGTAGAAGAATACTGTATCAACTTTCCCTTAGACATGATTAGTTTTTACAATTAAGGTCACTGTCTCAGAGCATTTTTCAGGACTGGAAGCCATAAGGAGTTAGGTGTGAAATACCTGAAATCCTATGAGCTCATACCCGGTCATCCCACCTAACATTGTGTGGCCTTAGGCATCTGTGGGTTTCTATCCTCTGAAAGGTCTGAAGGGGGTGAAACATGGTCCACTCATCACAACAGCACCAAGGACATTTCCCCCTACTTTTCTACTCTCCTTCCCAACAGCATCTTCTACTGTGCCTGAGCAAGACTACAGGTGACCAGGATTCCAAAAATAAAGCTCAGTTCTACTAGCGGAATGCTATGGGAGTAAGTGTCCCAAAGATTTAGAAACTCAGTGAAAGATAAAGGATAATAACAGTGTAACTTACAGTTCCTGGTAACCCTGGGGGTCCTGCTGGACCAGTCTCACCCTAGATAAAGAAATGAAAAATAGAAGAAAGGAAAAATCCTGGGTATCTTTCCCAGATCAAAGATTAATCCACTCTGCCTCAAACTTAATAAGTTAATATGGAATAGTAATAATGATTCAAAATTACAAAATATTTAGATATGGGCTGGAGCAATAGCACAGCAGGTAAGGCATTTGCCTTGCATGCAGCCGACCTAGGTTTGATTCCCAGCATCCCATATGGTCCCCTGAGCACTGCCAGAAAAAATTCCTGAGTGCATGAACCAGAAGTAACTCCTGTGCATCACCAGGTGTGACCCAAAAAACAATATATATATATATAAACTTATTTTTTAGAAGTACTTATGCAGATATGAGTAGCTATGTATCATTTATCTCACTAGATACTATCCTCTACACATTTGGAATAAAGGTGCCCCATTAGCCATCTTCCTGTTAATGGCATTTGTACTGATGATGTTGATGTTGGTTGTACTGAGGAGTTTGTTTCCTTAATACAATCATACCCAGTATTGAGACACACTCCTTCATGAAACCTCCAGCACTAGAACTTGAGCTCCCTTTGAACCCAGACCCCTACAAGGCATCTTTGAAGGGGTCAGGCTGTTCTGAGAGGCCTGAGTCGACAATTCATACTCATATAATAGTATAGACTTAAGAAACAAATTCCCTAAGCTTGAAAACCAAGGGTACTATTTTATATTTTATCTTAAAAAATCTCTGTTGACTTGCCTTTTTATATTGCAAAGTAATGGCCAGAGTACACACAACCAGAATTGTGTGAGAATAATGAGGTCTCACTGGTACTCAGCAGTCCAATGAGGACAGTACTGGTACTACATTTGCCTTAAGGTAAGGTGCTCACAGGGTTGCCATATGCTGGAGGAACTACAGGGAGATGAAGAGGTTCCCAAAGCTCATATTCTTTCTGTGTGGCATTGGTGCCAGGACCTGAGGCCAGGCTGGAGAGTTAGGCCAGGGTTAGGTCTGTCTGCAGTCTTCCAGGCATACTTAGTGGACTAAATGAAACACTAAGGCTAGCACACAGAGAAGCAAGACTGCTGTTGTGGAATAAACAAAAATGACACCATAATAAAATGGTTCCATGGTTTTCTATTCTATTCTATTCTATTGTGAGTAGGGTATTTGCCTTGCACTCGGCCAACCCAGCTGACCCAGGTTTGATTCTTCCACCCCTCTCGGAGAGTCCGGCAAGCTACTGAGAGTATCTTGCCCGCACGGCAAAGCCTAGCAAGCTACCTGTGATGTATTTGATATGCCAAACACAGTAATAACAAGTCTCACAAGAGAGAAGTTACTGGGCCTGCTCGAGCAAATTGATGAATAACAGGTGGGCAGTGCTACAGTGTCACAGTGCTATATTGTGAGATAATATTTAAATCTAGGTATTGGTTTAATATTTTTACTGTATTAACTTGTTTAATCTTCAGAGAATAGGCACTTTGCATAGATAAGAAAGCTGAGGTACGTAAACATTCATTCACCTGCCCAACGCCAGAAGACAGTTGTGCTTGCGCTTAAATTTCTGAAGCCGAGCCGAGCCCTTAACCACAAAGCAACGTGCCTTAAATATAATTCCAGAAGCTTCAGAAAGAAGATATTTTTCCAGTGCAATTGTTACATTATCTGATGTTAATTTCCTGCTACTAGAATGCAGGTACCAAGAACCAATCTCATTTGTAGCAATGTACTTGCATGCACAAGTCCAAATGCTTAGGTCTGGCCATGCTACACTTGAATTTCAAGATGGGTATCAAGGAGAAGTGTATCAGAGGAGAGAAAACGCTGAGCTTTAAAGACTTCCTTTTGGGAACAGACCATCCACCAAGCTGTGGGACAGGGAAGTTTGGGGTGGGGTAATGTCTATGATGGGCAAGGACCCAGGAAGCACTCTAGCTTGAGAAGCTTGGTTGAAGGAGGACCTGGAATTATGGGAGCTAATTTGAGTTTGGGATTCATTTCCAATAGGAGATCGATTTTCAATAGTTCCTGCTAACAAAGCAGCCTTAGCATGACTTCTTTCTACTATGCCACAGGGTTTCAACATGTATTGGGACAGGGGAGGGTTGTGGAGTAGGAAAGCAGAAGAGAGGATATGTCACACAGTCAGAAGGAGGCTTTGTTACTTTAAAGTTATATTTAGCATGTTCTGACTTGAACTGTCTATTATTACATATTTCTCTAGAGTAAATGTATCAGATGCTTTTGAGACTTGAATGTGATTCCACCCTGGCCCTGGAAATTCTGCCAAAGCAATAAAAGGGGTTTTTATCATCTTGCTGAGTCCTTTGCATCCTGGAAATGAGTTTCTCAAATAAAAATTGCATTTCTGAAAAGTCTTAGTGAGCAGCAGGCCTGAATGGCTTATCCATGCAAAGCCCTTTCCACTTCAGCTTTCTATTTATAGATCACAGGTCTGTCTATAGCAAATCACTGGTCATCAGCCAAAGATAGAAAAGGGGGAAGGATCTCCTCTTAGAGTCAAGAAAGGACAAGGTCAAAAACAATGGAGAAAAATATGCAAATGGGAGAACAGAGGTAAGCTGCAAAAAGAAAGACTGCAAGGGCTCTGGTTGTGTGGGTGAGAATTCCTCTGCACCCATAAGACAAGCAGTACACATGCTGTACTGTCAGGAGACAGTATTGGCTTTAGACTGTCAACAAAAAATTTCACTCTACTGTGTTCTTTTAGGACTGGAGGAACAGCACAGCAGGTAGGGGATTTGCCTTGCATGTGACTGACCCGAGTTTGATTCTTCCGCCCCTCTTGGAGAGCTCCGCTGTAGGATAACTTTGCCACAGGGAGCTTCAGTTTATCGGTTTATGGTTTATTGGGCTATACCCATCACAGTGCTCCCAAGTCACTCCCATTCCTCTGTTTATCTGTAAACTCTTCTCTGTGCTCTCCTCCCCAGCCAGTTAATCACCTTTTCTCCATAATCAGATTCTGTTATCTTGTAAGATCAGATCCTTCTAAGGACACTGAATTTGTATTGTAAATTATGTCTTTTGCATAGTTTACCTTAAAGCAATGTCCTTTCTGTATGGACACAGGAAGACAGTCAATATTATGCTTTGTAGCGTGGGAGTTGATTGACTCTGAATAATATTTACTCCTGAGCATCTGCTTTCTTGAATCAGTTGCCCTTAGTTCCTATCACCCCAAAAGCAGGGTCCCAATGAGGGACTGAATGGACCGAGGAAAAGCTGTGTGCTACCCTGGCATCGAAATGGACCAGGCCAAAGCGCCACGATACTCAACTATAAGTTGAGGGCATGATGATGGACAAATGCTCTCAAGATCCAAAAGTAAGTAATGACAAGACTAGGACCCTGCTGGGGCTAGGAAGACTAATCTGGCCTGAGGACTGCAGAATGGATAGTGAGATGTTCTCAGGAAGAACCAAACTAAGTTTATATCTCTTACTGTGCTCATACAGAATGACATTGCTAGAAATACTGGAAGTAGATTTACTACTATTTAAGTAGATTACTAGCTGAGAAAAGAACATACCCTTGTTGGGATCCCAACCTTGAACAGATCTCCTAGTAATCTGGAATAATCTCTTTACATGAGATTTTATCCTTGAATTAATCTCCTCCTAGAGGAGTGGTATTACCTCTCTTTGTTGATTTGTTAATGTTCAACCCACCTCTGTGTCACCACCCTATGTGATTGCTATATTAACTAAGACTGTAAGGGCTGAGGGGAAGGGGAGGTGGCGGCTAAGGCTCAGACTCAGACTCAGGCTCGGGCTCGGGCTTGATCTCGGGCTCCAAAGGGCAGAGTCAGAGGTGAGAGGGGCTCAGGCTTGAGAGAGAGAAGCAGAAGGGGAGTGAAGATTGGAATAAACTACAATTGAGAACGACCAGACTGGCCCACGTTTCCTTCCTTCGCCTGCCCATCGCCACTGACCTCCCCTGGGTGGGGGAAACAGCTCAAGACTACCCAAGGTGGGCGGCCGAAGAGATAGAGCGCTACCGGACTTTTGAAAACACACACTTGGAAAGCTACTGAGAGTTATCTCGCCTGCAAGGTAAAGTCTGGCAAGCTATCTGTGATGTATTCGATATGCCAAAAACAGTAACAACAAGTCTCACAATTCATTGTGAGACGTTACTGGTGCCCATTCTAGCAAAATCAATGAACAACGGGAAGATAGTGCTACAGTGCTACAGTGTTCTTTTCATGAAGTCTTGTGAGACTTCCTTGGTTGTTATGTGTCTTTGTTTCCTCATCTATAAAACAGGGATAATAATTATCTTTGTCAGGCTTGTCGCAACACATAATGTATGCCCCAGACTCCTGATACAAAGCGTATCTACAACAAATAACTGGAAAAAAACCATAAGGCATTTACAGTTGGTGACAACCCTTAAATTTCAGTCTTAGAAGAGCCATTTTCATGCAGACAAGCTTTGCACAGAAAGTCTGTTAAGGTGCTCAGAATCACCTGATGGGTAGAATCAGCGTGGTAACCAGGCCATCAACCACTCTAAGTCCAAGTAGGCTGTTCTCTCCAATCCACTGCAAATGTACAAATGCACAGCAATGCTAATAATAACAGGATCAGACAAAAGCAGCAGCTTCCTACCTTTTCACCTCGTTCACCTTTCAATCCTGGGCGTCCAAGATCACCTTTCTCTCCCTACAGTGAAAAGTTTAATTAAAAATTATAATTAAACAATAACATTTTTTAAAATAATAAAATAAATAATATAATTTATCTCGGTGTCATCCTTGTCTCTACCAGCTAAGAGCAACAGGATCTTAGAAAGAGTCTTCATTCTCCCCAATCTTCCCCTAGCCTGGAAGCCCAAAAGAGGTATCCTTCTGTGAGTTAAATTAGACCTAATCATGCATTTGGTGCTTGACAGAAAACACTGCCCATAGTTCCGATCCATTTCATCTGACAATGTCCCACTGCCACTGTCACACTGTCCTCCCGTTGTTCATCGATTTGCTCAAGCAGGCCCAGTAATGTCTCCATTTTTGAGACTTGTTACTGTGTTTTGGAATATTGATTATGTCTCGGTAGCTTGCCGGGATCTCCGAGAGGGGCAGAGGAATCAAACCCTGCTCAGCCAGACTGGCTGTGCGCAAGGCAAATGCCCTACTGCTGTGCTATCGCTCCAGCCCCATTCTTTCCAAAACACTTCTGAGCCCTTGTTTCAACATTCAGTCCAGAGCAGTCTACTCTCCCAGCCTTTTCTCATTCATAAAAAATGCAAAATACTTCCAAAATTCTATCAAAAGCACCATGCTCCACCAAATTACTAAGATTCATAAGAAATTTCTTCCCATGTTTCCTGGGGAGAAGGTTTGATAGAAAGGAGCCTCAGCCCTTACCTGCTCGCCCCTCTCTCCTCTCAAACCAGGGAATCCTGGAGCACCGGGAAGACCTGCTGGCCCCTGTAGAAACAACATAGTGCCACTGCTGAGCAGAACCTGCTGAGCAGAGGGCTCCCTGCAGGCCAGCTCAAGCATCATGTGTCCCTTTCTTCCTCCTCCCCTGCCCACCAGAGATCTCTGGCTTAGTCGAGATGTCTTAAAACAGAAACAAAGAAATGGAGAATTCTGGATGCTCATTGGGACATGCCCCAAATCTTTTTTTTTTCATTTTGGGTCATACCCAGCAATGCACAGGGGTTACTCCTGGCTCATGCACTCAGGAATTGCTCCTGATGATGCTCAGGGGGACCATATGGGATGCTGGCAATAGAACCTGGGTCAGCCGCATGCAAGGCAAACGCCCTACCTGCTGTGCTATCACTCCAGCCCCCATCCCCCAAATCTTTTATGTTCCATCTTCCAGAAATCTTTATTTTGCCTTTTTTAATGTTCCTTATTGATCTTTAGCACTTATTCCTGTAAGTGCTAAATAATGTGATGTCACAGTTCTTTTTACTAACATCCCCTCATGTTTATGAGAGGCTCTCCTAGACTTCCCTCCATATCTTCTGTATATGTTATAACTCACTGTGCCTGTTCAATTATTCTTGGATCATAATGGTGAACAGTGTTTGAGAGAGCAATATACTCACAAGGCATGATGATATATATTGGGCAACTATGTCAGTGCATGGGGTAATCATAATGTCATCCAGAGACAACTGATACAAGGTCTAGTGTTAAATTGAATTCAGTGGATTTAGAATACTATAAATGTATGAAAAACAGACCTTCTCTCCAGGTTGGCCTGGAAGACCTCGTTCCCCAACTTCACCCTGGAGATAGAAGAACAGACCCCATTATTTTAAGTTTTTTTCACATTGATAGAGATGTCTGCCATTCACAGTCAATGTCACATACTCAGTCTCTGAAGTCATAATACTTGATTCCCAAGCGCATAGCTTGGTTATAATAATCATAGGTCAAAAGAATAAAGTATGCAATGTTTCTGGAGAAAGGAAGCTCCCCTGCACATTCCTATTGTCCTTTATAATTTTCTTAAGAAAAATTCTGGACTGGTTAGACAGCTCAAAGGGACTAAGAATATCCTTTGAATATGGAAGGTCCAGGTTTAATCTAAAATTCTGCATGATTCTCTGAGCATCAGAGAACAACTAGCACCAGTCTGGGAGTGTCCACTGAGCATTGCCAGAGAAACAGCCCAGCAGCCAAAAGAAAATCTGGAATTGTCCTCACAGTTTATTCAAATTGAATCCATTCATCTTGAATCTAAACATTTAACAATTCAAAACAAATATGATCCAAGATTATGCCCTCTAAGTCTATTTCAACTCTTTTTTTGCTACACTTGCAGAAAATCCAGACCCCATACAGTTCCAGTGATGAAGAAGAAGCTGTTAATGAACCATGCTCATGGGCTGTCCCCGTTGTTGTTCAGGTTGGAGTTTAACACAGTCAGAGGTATGCAGAAGCTTTATTTTCCCTCTCCTAAGAAGATACAGTTAAGACAAAATGTTGGATAGGATTCTGTTAAGCATACAATTAATATCATGAAGCAAGGCCCAAGACATTAATACACGATTCTAATGGAATAGATTATTTTTGTCATCAATTATTAGGTTACTGACTAGTATTTTTTACTAAAATAAAGGTGAAAGAAAGAATCAGAAAGGTTTGTTCTCTGAATCCAAAGCATTTCACAACTATGCTTACCATATTTCCATAAATCATTGATGCAAATAGATGGGTAGAGGGATTATAATTTATAACTAAACATACGTATCGAGGATAAAAAAATTCTTGGGTTAGCAGATAATTGCTAATTTTTTGTTGGGCTAATTAGAAAAACCTATGATACAAATTTCGACTAGGAAATGTGTTTTTTTCATGACTAAATTAGACATGAAATAATAAATGAATACATGCAGACATGAATGGATGCAATTATGGAGAGTAGGTATCCATGCACATAATGATTTTTCCTGTAGTTGTGGCAGACTAAATTGACAGTGAAGGCCACCACCCCCACCATCCTTTATCAGAGAGAAAGACAAGAGAGGGATGTGTACTGTAGCTAAAAGTGTTCCAACAATTAGGCACATATTTCATCCTTTAACTCTAGTATCACCAAGAAAACTGACATTTGCAATCAGCACATCTTGAAATTCTAGACAAACTTTAATTCTCCCTCTAATTCCCAAGTTTTCAAGCACAATTAGTAAGAATTGCTCTAGCAGAAATTGTTCAAATATTTGTCCCTCCACTTGTCTCTTACAATATACTGGTTTTAACACCTTTTAAGTGGCACTTCTTTCTTCTTAAGAAAAGGGCTGAGGACCTCATTTTTGTTAGAATGCACTTTTTAATTTTTAAATATTTTTGTGGTGATACCCAGCTGTACTCACAAATACTTCTGGCTTTGAGCTCAGACATCATTCCTGGCAGGACTTAAGAAACCACAATGGGTGCCATGGATTGAGCCTGGGTTGGCCCTGTGTGAGGCAACTGCCCAGCCACTGTACAATTTTTCTAGTCCCACTAAGCCTTTATTTTATGACCATTGTGAATCTGTGCTGTGAACCTTGAGCCCAGGGCACAAAGGAGAGAAGACTAATGGCATCCTGAATTCTTGAAGTGAGCCTAAGAATGTATATTATTGCTCAAACCATAGGCCCACTGCAGTTCCTGGATGGATGCTTGAAGAATCCTTATCTTCTTGGGAAATTTTTATCCTTAGTTAGAATTTTTCCAAAATAAATAAACAAGATCCCATAACAACAGGTCTCCTTCAAGCCTACAGAGTAAATTTTCAATGCATCATAATGGCAAATACTCATAATTCTGACTTCTTGGAATATTTTTAAACACATCCCCACCACAAATCATTCAAAAACCACATGTCAAATATAGCAACTGACTTTTCTGTTTGAATATTTTAGTCATTAGCAGTCATAAGAAATATCATATATGTTGATGAAGAATGGATAAATACTTGTAGGCATCACACATGTAGTTATTTGCTGTTAAAAAGATGGTTATAATTCATATAGCACACATAAGTCCCTAAGGATTTGTCAGCTCACCAAACACAATTCAGTTATGTTAGACTCCATAAAATCCTTAAAGTCAAGTTAACAAACATATGCAAACATTTTCTAGAAAATGACTAAATTTCAACCAAACACTGAATGACGGCATAGTATGTGTTTTACCCCCACCCCTACAATCCCACGTTTGGGATTTGTACATGGGGAAAACACCAAGTTACATACCATTTCATTTGAAATATTTAGGGATTATCATAGATATCTAAAAAAGATACATAAAGGTCGACATTTTAAATATGAAGTGACACTGTGCTTTCAGAAGAGGTGGATGACTCATTGTACTCTACTGTGGAACATGAGAGCTGAGTTCGTAGAATCTGGAGCCCAGAGAGCGAGAACAGTCCTTTGGACCTTAAGAGTGTTCTCTATCCCTTTGAGTCAGCTCAGATGCAAAATTTTCCTTCTGTTTTGTTTTGTTTCTTTTGTTTGTTGTTCCAGGAATAAAACCCAAGGCTTCACAAGTGTTCCGAGCAAGGCAATATATCTCAGCTATATCCATGACCACTAGGGAAAACCACAACACTATTCATCATTTATCTGCTCTGCTTTAATATGGCCTCTAAAGAAATGCCACTTTTTTAAAAAGCTGAGGTGACAAATCCTCAAGTCCATGGATTTTCCTTGAGCCCCTTGAAGGTCTATAAAGGGGTTCTAGCAATGTCATTTAAGGTGAAAGAACACTATACTGGTAAGATTAGGCCAATCCTGCACTCTCTGAGATATTTATTATTCTCCATCTATAATCCCTTGCCAAGCACCTATGAAATGGCCTAATCATGATCTAGGATTGTGGGGATCAGGTATCTAATACCCAGATACTGCTCTTAGCCTGTTCAGATGTTAGCAGCATCTTATTCTACTGTCTGCTCACAGGCACCACCCCAAAGAACTATAAGCATTTTGTAAATGTATACATTGATACACACACTATATAACCCATACATACTACATACACACCACACACATATCACGCACACACATCACTGAAACACATAACACATCATTTATATATCAACCACAGGCCACATTCACCACATACAATACACAGAGCACATATACCACATAAAAACACCGTTTAAACACACCAGTCATACCACATGATCTTACACATACATACACACACATATACACACACACACACCTTTTTTATCTGCTTATTGCATTCTGATCCTAAGTCAAATTTTTACTATAGTACTGAGAGTCCTGAAATAGAAGAAGACCCTGTAATTTTTAAGGAAAACCCAGAAACAAGGTTCCTGGGGAGGCTCTGACATGGACAGACAATCATACAAACCTAGCACTTGGGATTCTCACACCCATAGTAGGTATCTACCCTATCTACATGAGGAGTGTCCTGAGTTTACCTTTCAGATTTACTCTCACAGCTTTGTACCAACTGGTAGCTCAGGAAGGCTGACTGACAGCTGTAACCAGACTTCTTTCCTCTGGTTTTGTGTAGGACTCAGAAATCAGGAAATATTAGAGATATATCAGAGTCCTAATGGAAGGGGAGAACATATGTGTGTGAGAGGAGGAGGAGAGTGGAGAGAGCAAGGCAGTGGAAAGAAAGGCAAAGACATTTGTATACTGGTCTCCCTTGCTCCCAGTCAGGACAGATTAGACAGCGATCACATCCCTGTTGCCTAAGCTGTGGATATCCACGGGGCCCTCTCCCCAAGCCACCCTTCTTCCTCACTTCCTCTTCTCTGTCCTAGAGGAGATAGGATATTCATAGGTTCCATTTCCACCATATGTCACCCTTCTGCCTGGAGTCCTTAAACTCTTCCTTGACTCTCAAAGAACCCTATTTTAGTGACCACATTTGTTTCCTGCTGAAGGTCTAGTCTCTGTTCTCCATATGCTGTAGATCCCAAACACTCCCAATATACCAAGTGAAACGACAGAGATAATGGGGGGAAAAGCACAGTCCATACCTGAAGGCCAGGTTTTCCAGGAAGACCATCCAACCCTCTCTCTCCTGGCTCTCCCTGGAAGAAATAGAAAGAACAGTGAACCTCAATGTTTACACTTAAGACTTGTGATAAACTCTCAAGGAAGGAACCACTAGGTGGTGCCGAGTTCCTGCAATTCCTCCTATTTGCCCACCATGGCGACCAAAGTGGCATGCATCCCAGCTCCCACATGCCATATTCAGGGGCTAGATTTTTATTTATTTCTTAAAGTGTGATTGAGTGGAAATGAATCTCTCATTGAGAAATTTAGATGAAAGAAAATGTTGGGGAAAAAATTGTGGTTTTCTCTTCATTTTTCTTGCAGGGGCAGCACCAAAGCACAGCACAAAGGTCCTTGGGACCCTCCTGTCAGTGCTTGACTGGGCTCTGATACCCAGAACTACTTATAAAAGTATTTGATGCTGGGGATCAAATCCAAGGCCTCCTGCATTCAAGGTCTCCACCCCAGATCTGTGTACTGTCTCTTCATCTCCACACAAGTATTTTTGTGAGAAGAAAAAATATTTGGCTAGTCTTTATGCTTTGGCTTGGAAGATGAGGGAAATGGATGGAGAATAATCCCCCTGAAATTAAACTCCAGTCCATTTTGATTCTGTACTTGGTAACGAAAAGGATGACTTTCTACATAAATTTATCATAGATTGATTGCACAGCAGATAGGGTGTTTGCCTTGCATGGGACAACCTGGCCGAACTGGGTTCAATTCCTCCACTCCACTCCTCTCGGAGAGCCCGGCAAGCTACCGAGAGCATCTTGCCCGCACAGCAAAGCCTGGCAAGCTACCCATGACTTATCAGATATGCCAAACACAGTAACAACAAGTCTCACAATGGAGACGTTACTGGGCCTGCTCGAGCAAATCAATGAACAACGGGAGGACAGTGCTACAGTTCTTATAATATTCACAAGTTGTCTGAAAAGATACTAGCAAGCACACTTCAATTAATATATAATAAATATCAATAAAATTTGCTGGCTAAAATATTGTGTAGTTTTGTAGTTGTAAAAAGAATTTGAATTCCAATTTCAGAATATTTTACTCTTGGATCTTCAGGTTCCTATTATCTAAGTCACACCAGCATCTTTATTATAGCTTGATTGCTTGATATACTGTGATTTACAATACTCTCAATGATGGTTTCACATATATATATGTTGTTACTATATATACATATATATATATATATATTCCAACATCACACCCATCACCAGAGTACTTACCTCTCTCGCTTAAGGCCACTAAATATATTTGAATATATTTGTAAAAAGCATCCTATTATATTAGCAAGAGTATTTTATTTTTTTTAATTCTTGAAAGTAAATAAACATACATTTCAAAAATAATTTTAACACTCAGGTTTCCAAAACCTTCTCAGTCACCTAAGTATAAAGTATACCTATAACATCATATATCCAAACATTGCCAAGTGCTAGTCTGCCAATAATGAAAATTTGGTGCACGGGATTGGGTTCCCAAACTCATCCTGCATGCATGAATATCACCAACCTTATGTCCTGGTAGGCCTGGTGACCCATTCAGTCCATCCTTTCCAGGTGACCCCTGGGTCAAGAGGGAAAACAAAGAGAGGAATTAAAGGTACATCCAGGGAAACTCTAAGGCTCATTACTTCCACCCAAAAGCTGATTTTTCAATCAGAAGCTGGTAGATGTGGTCCTTCTATTTTTATCAGAGTTTTTCTGTGAGACCAAGTTTGCTTGTCCCTTCTGTTGCTATGGGATTAGGTCACGTTCTAGGTGGCCCCTACTTCCGGTGGCCTTCAGATGCTTGTGAATAAGAGGGGCTGCATCTGGCAGCTCAGGCAATTGCATGTGCACCTCCCACTTCCAGAAGTCCCTCAGGAAAGATAAGCCACAAGCCTCCACTCACTCCTATCCATAATCTCCTGCTACCATTTTCTCCTGACTGATGGCTTTATTCCTGCCTATTGTCTATTATTAACTCAAAGGCCTATTGTCTATTATTAACTCAAATGCTATTATCTATAAGTATTTGTTGGCATGAGGAACTTCTGCCTTTTATTTCTGATGGCAGTGCTGAGGAGCGCGATTTAATGCAGCCACTCTGAGGGAGCAGACTCCACTTCTCAAACATAGACATGCTCCCCCACCTTCTCACATGCAGCCAGGTATTACAGCTGTTTCCAGGTAAGCAGAAAGCCCATGCTCCAAAAAAGAGTAATGTGAACCCTCAAGGGTTCTGACCCATCTCCACTCTCTTTCTACTTACTGTCCCAGGATTGCTCCCTCTTCTGCTTTGAATTTTTCTAATTCTTGCAAGTAAATAAGAATGTGTGCCCTAATTGGTGTATCACATAGACATCCCTTTTGTCATGAGAAGTAGAAGAGAAATCCTTTGCCCTGACAGAATATTCCAATAGGTTATTATTTTGTCACCTATAAGTGTTATTTACAAATTAATTTATTAATTAGACCTGTGATTATTCTGCCCATTACAAGGCCCTTCCACCTAACTATAGGCTCTGTAATCTCATTGAATCTCCTAATTGAACTGATAAGCTATTGAAAATAAAATCTACTGTACCAGAGCTGAGAGTCAAGGCCCAAGGTGGACCAGTAGAATGCTCTTTTGGGGGCCTAAGAGCACTTTGACCAATGGAAAATTTTTTTCTATTTTTGATCCCCACCTGGCATTGTTCAGGGTCTACTCCTGTCTCAGTCCTCAGACATTGCTCCTTGGGATTCTTGGTATGACCATATGGTACCAGTGATCAAACTTGGGTCTTTTGCATGAAAAGCATGTGCTTATCCCAGATGCACTAGTGCTCTGGTCCCTGAAAACATTATCTTGATGAGAAAACAAAATCTAAGCACTGCTTCAAACCCTTAATGGTAATAACCTCTCCTTTCAGAACATAAATGCCGTTGGCTGTCTTTGCTCTGCAAGAAACACTCTCAACACACCTAAATATCCATGTTAATATAGATATTTGTGATGAATTCATTAGATCAGATACAACTGTCGATGCAGTAAACTTTCAGGTGGCACTGCCATTCAAATGAAACATTTGTTGGTGGTAGTGTAGTTGATCTGCAGTTATAGGTTTGCATAAACATACCAAAGGTGTACATCGCAAAACTGGATTTATGCCTGACACCTTTATGCGTATTATGCCCTGGGGTGATACATTTCAGAATGCTGTATCCTAACACTCATGCTTTCAGTTTCGCAGCTGTGTTCTGCACAGTTCATCACTGTCTAGTGTCAGGATCCAGTATTTTGTCTTTCCCACCAATGGCTCCATCAAAACGAACCACTGAAAAGGAAATTCCTCCAAGGAATACTTCTTGGTCTGCATCCTGAGGTCTATGATGATCAGTCAGGTCACACAATATCCGAGGCACACATGCCACAAAGAGAACTATAGGACAAATTGGCAGGAGACACAACCAGCTTGATTAAGGCCACTAAAGTGCGCTGTGCCCAGACATTAAAGATTACTAATATCTATCTTCAAAGCTTAGAGAAAATTAGAAGGTTCAGTTTCTCCAAGATGATCTTGGTTTTGGAATAAGAATGCAACATCAGGGTAAGAACAAGGAAAACATTGGTAGGTTTTTCTAAACTTTGGATCATGCCCCTACATCTTTTACTGTCTGTAGGTGTCCTGTATGGACAAAGAGTCACACTTAAAAATAGAAAAATAGCTTTGAATCTGTCTCTACATAGCAAGAATAAGATGGTGTCTTGGGACAGAGTATACCTAATTGTCACTGCAGCTATGGATGTGTGTGTGGGGGGGTGGGGGGGTATAGAGCCACAGGAAGATAGAGCCCAGCAAAATGACCACAGGAAGATGGTCCTTTTGTCTGTACAACTTTAAAGGAGAGAGTGTGAAGGGTCACCGCTCTAAAAAAATCAGCCAACTAGAAGGACCAACCACTCCCAACACAGAGTAATAGAAAGTGTGGTCGGGAAGTTTCAAGACACTCACAGCCTGTCCAGGATGTCCAGGTTTTCCTTGGAAGCCAATTTCTCCAGGCAAACCCTGAAAGCAATAAAACAAAATGGTTAATATTATTTAATTAAATACTATTAAATAGTTAATTCTATTCTTGATACTATTTAAGCGTAATAATACTTCTTAAAGCATAATACCTTTTCTCCAAGTGCTTTTTCTGACCCAGGAGCTGAAATACAACTCAGAGGACCTGATCATCCTTAATGTGGAACACTTGAAAACCCCGTATTGCCATGGCACAAATGCTGGCAAGTCCAGGTCTAGCTGATCTGCAGCCAGAAGATACCATTCCATTCCTTCTACCCTGGCGGGATGGGTGGAATTCTTTTCCCTGCTGAGGGCTAAGTGTCCCCACTCTCCTGTGAGCAGAATTTTCCTAATTGTACCTGAAGTTAGGGAGGGAAAATAACAAACTCCTGCAGTGGCCCTCTGTGCACATCACAGTCAAACTACAAGCTGCTTAAAAATACCGAAATGGACAACCCCAGCCTAAAATACCTATTGCAACATTTCCCTAGAAGCAGCCAACTAGCATTGGTGGGAACACTCAACTCAAGTAAGAGTACTCATTTAAGGAGCTAAGAGGCTTGGAGTTCCAGAGCTTGGGGGTAACCTAAGTGGACCATCTCCTTACTTATAAAAGCTTTGTTCTTGACTTATGCAAAATACAACCAAGTTTTCATACCCAAGAATATTTATGGATTTCACAAGTTCTGAGGTGTCCATCTACCCTAGTAAAAGAAAACCAAGGCCAGACTTACCGGTGGGCCCCCAGGTCCAGGGGGTCCTGGAAGACCAGGGGGTCCTGGAGGGCCCTATAAAGAGAAAACACAGGGTATGTTACAAGTGTGCATGGATAAGCTTCTAGATGGTTTTGTATCTAAAATGCTTGAGTATTTAAAATAAATATACATTGCATACAGGTATATTCACAATAGGTTAAACTGAACAAAATTTTTCAAGAATAGAATCTCAGAGCATTAGCCAGGATTGAGTTTTCAAGGATGAATAAAAATGGTTCTCTCACCTAAACCTGATACTGAAAGAGTTTATTGAAGCCAAGAATTTATCCTTGTAAAAGCTCCTCTACTGACTCTATGGAGAGTAATTATTTTCCCTATCATTTTATTCTTCCCTGTTTATTCAAGAAGCATTAGTTATAAACCAATGTACTGACATAGGTTTCAGAAACAGGTGTACAGCACTACAAGACCACACTATATATGCTTCATTATGTTCACCACCAGATTCTAATTTTTATCCATGACTTAACGTTTCTTGATTTGCCCATGACTATTCTCCCTTCCTTTCTGGTGATAACTTTTTCTTCTTATTGGGTAATCCCTTAAATTGTTTTTATCTTATTTTTAACCATATATGCGTAAAAGCTTATATCTTTCTCAGTCTGACTTATTTCGCTAAGAATAATACCTTTTGAATTCATTTATGTTGTTGCAAATGGAAAAACAATATTTGTGATAGGTAAATAGTATTCCATCTCACACACACACACACACACACACACACACACACACACACACGTATTCCCTGTCTGCTATTTTATCACTTCATTTGCGTACTATAAATTAGCTTAATTTTAAATTAAAGTGATGTAACTCTTAATATCTTTATTAGTAATAGCAATTGCTGCATAGAAAGATTTAAAAAATAGTGGCTGGAAATATATTGAGAATTTAAAAGGCATGCCTGGCATGTGGCCAGTCCCAGATAGCCCCCACTATGATACAGTCCCCTAAGCAAGACTAAGTTCAACTCTAGCACACCACCAGCATAGCCCAGGTAATTCCTGACACTGAAGACCTGAGCATGCATCTTTGGACCCAAGCATTAAAATGCTGCCTGAGTCAGCTATCAAATACTACTTCATGCTAAATAGGAGACTGACGTCTCTCAGGCCCTTATTCTCTCCATAAAAAAAAGATGGAGCCTTTTCATATCACAGAGAAATGGATTAGCAAGAGTGCGTGAACTAGCCCAACACAGAGGAATCTCACACAAAAGGAACTTCACTCTCTTTTCTTATTAATTAAATAAAATATTGAGATAGCCTACTAATCTGAACATTAGTGAGAGACAAATTAGCCAATAGATTTAAATGTTAACAACAGAATAATGACTAAGTACTACTCATGAAAACAACTAAAAACGACTATACTTATTAATTAACCAATCAGTCCAATTATTATTAACAAACATTTGATAATTCTAATATGTCAGATGACTAAATAGCACTTTAATGTGTTTGGTAATTATAATGATGATGCATAAATCACCAATTCGCTTAATTACCATTTAATAGGGGGAATGGCAAACAATTAGTCCCAGAAACTACCTAGTTCCAACTGCAGTAGAATTATGGAGTTGGATGGAATTTGATGATGCATAACATTTGTTTACATAAACTAACAAGCCAATAATACTCCCAGTATGACTTGGAGATGTTTGCTTTTTTGAAATGTTTTTCATAAGTGGTGAGTCTTCCTCGGGCCTGCAGGGGCAGATCTAATATGACTATTCTATTTTAGGGCACTTCTCCATAGATATTCAGTCCTGGGGGCCAACCAAGACCTCTGGTACCAGCTGCCCCCTCCCTGGTCCCAGCTATGATCCTACTTTACCAAGGAATCGCAGTCCTTCCCAACCATAGCACCATATACACAGCCTTGTATAAACACCTGACAAAACTAGACACAACTTTCTATTTCTTTCTAACAGGTTGTTACAATATGGGAACCACCACTTATAAGGGGCCACCTATACCCGTGTTACTCTACATTTATTGTCCCATAAAAGAGACACCAATTGTAACTCAAGGAAGCCAGCTGCTCTGGTGCTTTGCTTAGTTTGAAAATATGCTGACTAGTCCCATTATAAACAGGCTTATTACTCTTTGATCTTTTTCTCCTTTGTTATTAATTAGAAATATTATCACCTTGAATTACACAGTGACGAAGTTATTAATGATTAAGTTTTCAGGCATACAATATTCCAAGGCCAGTCTCCTCAGAAACGCCTACTTCCCTCTACCAATGTCCCTAGTTTCTCTCTAATTTTTCAATGGGATAAACACTGTTTTCTCATAGGCCACTCTAAAAGAGGGATGCAATTATTTATGAACAGAATGAATATAAACAGAATGCCTAACAACGGCAGAAACCAACATGAATATCTTTTTCAATATTTCATCAAAGAAAGCAATTCTATTTTAGATTTTGCCTCAATAAAAGCAATCTCAGTGTTCAAATTAGTACAGAGACTCTCCTCTGTACCCTTAGAGTGACAAGTGTTTGTCAGTCCTTTTTTGAAAATTCAGCACAGGAACTGTTCTTTATCTGCATTTTTTCAGCCCTCCTCTGAGCCTAATTAGTGATTGTCAAGATTTCTTTTCCCAGGTATGCATCCAGTTTATGATAGGTACTAAATAAATGACTTCTAAATGAATCAATAAATCAATGAACAAATGCAAGGATAGCAAGTAGGAAAAATAAACAGGTACAGGTACAGATATTAGTGAAGAGGATGAGAAGAGATGGGCAGAAATAATCCATAGACATGCACTCTTTCATCTGATTGACTTAAACAGAACTTATGTCCTGCAAGTAGTGATCTGATACAGGGTATATTTAGGATATATTAGAAACACTATATTGACTACTTCTGATCTACTGAGATGTTAAAATATGCCAGGGTATCTTATTTCTGGATAAATACCTGCTATGGTAAGCCTGATATATGTGTGTGTGTGTGTGTATATACATATATATGTATGTGTGGTGTGTGTGTATATATATATAGATATATATACATATATATATCACCCAATTCAGTGCATATCATTCAATACAGATTTACTGAATGCTGATTACCTTGAAGTTAAAAGAAAGAACTACTTAGCCAGAATGGCATGAAGAAATTAGAGAAAGTTCCCTACATTTGGTGGGGGGGGAGGGTATTTCTTAAAACAAACTGTTCCTTGAAAAACAAGGTAATAACATAAGTGAAAATAAAACGATATAAACATTATTCTTTATTAAATGAAAAGGACAGACACAGAAAGATTGCATTCATCTGGGGAACAAAAAGTAACAAAATAGGAGACTAACACCCAAGAATAGCTGAGATAAATAACAGTAGGTTTACTCCATGGCTTGGAGGCCAGCCGCACACTCTAGGGGTAAAGGCAGCTCAGATAGAGAAGGGAGCACCAAATAAAGGGTGTTGGGAAGATCTGCCCAGGATGGGAGATGCATGCTGAAAGTAGACTATAGACCGAACATGATTGCCACTCAATGCCTCTTTTGCAAACCACAGCACCCAAAAAGGAGAGAGAGAGAACAAAAGGGAGTGCCCTGCCACAGAGGCAGGGTGGGATGGGGGGATGGGAGGTGGGAGAGATACTGGGATTAGTGGTGGTGGAGAATGGGCACTGGTGGAGAGATGGGGACTTGATCATTGTATAACTGAAACCCAAACACAAAAATTTATAGGTTCACTAATAAAAATTTAAAAATAAATAAAAATAAATAAAATAAAATAAAATAATTTACAAAATATGATATTTAATGTGGAAACTTAGAATATCATAACTTCAGGTTTTTGTCCATTTTGTCCCCATTCACGCGGGGGACCACAATGATGCACACTTACATAGGAAGTGACTTGGTAGCATTTATGACCAAGATGACTGGGGGACATAGCTTCTTAGCAACCAGTGGTCCTGAATGAGGCTGCCTCTTGAGTTTCACTTGTGAAATGGAGACGGTGACCTTGATCTTACCCAATTTGGTGAGGTGACTGTGGGCGATCAATGTAGGGGCAAGAACACAGTGATGGACATATAGTGCTAGTGAGATTGGGCAGGCGGCCAAGACCTGGGTCAGAGACTGTGTCCTAAGAGTGTGTGGAGGCTGCTTGGGGAAGGAAGTAAGAATCATAGCTTCTTTCAGAAACAGAGTTTTCCTCAGTATTTACATATGGGGGAAACTGAGGCTCAGAACATTGGACTTGGCCACATCAGAAGTCAGACTGATATCAGAATGGGTCCATCGACACATAGAATATTTTTCAACATCCCTCCCTTGTCTAAATTTCTTCCAATTCTGAATATGTCATGAGCCACTCCCGTAAGGTGCTGTGATCCCACGCCACACTGTGGGCTGCCCATTCCTGCACCCATGCTATGCCAATTCAAGAGAAGGTGGGCACGTGACCCGTGAATATTCTTCTTAGAATTCTCATGGAGTAATGACACAATCTGGTCACCACTCTCAAACTTGTCACCTGATTATTGTTCTAATCGGAGAGACCAGTGTTTTTGTTTTGTTTTGTTTTTTTACTTTTTGTGTCACACCTGACTATGCACAAGGGTTACTCCTGGCTCATGCACTCAGGAATCACTCCACGATGCTGGGAGGACCAAATGGGATTCTGGGAATCAAACCCAGATTGGTCGCATGCAAGGCAAACGTCCTAATGCTGTGCTATCGTTCCAGCTCCAGAAAGACCAATATTTGAATGGAGGAGAATATAAAGATATCTCTTACCTGTGGCCCCAGCAATCCAGGAATCCCTGGGGAACCTGCTTCACCTTTCTTCCCCTAGGAACAAAAGAAAAAGTCAGATTTAACAGAAATCCTGGTGTCACCCTGAGGCACTTTGATAATGTATCTCAGTCTTGATTTCTTAAACTCTCTGATTAACAAAGGCTGCCTTGTTCCCAGAAAGGTTACAGAGAAGAGGTGGGAGTGGAGGAAAAGGCTCAAGCTTGGGGTTAAGCTTTGGGAATCAGGTCTGTAATTAGGTGAACTCGGTAACATATGACCCCAAATATGTTCCAACTTCAAGACCTTTCCGTTGGTTTTTTTTTCTTTCTGTCTGCAATACTCATCCTACAGGTAACCTATGATTCAATCTCTCAAATCAATCTGGTCTCTATTCAAATGTCCCCTTGTACAAAAAGCCTTCTCTGAGCAGCATAAGTCAGCATACCTATTTTACTGTGCCCTACTCACCCAAACGCATTATTCTCATTTCTTTCATTGCCATATATGACATGAATGCTTGTATTCGTTTGTTGTCTGTCTATTCCTTCTGGATCAAACATATCCTGAAAACCACAGGCTATTTCTTGTCTAATGCCATGTCTTTGGGACCAGAATTATACTTGTCACGTGGTAGAAACTCTATTAATATTAGGACTTGAACAAATAAACTGTATCTTTGATCTCGATGTGGCTCTGAATCATAAAAATAGCAGTGGAAATAATACTAAATATTAAAGTTAAGCAACGTTAGGAAGGGGAGAAACAGCTTAGCCATTCATTGAAATTATTACTGCAAAGAGAGAGAGTGGTTAGAATTCCCTGAATCTGTAACCCTGAGCTGTGCAGCACTTTGCTCTAAAAGATAAAATGAAGCTTTGACCAGAGAGACTCTGGTAAAAAACAGGCAAGTTCTAAATCTAGTCCCCAGTTTCTTTAGAAGTGAGTCAGTGCCTTGAAGGTAATTTGTTTCTTTATCCAAATAATATGCTGATTAATGCTGATAAGTGGATAAGACCTTCTAGCTCTCCCTCCCTCCTCAGAGAACCAAAATTAGGCAGAATCAATATCCTTCCTAGACAGACAATTCCCTACATCATTTGTTTCATGCTTATTCCATAGAGTCACTGATTATTGACATGATGAATAAATCATCTTCCCTTAAGAATAGTGAAATGACCTGGTAAATCATGAGCAGAATTCAGTACCAAGGTCAGCAAAATAACTCCTTAATAAGAGGTGAATGAAATAAGGGTTGATATAATGCTTGATAGAAAAGAATCAGAGAAAAAATATGCTGAAAATCTCTGGTTGTGACAGTGCATAATAATTTATTAAAATGCCAATTGTGCAGAAAGGTAGTATTAGTTTCCCTCTCCCATATAATCTATAGCCGTTTTGAAAGATCTACGACATCTCCGCAGCAAGCTGTCCTGGCTGTTTCGAGAGTCTTATGCAATGAAGCTACTATTGCTCCATGAGCACCTAAAATGAGCAAAAAACATCTAGGACCCCTAGGTGGAGTAGAAAGGTGCCTCCTACATACAAAATAAAAACAAAATGACCTTGAGAAAAGAAATAGACAGGTCATAGAGATGTGGCAAGAAATTCACAATCAAAGCATTGCAGCAAGGCAGCTGTTGCTCCCTAAACTTTTGAAAAAGATCTAATTTTTCATGAATCTTCTATTATGGAGCATCACACAGAAAAATACTAGGGTGACATTTAAACCTCTCTACCAACCCCAGTACGTTTCTTTATACATTCTTCAACAACAACTCTGAAGCCTCTCTAATGCCTCTCAAAATTTCCCAAGCTAAAACCCCAGGGCCCTGACCTAGCTCATCTGCCAAGTTTCTTCTCAGACTTGTTACTGCTTTTGAAGAATAAAAGAAACTCTGTCTAAATCATGCCTTCTTCTAACATAATCAGTTCTCTTTACCTAAGACATGATAGCTGAATTTCCCTATTTGGAAATTGTTCTGCCCCCGTGACTCTAACATGCCTCTTCAGCTCTGTTCCCCATCTCCATGCCTTTTCTCTGAAAGAAAACTTCAAGTTGATTCCTAGCTTGACTTCAAGCACCCACTTTCACTTTAACACTTATGTCCTCATATCTCATATCTCTGATGTCTGAAGAGATAATACAGTGGATAAAGTGTTTTCTTTTCAGAGAGCCCTAAGCGTAGAGCAAGAAGTAACCCCTGAGCTTCACTGGGTATAGTCCCAAAACAAAAAAATAAGGAAAATAAAATTTATAACTGTTGAGAATGTGCTCACATAACTGCCTCTGAGATACTGCACTTCCGATCTCAACTGTCAAAGTTATTTCCTAAGATAGCCCACCATTATTTAGGCAGTAATGATTTTAAAATGTTAAGTATGACAAGAAATTATATTTGAGAGATACATCCCTGGGTGTTATCTAAGAGCCAAATTAATTAGAATTAATTATTTACTAATTAATTAACTAATTAATTACAGTTATATAATTCTTAAAAATCTAAGTAGTTATAAGGACCTGCATATTCAATGCAAAACAATAGATTTTATATATTTTCTACTCAAACCCTTAGTTCTACCTTATTATTAAAAAATAATTCTAAATCTAAGGTAGATGAGAGAACGCATATTTATTAAACTCTCTGAGCCTAGTTTACTTGTGCAAAATATTATAGTCCTTGGGGCTGGAGTGATAGCACAGTGGGTAGGGCGTTTGCCTTGCACATGGCTGACTCAGGCTCGATTCCCAGCATCCCATATGGTCCCCTGAGCACCGCCAGGGATAATTCCTGAGTGCAGAGCCAGGAGTGACCCCTGTGCATTGCTGGGTGTGACCCCCCCAAAATTATAGTGATTACAATTGTCTCACTGATAGTAGTAATATAAATAATTCAATATTTGAGAAAGTGATCTATAAAGCATAATAAACCATGATTTGAAGGTGAAAGATCATTATGACAATGAGGAGGAAGGAGATAATGACTACAGTGATGAAGAGATTATAATAGCAGTTATTTTGGCTCTACTGAGTTCCTGTAGTGGAAAATAGAAATTTTCAAAACTGATTCCATCCAGCAGTACCATAAATATTAGATTATACCCTAAAGTGCTTAGGTTCTGACATTGGAAAATGTGTAGTGATGGTTTTCATGGTACCAGTGGTGAAGTTGATAATGGTACTGGTGGCAATGTTGCTAGTGGTGATGATGACGATCATGGTGCTGGTGATGTTAACAATCATGGTGATAGCGATTTTGGTGATGGTGAAGTGGACAGTTATGCTGATGGCAATACTGATACCAGTGAAAATGGAAATTCTAGGGGTAGTGATTATAACAGCAATTATGTGACCTCTACATTTTGAATATGTTATTGATTGTGGGAATTTCAGAAGTACTAAACTATTATTATCGTTTATAATATAGTACTATTATTATTGTTTTTGCATGAATTCTATCCTTTTAATCTATCTACCTAGCCAACTTGTTTCATTCAATAAATGTTTTATTGCTTATCTTTTCTTGTTAATTGATGCTCAAAATAATATCTAGAGTGTTCATAATTTTTCATGAGGGCAAATTTTTCAAGTCATTCTGAATGTCAAGATTACTGAATGGAACTATTATTCCTAAGTCCTTGCCTGATCTAGAGAGGTGGGAAGACTGTAAATTCAAGGCAACAATTCTCCCCACACAGTAAAAGCTAACACAGACATGTGGTGGATTCTTAGCATATAAAAGGTTTGCTTATGCAGGTAACTATAATGTATCTTAAATAGTATTTGATTAGTTCTTTTATTTTTAGGCTTCTGAATGTCAAGGATCATTATTTTCTACAGGTTTTATTTGAACCTAGGTACTCAGGGAAATCTAGGGTGCCCTGAATCCATATTATAAAATGAAACAAACACAGGGATGATCCAGGGATGCTGTTACCCTCTTATAAGGCAAAGAAAGGGAAGGGTAAACAGACATTAAATATTAAAAAGTCAAACAAACTCAATACAGATTGTCAAGCACAAAAGAACACCGATGTTTCTCTCCTTAAATCTACTAGAAATCAGAGCTGATCACTTGGCAACATGAGACCTACTTCAAATGCAACAGCTCAAAGATTTAAGGAAAAGTTATTCAGTGCTTCCTGAAGAACAGGCATTTATTAAAGAGTTATTAAAGAGTCCTAGATTTCATAAGGCATCCATCACAAGGACAATTAACCTGTAGTTCAGAAGTTTTGTGTGCATGTAAACACATACACACATATGTATATGTGCACATACATAAACATCTGCTTTCATTTATAAAGTTTGCAACAGTGGATAAGAAAAGCTATTCCCGAGGACTGTGTGATTCTAAGCATATTAATATTTCTGAAAATTAAATGTCTGTCAATCTCAGGTATCTCTTACATGGGGATGATTTTCTTAGAACAGGGAAATAACTAAAAGGACTGGAGTCCATGCTTTGCATACAGGAGACTTGGTTCATCCCTGGAACTGCATCATTCTTTGAACAACCATAAGCAACTTGAATACCCTAGAGCTAGATAAGGCAAGACAACATTTTTTAATAAATGACTGTTCTAGAAGCTCTTATATGCTCAAGTGTCTCCAGAGTCTTGAGCTCTGCTCCCAGAACATTAGGTTCAGATGCAACTTGACAAAACTTATTTGGGGTGAGTGACATGCATCCCTAACAATCTCTCCCTAAATGCTTTGCTCAATCAAAGGAGAGAAAATCTGAAGCTCAGATTCATGCAGTAACTTCTCTACTTCCCATCTACAGGGGATGGGGGAAATGAATGGCTGCTTAAACTTTCCAGCAGTGGCTGTATCTCTGGTAGCTCTATGAAATAATTTAAAGGGTTCAAGCTCTTGATCCCTGTTCCCCTTATTTCACTCTGCCGTTGTGGTAAAACGTGGTACATTCATTTAGTCCATATGAACATATTTGCCTTGCCAGGGATTATACTATCTGCCTATTGCTAGTCTTAAAAATAAAGAACCCAGATATCTTTTCCAGCTTCATAATTTAGTCTTACAGGGTCTCAATGTACAGGTTTTCATGCCATGTCATTGTCTTGTGTCTTTCCTTTTTTTATAACCCAGGTCTGTGAGTAATGTTCAGTAGCAACATTCAGAATGATATTTCAGTTGAAGCCAATGAAGAGGAAATGACAAAACACTTTGTGATAAGGAGAGATTTAATTTGTTTTAATAATTCACTGTGTCCTGTATTTTCCTAACTCAGCCAGAGTTTAACTGATGAAAACTTCTCTGAGACCACACTGACATTCCAATTTGTTTCTGCTCTTTTATTGGAGAGTTACCGAACTAGTAATATTCATGGGGTAAAATATAGTTCATATCAAGGATGCAGTGATGGAAGGCTCATGGTGTTCAAGACATACTCGACTATTTCCTTCTATTCAATAAAGGCAGCAAGACAAGAGGAGAAACTCCTCTGTGACCCAGTGCATTCTATATGAATACCCACATCAGTCTGAAGTGTGATTAAAGAATAGTGGGGTTCACATGTTTTAGAGCAAATACTCAGCTAACCTATGACAACATACAATCAGTAACTCATAGGATCTTAACAAATAAAAGAGATGGCTAATGATACAGGACAAATTTTGGCTGAGTTTCAGACTTCGCCATTTCCATCAATTTTTCAGTGTTAACCTGACTCTGAACCAAAACTTCTAATGACAATGAGTTTAAATCACTGCATCTGGTAAGTGCCTGACCTATCATTGATGAGATGCATTAAGTTTAAGAGTTATAGTTTAGATTACATGATTTTCATGCTACTCTGTGCCAAGAATTTTAATAGGAGTTAAGAAAACAAAGCTGAGTGTCACTCCTAGTCCATTTTGTTGAGGGAAACCAAGAAGGGTATCTAAGCCTAGAATGTGTCTAAACCCTTCTTTCTTAGAGCATTATACTGAGGTGGGTCTACATTAAATGAAACTCAGAGAGCACACACAATTAATATAAAATGCATGCATAATTAGAGTACTATATGTGATATTGTATTTTATGCCACTCTTTGAAGTTCTCTCTCTTTCATACTTTTTCCTCAAGACATCACCTTTATAATTATCCATGTCTGGTCAGTTTGGTGAGCTTTCACTTCTCTGTGCTATCTAGTCCTGTGATTCTTTCTACAGTGGCTCTGATTAGATAGGGGTGTGAGTATACAAGACTCATGAATAACAGAAGAATCACCTCCATGTACCAAATTCAACCGAACATCTAACATATATCAAGTAGATCCTCAATCTTATCCAATGAATAAATATAACTCTTCAGTATGCTTCTGATATTTATTTCTAAATTCTAATTTCTGTTATCATCAACAGAATCATTAATTCTTCTTACATTCTAACATGAAGACTAGAGTGTATGGCTAGAGGAATCAGAACAGTAAGACGATTTACTTACACGAAGACCTTGTAAACCAGGATGTCCATCATCGCCTTTTGGGCCCATCAGACCCTTTAGAAATAAAAGAAAAGGTTGAAAAGGAGACAATGGTTAAAACACCATCTATATCAAATAGTATAACTTTCCCTAACCTTCTCACAAATAGGAAAATACCATCTCAATTAAGTGGAGAAATTAGGAAAGAAATAACATCCTGTTCTTTCGAATATTTAATATTTTAAAGCAATTTCATCTATTTGATCTAATTAATGCATTCTGTAATTGAGATATAGGTAATAATCACTTTCAAGATGTCTAGAATAAAGATAAAATATTTTCACCTATACTTGGCAAAAAGAAAACACAAAGGAAGTGTATCAAGCGCAGAAACTACAAGAATCTGTTTTATATTTGAGAAAAAGATGAAAGATTCTAATCTCATTGCCAGTTCCATTGTTTGGATACTCAGTGAACCCTGCTGTTTTCATTGATAGAATGTGATATAGCTTTCTTTCTGGGATTTCCAAACACAAACTCAAAATGTTATAACTTTCAACATAATTCACTAAAGCTATATCCTGAATTAATTCAGTCCTATGAATAATTACGGAGCCACATCTCTATGGAAGCCCATGGGCTGTTGGGAATTCAAAGAACCAAGTTTAATTGATACAAACATTGAGTTTAATAATAGATTCATTCATCAATACTTTCTACAATGGTTCATTTACCCCCCCAAACCATATTTATGGATGATATATCAGAAGTATAATGATAATGTGTATTTTTAAAAATAAGCAGAAGTGGATCATAAAAATTAATAATGTCAGCAAAGATACCAAAGACAAGAATCCAGATCCTCTGGGTCCTAATCCCAAGTACCTTTCACAACCAGGTTGTTCATTTGAGCTGTGGTAAAACTCGGTCCCTTTTAATAATGAATTAATGTTTTTTAAATAGGTATTTCCAACATGTAGACATTAAGTTACCACTATTGGAAGAACCTTGTTTTTAGGTATGGGAAACTTATTGACTCTGACCTTCAAAAAAACTTTATGATCATGTTCTCTCTCATCACTGTGGCTCCCCTTCCTTTTTATATCTTATTGTTTATTAATCTATTTGGGCACCATAATTTTCAATACTGTTAAAAGTCATGCTTCAATCATACAACATCACTACAGCATACCCACCACTACAACATCAGTCTCCTTCATCTCTGTCTGTAGAGTCCCTGCCAACTCTACTCCACCCCTTTCATGAACTCAGTTCTGTAGATGAACTCTTTAGGGTATGTTATCAGTGGGACTTTCTGCAGTTACCTTACTATGTTTTTTTGCACTCCACCTGTGAGAGAGATCATTCAGCATTTGTCCACCCCTTGAATCATTTCTGACTAGCTGACGAGTACTCCTATAAATGTAACACAGTTTACTGATCCAGTCATATGTTCTTATTTCCTCCTCTTAGCAAAAATTCAGGTAGACTGTTGGATTTTGAACTCCTTCCAGGGGCATTTCATCATTAACACAATGAGTTTTACTAAATTCCATTCTATTAGGAACACCTAGCCTAGAGAACCTATGAAGAACACTGGGCAGCTCCACTGGAAAGCTTGGTTAAGGAATTCTGGTATCACTAACTAAGGCTCAGCACTTTCTCTGTGACAAGTACACAGCCACAGAAATGACAAATGACATGCAAGGGATGTTCATTAGTCATACACAAATCCAAGTGTTTACTCTTGATTTTTTTCTTTCTTCCCTTCCTTGCAAACATATTTCATTAAACTAAAATTTGTATATTTTATGACTAACTTCATGTTGTGTGTAGTATAAAGTCGGTAACCATAGTAGTTGGGAATTCCATTCTTTTCCTTTGTCCTCATATATTATGATAAAATCAGCATAAGGTGGAAGGATTATCATTTATCCAAATCCCAAATCCCAAAGTGAGAGACCAAGGGGGTATTGCCATGATTGAGTTAGGTTAAGTTTTGCTCCTTAGTTAGAATCATGAAGTAAAATAGTGCCTGTATTTCAGAAGTACCACTGCACTTCACACTCAATGATACAGAGAACAAATATTTACAGTTATTGAGACAAATGTTCAATAAACTACATTTATTTGTTATTGGCAGTGTAACTTTGTGCAAATCATTTAACATCTTACATAATTACTTCAATGATTGAAAAATGAAAATTCCTTCACTCTTTCAGAATTAATATACATAAATTATGTACATATCAATATATTATGGTACAGAAATTCTTTATTTGTTAATTAAGATCTAAAAGACATATGCAAATCAACAATTTCAACAAGTCTGGAAAACTAGATTTGGTGATGTTTGGTGATATTTGGTGATGTCTAAGGTTACAAAGACATAAAATTTCATTCTAATTTCAATATTTGGATACTAAATTGTTCTACTTACATTGGGATTAAATATTTAGTCAGTTAATTCTAGTTTTATTCCAGTAAAAGGGGCATATTCATCTTAATGATAAAAAGGCTTTGGTAGATTAAATATAAGAAAGATCTATTCAAGTTTCAAAGTAAATGTGCCTTTTCCCATAATAAAATTCAATGACCCAAAAGAGGCAGCAGTACATTGTGAACAGGAACATGGTTAAATTAGTGGTCTGTAGGATTTACAGTTTTCTTATTAATTAACTTTAGTCAGAATTTCTATCTCAATTTTATCACAAATTTTCTTTGAATAGCCTCTTGGATATTTATACACTATTAAATTATTTATAGAGGGAAAATAACAAAAACTAAAATTCCTCAAGCCACAACAATTTTACTATAAGAATGGATACAGTAAATGCATTGGAAATTATTCAACAACCATAAATATATTCTGTTTTTCTATTCATTTAAGACAATATATATCAATATATACCATCAATATATACTTTTTTTTTTCATTTTATTTAAAAGTAACCTGAGACACCAAACTAAAACACAAGAATCCAAGTCACGATATATTAGAGACTGAGAATATGAAGACAGGCTACATAAGCTTCACTTGAAAAGCCATGCGTATAATTAAATCCTCTACTGCCAGAAATTATCTCTCTGTGGCTGCAAATCTTCCCTGTCGAGATGATGACAATAATATTGGTTATATTCAACTGTCGGTATCATATTCTCAGAAAACTTAGTGCTCAGTAAGAATAATGATTACTTCCCAGACTTGATAAGGTTCAGAGTGAATCATTGTGATGAGGTGAGGTGACTTACCGGAGCTCCTGGAGGCCCAGGTGGGCCCTGGTGACCCCGTGGTCCAGGAGTACCCTAGTAACAAGAAAAATATTCATTAGTCACACATTGCCTCTGCATATGGCTGTCTATGATCTTTTGTTGGCCCAACATTTACTACCATAATTTCCTACATGTACTAGAAGTATAGCAGGTACATTTTAATTCCTGGCAGACCTACTGGACATCTCTAAAGGATTCCATCTGAATTTGACAAGTTAACCCCATGATCTTTACTAAATTGAACACCCACTAGTGGGGGATTCATGTTCCCCTTACCTGCTCACCCTTCAGGCCCTCTTTCTGCACCTATGGAACAAATCAGAAGTTAGGAAAACTGATTATATTTTCTCAATAATGGTCAACTTCTCTGTTGGCATATTCACAAAGCATGGTTTAATGCAATGACCTATCTGATTTGATCCCATTTTTAGTATGAAAAGTCTTATAATCAATTTGTCTCATGAGAGGTATTACATTTTATTCTTAGAAGCAAGAACTTTTCCAACAGCCCATCATTAGACTATGAATCCATGATTACCGTTTGTGATGTCTTTATTACTTACCACAGAGCCTGGAATACCAGGAGGTCCCGAAGGCCCCACAGCACCCTGGATGGAACAATAAAAATTTCAACAAAATGCTTATTTTCTGATGTGCATTTTGTTCAGAGCTCACATTTATTCAAGTCCACAGACTTCTTCCTTGTACCCTACAAAACATGATGTCATGTCATGCCACTTCTTACTCCCTTGCTAGCTATAGTATTTAACATCCTCCATTTCTTTTGTTTGTTTATCTTCATTTGGGGGCCAATCAGACAATGCTCAGGGCTTACTCATGCTCTGGAGAGTTCAGGGCTCAAGACCCATATGGGGCATCAGGAATCAAATTCAAATCAGCAGGATGCAAGGCAAACATCTGACCCACCCACTATACTGTCACTCCAGCCCCATATATATAATCTTCAGTCTTTTGTGTCCAACCCATATCTTCATATAAAGATGGTGGATGTCTTGAGTGTAGGCACCTTGATTTATTTTTGTACATTCATCCCAGTAGCTAGATCTTGTTGCTCCTTTACTTAGAGATTTGATACTTAAGAAAAAATATGCCCTTGGTCTGCTTTCCTACGAGCACCTAGCTGTTGTGGTACACACTGCTGTAAGCACAGCAAGAGAAGTATCAAGAGCAGAAATCTTATGGCATATCTCCCATGTGACAAGTCCAAGATTCAGAACATAGTCCATGCTCAATAAATAATTATCAAATTAGTAACACAAGTGGCATAAAAATCTACATCCATTTCTAGCAAATCATTATACAAAATAAAGGGCTGGAGCGACAGCACAACAGTAGGGCATTTGCCTTGCATGCAGTCGGCCCAGCAGACCCGGGTTCGATTCCTCCGCCCCTTTCAGAGAGCCTGGCAAGCTACCAAGAGTATCTCGCCCGCATTGCAAAGCCTGGCAAGCTACCCATGACGTAATCAATATGCCAAACACAGTAACAGCAAGTCTCACAATGGAGACGTTACTGGCCCTCTCGAGTAAATCGATGAACAATGGGAAGACAGTGCTACAGTGCTACAGTCTCCAACTTTATTATCTCTAGGTCACTTGGCCAATGATGCAGTGGTGGGGCAAAATTATCCAGTGTGTGAACTTAGGTCTTGAATCTATGTGTCTACTATAGAAATATAAAGTTCTGTAGTACCCTAACACTAAAGAAACTAGAACACACAAATTCAATGTACTTGATTTGGGTAAATGACTCTTCAATTACCATAGAGGTTGGTTCAGGGAGTAAAAGAAATATTTTACAAAATCACTGTATAGTAATTTGGTGAAGAACAAATAAGTTGTGAAATTAAATCATCTTCAACTCAAAGATCAAAAAAAGGAATTCATAATTAATTAATGAATTAATTATGTCCATCACACTTCACTGCATCTGAAATTTCAGTATATGAACAGGAAATACTTTCTTTTATATAATTACAATTTTCCTATGAACCCTGCTTAAGAAATGAAATCACCAATATTTCCATAATGACATGTGTTTTACTAAAATCTCAATGAACAAAATTTATTTTTCTGTGCACTTCATTTTGTAGAGAGGTTTGGCTTCACAGAAACATTAAGTGGAAGTTTTAGAATTGGTATTCTTATATCTAAATTCTAAATGTCAATTTTCCAAGTTTTGTATCTCACATACACCATGCTTTATTTTCTTGGTAAAACATGTTCATTTCATGTTTTCTTTCCATTCATCACCACCAAGATTTAATTACACATACATGTTCTCACATATAGACCCCCACACACTCACACATTTAATTTTTAAACAATTTTAACCACTCCAGATACTTCCGTGACAGGGATATATGATAATATCTGTGCATTCATGTACTTCAGACTCAGATATCTCTTCTCCATTCCCTCATGGACATTCTTAAATTTCTCATGCAGAATTTCACTCCTTTATATTTCACAGATATTATTAATATTTGGGGGAACATATATAATGGTATATGATAATTAATTTGTATGGTTATAAAACTATATATGTGTAACTTTCTGTTGTTTCAAAAATGTCTCTCTTCTTTATTTATACTGTCTTACCATCACATTCATCTTTGTGTGAGTGAATGAGTTGTAAAATATTCATCTCCAAATTTTGCTGTTGTATTTATCATTACCATGATTACACCACAGAAGTGGCTTTTTCAATTATAATTCTTAAATTAAGTAATTAATGTTTTGTTCATGTATTTATTAATAGTATAGGATATGAGCTCAAATGCCCTACCATGATGTCATTATTAAGGAAAACAAATATCCTATAGTCCATCGATAAAAATTATATGTACATAGCTGCTATTGGAGCCTTGTATCTGCGAGGCTTGTTCTTGACATATATTAAGTACTTTCTTCTATGATACTATCTTTAGATATAAGAAAAGTTGAGGGGAGACATTGAGTATCTTGTTCAAGTTAAAGAAAAATCACTACATAATAGAAGTGACAGTATGTCCCTGTATCATGCTTTTTCCACTGAGTAATGCATTTTTGCAATGACCAATATTAGCCACCAATCCTCCAGGATGCCTTTGAGTGGCTTCATCTCCCAATAATCACATGCCAGAACATCACTCTGTCCCCTTCCTGAGCTTTGACTCTGATTTGTTCAGATGAGCATCACAGTTGTCTTCTTAATGCTACTCCAGAGCCGCCTCTCCCTAAAGTAGAAGGTAAAGGTCTACTTTACCTTCTCTCCTTGTGGTCCAGTCGCACCAGGAGGACCAGGTCTTCCCTGGAGGAAAGAAGGAAAGTGGTCTGTCAATATACTATGGAAAAGGGAAAAAGGTAAGAGCAATGCAGCTCCAAAGCTGAAGTTTTACATTTCCTCAAAACATATAGGTTCCCATAAACCAGAATTCCTAGAGTGTGCTCATTGCTAGAAAGTTCCTCAACTAAACTGATTACCATCTCTATCCTGGTCCTTTTGAACTTAAGTTTGAATTAATACAAAACTGGAGAACACTTCTAAGTGAGCAAAAGAGCAAAAATTTCCTAGGGAATATTGTTACACAAGGGGAGAATATAAGTTAGAGGCAGAGAAGCAAGCAACCAGATCTTCTTTTCTGGCCCCCAAAATATACAAGGTCAAGATTGATGTTGTCCCACCAGAGACTGGCACAAAAAAGAACAAGAGCAACCAGTGCTGATTGTTCTTCATTGTTGGAGAGTCTTTTGAGACCAACTGTTCCAGTCTTTTTGTAAAACAATATAGGCATTCCTCAAAAAGCTAGAAATTGAGTTTCATATGACCCTGCAATACCACTTCTGGGAATATACCACAGGGCATATACCAAAAATACACTCCAGAAATGCCATTTGCACTTCTATTTTTATTTCAGCACTATTCACAATAGCCAGAATCTGAAAACAATCCGAGTGCCCAAGAAAAGATGACTGGTTAAAGAAACTATGGCACAACTACACAATGGAATACTATGCAGCTGTTGGGAAAAATGAAGTTATGAAATTTATTTATAAGTAGATGGACATGGAGAATATCATGGTGAGTAAAATGAGTCAGAAGGAGAGATTTAGACAGAGAATTATTGGACTCATTTGTGGGATATTAAAAAAAACATAATATGAGACCAATATTCAAGGACAGTAGAAACAAGGGCCTGAAGGATTGGTCCATGGTTGGAAGTCTCACAAATGCTAGGGGAGAAAGCAGTTGGGATAGAGAAAGGACCATCATGACAAAGATGGTTGGAAATGATCACTCTGGATAAGAATTACATGCTGAAAACAGGTAAAGAAACAAAGTACTTGTATTGCAAACCATAATGCCCCAAAGGGGAGAGAGAGACATAGACAGAGAGAAAAAAGAAAAGTGTCTGACATAGAAAAGTCTTAGCAGAGGGTTATGGAATGGAAACTGGGGACATTGGTCATGGCAAGTATACACTGGTGGAGGGACGGATATTGGAGCACTATGACTGAAACCCGACCCTGATCACCTTTACAACTCTGTATCTCATGGTAACTCAAAAATTAAAATAATTTTTTTTAAAAAAATCTGAAAAAAAAAGATTAGTGCTGCCACCCGGAACCCTGAACATAGCCTATCTAGGGCTAAAGGAAGATTAGCATGGCTGACTGTAAATTCTAGACTCTGCATCAGAATTAATTAATGCAGCCAAGAATCAAGGTCACAAAGCATAGATATAGAAGCTCAGGAATCCTTCTCTTTAATGATGCCCCATGGAAGCCTTCCATGAGCAATATCCTGCTGAGATGATGCAATAAAAGTCCAAGTGAGGATATCTCAGAAGCTACCAGTCCATAATTCTCACCCAACCATCTATCACTATATAGGAAAGAGAAAAAAATATATAGAAGTTAGCTGGACCCTCAAAACTATTGTGATTTTTGTAAGAATCTATCCTCAGGCATAATTAGAGCAGAAAATGTATAAGGAAGACTCTCACTTCCTTTCAATCACACAGCAGAATCTTTGAAGTTGTGGATGTCCTATGATCACAGAGAACACCCCATGATGTCTACTGCTTCTAAAAGGTCCCTCTAATTCTCTGGACCTTGTCCTGCTGCTTTCACATCTTTACTATTTCATGTGATGCTGCTTGTTTGTGGGAAGCAGATGGATCTTCACCATCACCAAGTCTGTGTTGCAGATGTTAAGAACCAGAATTTGGCATAGAGGAGGCTCATGGTGAATATTTTTTTAAATATTTTCTAAAAATTTTAAAAATAAAAATTGATAAATTATTGTACATTCATAGCAAAGACTACAAATAGTCATTTTGACTCATGCCCTCAGCAAATATTTAACAAAATATCTACATGTTTATTACTATAATATTAGAGGAATGAAGAGGGGATATATAAAAGCATAGTTCCAATTTGTGATATTATGATAAGTACGGGCTGGAGCGACAGAACAGCGGGTAGGGTGTTTTCCTATACACACAGCCAACCTGGGTTCAATTCCTCCGCCCCTCTCGGAGAGCCCGGTAAACTACCGAGAGTATCCCACCAGTACAGCAAAGCCTGGCAAGCTACCCGTGGTGCATTCAATATGACAAAAACAGTAACAACAAGTCTCACAATGGAGACATTACTGGTGTCCACTCGTGCAAATCGATGAACAACAGGAGGACAGTGCTGCAGTGCTACATTCAATAAAAATAATTCTAAAAAACAGAATATATATATAAATATATATATATATATATCTGGAGAAATAGCACAGAGGTAGGGCATTTGCCTTGCATGCAGCCAACTTGGCCGACCTAGGTTCGATTCCTCCACCCCTCTCAGAGAGCCCGGCAAGCTACCAAGAGTATCTCACCTGCATACATATATACAAATATCTTTAAAAGATTTATTATTAAAAAATCTAATAATAGAGGAAGATGGGTGGATAGGAGACAAATGGGGGAGGGGGCATTTATGTAGGGAAATGGACAGCGGTGAAGAAATAGATGTTAAAACAGTATATGCCTGCAATCCAATCATAAATCACTTTGCAATTTCAAAATGATTAAATAAAATAAATAAATAAAACATGGGTTGTTGAAAAGCAGTTACTTACTGAATAACACATTAATATATTTTCAAACTTAAGTGTAGGGACAGGGAGACACACCAAAGACCCTTGTTGGATTCCCAGCACCACAATATAGTTCCCAGAGTACTGCTGGAAGTGAACCCTGAGCAGAGAGCCAGGATTAAGCCTGGAGCACAGCTGGGTGTGGCCCCAAACAAACAAAATTAAATACAATAAAATTAATTTTAAGTGTATAAAATGTTTCTTCTTTTGTCAACTGGATATCTCACCATGTCCAGAAGACAAACAAAACATTAAGTTCCTAGTTTTTTACTTGTTCATCTAAAGATATTACATATTTTTCCGTAAAATTCTATACTTTATTTATTAAGCATTTTATAATTTCTCTTATAGACAACCAATATCAGCCAATTAAGAGTTTCTTCACTAAGGAAGGACTGCACTTATTTGTGGAGTATAAAACAACATAACATGAGGCTGACACCTAAGTATAGTTGATACACAGGACAGATAGATTGCTCCATAGCTGGAAGCCTGCCTCATGAGCAAAGGGGAGAAGGCAGCTGGAATAGAGAAGGGATTACTAAGAAAGAGATGGCTAGAGGAATTGGTCGGGATGGGAGATGTGTGCAGAAAGTAGATAAAGGACCAAACATGATAAACGCTCAGGGTCTGTATTGCAAACCATAATGCCCAAAAGTAGAGAGAGATTATGGGGAATTATGTCTGCCATGGAGGCAGTGGGAGGGTGGGAAAGGGGAGATATACCAGGGATATTGGTGGTGGGGGAATGTGCACTGGTGGAGGGATGGGTGTTTGATCATTGTGTGATTATAACCCAAACATGAAAGTTTGTAACTATCTCACGGTGATTCAATAAAATTTAAAAAAAAAAGACTTTCTTCACTAATTTCCATGGCTTCATATTATTTACATGTATTCTACATCTGATTTATTCAACTAGTTCCTTATTGAAAAGCATATGAGTTGGTTCTGTTCCTTTACTCTTGCACACAAACGTGCTATAAATAAATCACATTGAATACACAGTTTGGTTTCCATGACTTATATATTAATTGGCACTAACAATCAATGCTCGAGCGGGCCCAGTAACGTCTCCATTGGAGACTTTGTTGTTACTGTGTTTGGCATATCGAATACGTCACGGGGAGCTTGCCAGGCTCTGCCGTGTGGGAGAGATACTCTCGGTAGCTTGCCGGGCTCTCCGAGAGGGGCGGAGGAATCGAACTCGGGTCGGCCATGTTGGCTGCATGCAAGGCAAACACCCTACCGCTGTGCTATCCCTCCAGCCCGGGCTTAGAGGGATATAAAGCAGTGTTGGGGGAAACTGGAAAGATAGTACAGTGGGTAGGGCTCTTGCCTTGCAAGCAGCAAATCTGGGTTGATTTTCTTCAATATATGTAGTCCCCCAAGCCCTGCAGGAACTTATTCCTGAGCACAGATCAGGAATAAGTACTGAGCCCAGTCAGGCATCCCAATTAAATAAGTGGTATATTTGGTCTCTGTTCTCTCTATTGGCAGCTAGGCTCTAAAAGAGCTTTGTGTCAGCATCCCAGCATTTCTGTCCTCCATCAAAACCTGATACCATCATCAGCCTACCTGCTCTCCCATCTGCCCAGGCTTCCCAGGATATCCATCCAGGCCTCGCTCCCCCTGGAAAATAAAAGAAAATAAAGAATAGGAAATAAAAAAATAAGGAACAGGAAAGTGATCACCAGACAGCAGCAGACTACACATCCTCATGGTTACCATTCTGCAAATGAGATAAAAGCCATTCGTTAATACCTGACTGTGTGTTTGCTACATCCTCCACTGGTGCTTTCAGCTACAGGAAAGAAGCACTCACGACATAACAGTCTAGAGTTCATCTGTATTGGGTAAAAAAATATAATTTAGGTCTTCTGGAAACCAAATGCCTACGGGTTTTGTAGTTCCCAAATCACTGCCCAAGAGAAGGTAATGTAGCCTCTCAGAATGTAAATTCTCTTATTTTGTGTGACCTTGTGGGCATCTAGTAATGGATGTGTGAAGTTTGCAATGCACTGATACAATAAAATGTACAAACATCTACTATATTCCCGGGGCTTGGGATAGGCCAACAATGGAAGGCATCATCCAAAAGTTCATAATATCCAACAACTGAGTTTTATAAATGAGGAAATTGACAACTTTAGGGATGTGTCTTACCTACACTCACACTGAAATCTAGATATGGAGCCAGGAATAAAATCAAGATCTCCTGGCCTCCTGTTTCAGGTCTCTTTTTTGTAAACATGCCTACTCGCAGTGTAGAAGGTGGTATTTCCATGAAGCTCAGTAAATAGAAATGCTTAACCAGTCGTTATGTTGCAGGTTCTACCAGATAGCTTCCTCAACAGGTGAGCACATTCTTTGTGTGTGAAAGGCCCAGATTCCATCCACAATAAATTGTTCTCTTGGTTGACAGAGGGAAAAATGGAAGTGCTGAGGAATAGCATTCTTCAGTGTCAGCAAAAAAGTCTTCAAGGAGTCAAACATCTCCCCCAAAGCTAAGTTAACAGAACCCACTGACTCATGAGTACGTTTTCTCTCTCTCTCTCTCTCTCTCTCTCTCTCTCTCTCTCTCTGTCTCTCTATTTGTCTCTCTCTGTCTCTCTGTGTTTCTCTCTCACTCACTTGCTCACTTTCTCCCCCAACCCTGCAAGCACATATTGCCCTATTGGCCAACACTGTTCTACCTAAGTGTTCGTAATTATTAATTCAGTCTATCATAATCATTATAATAATTATAGTACATTATGTCACTGTCACTGTCACTGTCCTCCCATTGTTCTTCAATTTGCTTGAGCAGGCCCAATAATGTCTCCATTGTGAGACTCATTGTTACTGTGTTTGGCATATCAAATACGTCACAGGTAGCTTTCCAGGCTTTGCCTTGTGGGTGAGATACTCTCTATAGCTTGCCGGGCTCTCAGAGAGGGGCAGAGGAATCGAACCAGGCTCGGCCAGACCAGCCACATGCAAGGCAAATGCCCTACCACTGTGCTATCACTCCAGCCCATAGAACATTATACAGTAGGTAAACTACTCTCAGCATGAATGAGATTTTGGACTTTAGAATGTACGTAGTCTATCAAAGGCTACTATAATTGTAGAGCTTCCAAACTGAACTCAACCATAGGCTGGCTAAAGATTCACTGTGCAGGATTTCTTCTATGCCACAATGATTCTACTCGGTATAATGATGAGGCTAATGGGGCACTGGTTGAACTTCCCGTTGTGAAGATCACAAAGAGGGTAGGGGAGCATCCTTCCCTGCACTTCCATAAAGCAACAAATTTAGGGGGAAGGGTTGTGGGAAAACATGAAGAGACAGCCTTGGGGAGCACTGGTTGCCCTCCATTGCTATCAGCTTTCTAGTCCAGGTACACATGTGAGAAAACACAAGAATGGACAGGAGATTCCAGAACTTGTTTTTCTTTAATGGGCCACCTGATATTAATAAAACATTACATTAAACTCCAGTTCCTCATCTTTACAATAAGATAAGCTCTACAGGATTCTGTATAATCCTCTCCAGATATAATAATTTGTGATATTTTTAGGTGTGCTTCTTGACTGAAAAAATGTTTTAGCACTAGTGTTATACTAACAGTACCCAGTTCAGGCAGTGGTCTGCTGATTTTTAGAGTTTTCTATTGTTTTATCCAATCCTCATTGCTAAAATTCACCCTCTAAAACAAAAACTATGCTACCTATATACAAAAACATCAAAATAAAAATCTTGTCAAACCTTCCTTAATCTGAATTCTGCCTTGGGTCCTGCATAATCTATCACTACTTCTCATTCATGTCCTAGTGTCAAAACAATATGTTAAGAGATGAACATTGACCACATACTTCATTCATGCCAGGTATTACTTTATGGGTGGATAGAAGATCCCAGTATAAGTAAGATGAGAATATGGTACTCAAGGAACCAGAGGTTTACTTGTTTGTGCAGGGGTGAAAGAAACAAATTAATTACAAGTGACTGACATATCATAGTCAAAATAAGGGCCCCAGGGTACACAAAAGTGGAGGATCTGGGACCTTCCTGAGGAATTCTCTGGAGGACTTCTGAGGAAGGGATACTTAAGGAGATAAAGGAGTTCATGAAAACTTTTATGGCTGAGTGTGTGGATGAATCGTAAGTGACTGAAGGAATATAAGAATATAAGAATATAAAGAAATAAGAGGCTAGATTAATTTAACTTTCTATATATTATTGGTTAGACTTTAGATTTCTGATTGACAGAAGTTATATTTATAATTTTGGATGCTTTAGAGCATATAAAATAATATGACATCTTTGTAGTTGGGAGAAATTTCTTGATATTAGCTTATTACAGAAAACATTGTTGGGAGCTGTTTTTTGAAATCACTAGGATCATCTGTAGACAAAATGACAAGCATGAAAGCTCAAAGGGATCTGGCTCAATCAAGATCTTAACTGAGATTTTACAAAGGACAAAAGTTAAACCTATTACAGAGAAGGGATTCTTATTTCTAATTATTTTTTTTCATGTTTTGGCTTAACACTGTGTCATACCCCCTGAACCTCACTGTGTTTGTCTTAACATTCATCCTGCTTGAATCAAAATGAAAAGTTGTGTGAGACTGAATCTCAGCCTCAGTGGGATTTCCATGAGGTTCTTCCTGCAGCTGCTCAGATGCCCCTTCCTGCAGTCCTGGCCCAGCACCAGAAAAGGCAACACCTCTGTTTGGGGAGCACCTTCCCCAAGGTTTATAGATCTTCCCCTGAGCCACTATATTAGTATAGCACATCTGGAGACCAAAGTCCTGAGGTACTTGGGGGGGGAGCTTTATCCTCTGCCAATACAGCCATTTCTGTCTTCATTATTTGCCTACACTCTTTTTGCTTACCTTCTCATACCTTTGATTCACTAGCTATCCTTAAGTAGATCTTGGTCTTAGGATACAATTTTATAAAAAAAAAAACTCACTAATTTATTTAGCAAACACTCAAGTAAGCCTCCCATCTTCAGCTACTACTGTGTGCTACACAGAGTGATGAAAAGAGTGGACTTTGGGGATCTCTGCCTTACAGGTTGAACTCTTGGTACCATGAAGGCAAAGACTGACCTCAATCTTGACTGGACTGGCCTTGATGGTTACTGGAACTGGCCTCAATAAACATTCAGGAGCTGGCTGAGAGATACATGAGATATACATCCCTGGAGGTCTACTCTAAACCCAAAGCCAGTGGGCAAGTGCTCTCAGGCAATGACTGTATGTTTAGATTTTGGCAACAATCATGTAGAGTTTACCACACACTTTGGACACTAAGAATCACCTTCCTTTTGAATATCTGATAACTCAACTCTGGAACTGAGGCAGTTCCTCAAACCCAGGATTTCCCCATGTCTTGGGAACAAAATCAGACTGTACTCCTTTTCACTCTGGAGGAGTTACTGTACATCAAATCATTTGGCCTTGTTTGATCCTCAGTTATTCCAAATGCCACTTTTAAGCATTCTCAAGGAAGAAAGGAAAAGACAGAGAGCTACACAGTGAATATTGAACTGGTAAAATCAATGGAACCATCTTAAAGTTCTCAACCAAGTAATATCAATCCTAATGATCACAAGATTAGAAGTTAATGTTTGAGCAAACAAGCAGAATCATGCTTTGGCATCTGAGTAAAGCTCCATGTTAGCTTCCTACCTTGCTTTATTTTGAGGAATTTCTTTTTCATATTCCAACTGATTTAATTTACTTGCCTGATAATCTCACTTTGGGGAAGGCAGATGAGGAAATCATCCTACATTTGAAAGATAATAAATACACTATAGGCTTAAAAATGTTCACTATCAAAACATCTATTTCATAGTGGAAAAACTGGATGCAAATGTAAATGATCAATAATAGAGAACTAGGAACATACTTCATTCAATAAAACATTGTATGGCCATTTAAAAATGGCAGCATGAGAAAAAGATACAATATAAAAAATATAACATATAAGATGGTATTAAAATATATAATATACAGCATGTAACTATGTAAAAATAAATCATATATATGTATTTCTGTCTTACAGAAAGTATCCCAAAATGTTCATAGTAGGTGTGAATCAGGATCTGACATTAAACAAGATGTGCCATTGTTTTCAAATATATTAAAAAATAAAATAAAACAAAATGACCTGATTATAGGTAAATTCCAGATAAATTTAGAAAAAAATCTACTGCTGAAGGATAGACTAGAATAGACTCAGAAAAAGTGTTGGAAATATGATTTAGTAGATTTGAGCCAAGTAAAGGTTTTTTGTCTTAGGTAAAGCAATGAATCAAGTCAGTTAAAGACTCTTGAAAACCCAGCATCACTGCCTTCTGGGGAGCTAACCAAGACCATGAGCATTTAAGGCATTAGTGCACTTTGAGAGATCCCTGTTAGCATAGTTTGGCAGGATTGGTCCGTTCTAAGACCTTCAAATATGCCGGCCACTGTAAAAATTTGCATTTAAGAGCCCAGTTAAGATTAGTTCTTGACATTTGCTGAATGAGGGCAAATTTAGAGATCCCAGTTGCAGTACAACATGGTTACCACTTGTCCTTTGTATTTGAAAGTCTGCGAAACAGAGAGAGAGAGACTTGGTAACTTGCCAAGCAAGATGTGAGCCTGTTGTAGAAATAGCAACTGTCTGGATTCCAAGTTAGGGCTCTTTCACATCCTTTCCTCAAAACCTTGAACTCTATTTCTGTGAGAGCATTGCCAATACCAGCAGAATTCTGAGCCCACAGACTTCCTAATTCAGAACTTATATATTTAGGCGAGGGAACAAATGAACTGTTTGTACTAGCCACTGTAACCTACACTTGCAAACAAACACACAAATGCAATCATATGCAAAAGAATGCAGGCACAAATACATTCGCATGCAGGTGCATTCCTATATACACATACATGAGCTCTCATGTACATGTACACACACATGCGCTCATAGACGCATGCACGTGTGCACACACACACATAGCAGCTAGTTCCAACCCGCCCATTCTTTCTCCTGTGGGAAGTTGTTTGATGGATTGAACTAGAGAAAATTCTAAATACCTTTTCTCCTCGTGTTCCCTTTTCACCCCGCTCTCCGTGGAGACCCTAAAGAAGAAGGAAAGGTCAATGAAACAGTGTTTGGAACAGCTTCTCATTCTTACTGTCTGATTGTGTGTTCTTACTGCTCTTACAGCTGCCTGGGATGCCTGTAAATATCACATAGTGGCTGCATTCTGGCCTCAGGCCTGGGCACTCCCACTTGACCCCTGCATGGTAAAAAAGTGGAGCTCCTAGGGCCATTTCCCTGGCCTGGGTTAGCCTGGGTTATCCATGTCCCTCCCGCTAGAGTCTAAAACACAACTAACCACTGTGCTGACCTGGTCAAGGGTAGAAGCTGAAAGTACAGCTTCAGAGTCCAACCCCACTGCCACCTAAATCCTGCATCATGGAATTCAGGAAGTGTTCCCAACACTGAAGCTAGCATGCACGAACCACCTCCCCTACTTTTTCTACAAAGAAAGTCACTTCTCTTTCCTCAGTGCACCACACATCCTTAAGAGTAGTACTCAGAATGGTGCAGAACAGGGATTCCATATATGGGACTTGTCATAGAGCCTCAGTCCATTCCTGGTGAAAGGACCAGGTAAGAATCTTCACTTACAGGAGGTCCAATGTGCCCAGGGGGTCCAGGAAGTCCAGGTAGTCCTTGGGATCCCTGCAGAAGAAAGGTCACAAAGAACAGATTTGGGCAAATAAAGAGAAGGTGAGGGGTAGAGGTGTACGCATCAGGTAGTTGTTTAGGAATGAGACCTGATGCTTCTTGCCTGCTATATGCAGCCATGCTGTTTGAGGCTGCTTCATCTGAAGGCTTTTTATTTAAAAGTTCCTCTGTATCTGCTACCACTCCTCCACATAGACTTCATGTCACCTGCTGCCAGGAGGAGCTGTGACTCACAGCCATCACTCAATTTCAAGGTAGGTAGTTAGTGCAAAAACAATTCACTTCCATGTGTCCTGTGCTGATGGCCTTCATGTGACCTACATGCATGGGTTCCGCTATGATGTGACTGACTCCTGCATGCATTTGTAAGAGCAGTGCAGGCTAAACTAGTTCCAGAGTAGAGAAATCCAGGAGTCTCCTCTGCTGCCTGGACAATAATTGCTATTATTTTGAGGCAACCTTTTGGCATTATCTGCAAAAGCCTATGAACATGAAGAAATGTATTTTCCTGAAATTTTCCAGTTTGTGTGACCTGTTCCTACAGAAATGAAACAGGCAAGAAGGAGAATACACAGAGAGAGACACACACGCATGCATTTACTGCATTGATGACTTTAATGTAAAACACCTAAACAAAAAACAACCTTCAGAGAATCAGATAGCATAAAGGCTATGTACCTTATGCATCCATATCTTGGAATAATTTATATTAAAAGAATAGGTGTTCTATCTGCCTCAGTATGATAAAATAGATCTATATTTGAAATGCTAAGTGAAAAAGGCAAATGGTGAGGGAAGTATGGTTTCATTTTTGAAAGAGTATAGAATTAATATGTATGTATGAAGATAAATATATAAATGCATGTGTTGGTAATGTGTAGGTGGTGGGAAAACCTCATTTGTGAATCTTCTTTATACCTAAAGCAATTTATTTTATAACAATATCTGTCCACTCGCAGTATCAGAGGATAAACAGGTCAAAATACACTCACCCGCATGCCCACCTCACCCGGTAAGCCTGGCTCTCCCATCTCTCCTGGCTCCCCCTGCATGGAAAAATAGTTTGTGATCATAGGTCAGCAAGACAGAAAACCAACAGGAAGGTACAGACACTGGGGAGCATCTATCCCTTAAACTCAGAACTGTCACAGAAATAATGGAGGCCCTGATGATCGGGGGCTCAGGCAGAATATTCTTTCTAGGAGTAGAGAATCTGATCTAAATTGAGTGTGGTACAATCTCACCTCTATTCACTCCTGCTGCTACTAGTCAACAGGAAAAAAAGTGGATGGCAAAGAAGAAGAAGCACAAGCCTGGAATGATGGAATGATAATGATTGCACTCCAGGGAGGAGAGGCTTGGCATCAGGAGGTAAGTGGGAAGAGGTCTGAGTATTCGACACCCCTCTTCCCCGGCCTTTACCTCCTGGCCTCTACCTCAGACCTCCTTCCTAAACAGCTAAGGGCTATGGGACTCTCATGTCAGGACTGTCATCCAAAGGCTACTCATATGAAGGGAGTATAAAGGGGGATCCCAAGCCTCTCTGGTTTTTGATGAAGAGAAGACTGACTCATTTGTTAAGCTCACTCTTTGCTTGGGTTTCTCCAGCATCTTTCAATTCAGTTGCAAGGAAGAAGTAATAAAGATACTGAAAAGAGGGAGGCTGGCTGACCTTGTGGGTACCAGATGCTACCTGGGCCTCACCTAGACCCCTCTAGCAATGAATACCTGTGAAAATGCCTTACTTCAAAACTTAATGAATTCTGATTATGGGCTATGAGGGCCGAAGACCTTCCAGTTCTAATGGTTTATCCACTCCATAAAAGAATGGCTTCCAAAATACATAGGCAATAGCCACTAACAATAGTTGGTGTTTTCAGGATTAGGCTGCCCTCCAGAGGCCTGAGAGATACTGGTATCACAGATGTTCAGCTCAGCTTCCATCCTGGCAAAGGCCACCTCGTTTATGGATTCTGGATTCTGAACACAAAACCCCTGTATTGGTGCTGCTTTGTGAGATAAGTAGAAGAAACAGACATACCCGGATGCCTTTACTGCCATCTCTCCCAGGGGGACCGGGCAGGCCTGGGGAACCCTGGGACAAAAGAGAGACCAGAGTTATTACAGGACGAAGACAGCAGTGCTGAGAAAGAAACTTAAAACCCTGGCCAGTGGAGAAAGTAGGTCTTTAATAGGATACAAGGGTATACGGGGTGAACAACATTACTCCTGATGGATGATACTAAGACAACCCTGCAGTGGGTCAGTGCTAAGGTTCAAGGATCTGGCACTACTCTGGCCCTGTGGTTCAGGGTACCACCCAACTCACCCTGCTAGTGTTCAGGATCCTCCAGGGCTATACCTGGAGTTTCTCAGGAGACTATGGTGTTCAAGATTGAAAAGAAAGTATTTTCAATGTGAGTAACAGAGTTCTCTAAGGAAGCCACATTGTTCTGGCACAGGAGGGAGTCAATAAGGAGCTTTCTGGGGTGAAAATTTGATAGTTACCCTATCCAGTGATAATGGGTCTGGTAATTTCTTAGTTTCAATTTTACAAGGCTATTTTGAAATTCAACCACCTGAAGAATGAAAGAGCTAACCAGTAAGAAGAAACATAGTTACTGTTAGCACTAACAGGAATTTAATAGAACTAATAGAATTAACATATTTATAAAATATTAAAGTGACCTAAATCAGTGTCAGAATAAATCTCAGAGAGTTCTGAAACATTAGCCAAGTTGCCCATTTCCAACCTATTCAATAGTTGCCAAAAAAGTAACTGAAACATGTCTCCTTGATAGGATTAGTGTTCTGTGATTTAGGGAAGCAAAAAACCTATTATAGAAAAGAAACAAGGCTATGGACCTTCTCCCCATTCCACCTGCGATGCACTAGGAACCGTGATTCAAAATCAAGTCTTTTACCTCTCTGCACCACCCCAAATCACCACTATGTCTCCACAGTATCATTAGAAACTTCCTAGAAGGATATAATATCTGGAAGAAAATTATTGACCAATACCCTAACTATCAGACATCATCTGGCTTGCTCAGTGAGCAAGAAGAAAGAGGATTAATATCCTCCTGGTTATTCTGATGATTAATTAGCTGGAATTTTCCCCCACTAAATACTGACAAAAAATGGTTTTTATTGCTGAAGGTTCTGTGTGAATATTTTACTCTATTTGCCAGGAAAGAGCCCAGGTACTTTAGGTGGATCTAGGGAATCATTTGGGCAGTGGTCCGCCAAGTGTAACTTTTGAACTAACAGCATCAATTTCAGCTGGATGGAGTTGGAAGACCCATGAATAAAATACTATAGGGTTGGAAAGAGAAAACTTCCACTTCTAACTCTATCAAGCTGGTGTAAATGACATAAATAAATCTCAGAAGCTTACCATCTGCAAGCATACATGCACTTTTTCTATTTTATAGATCAGATCAGAAGTTCTACAATGCAGTCATTAAATAAGTTGATTCCCACAGAGATATGATTTTGAGAGAAAAAAAATCTTAGATACAGCATCACTTTGTGAAAGGTCAAAAAACTAGCATTGACCAGTGAAGTGGTAAGATGGAATTTAGAGTGAGACAAATACAGCCCGATACAGCTCTGTGATCTTGGGCATGACTCAAACTCTGTAGAGGGTCTATCATTGATTGATATTCATAATTTCAATCTATTGGCTCCACCATCCCAACAATATCACCTTATTTTCTTATATTTGTTCTCATGCTTTACCTGATGTATGTCTGAGCTTAAAATCCATTAAAAGTTTTATTTATTGTAATATGAATTTCTGTGAAAATAATTAAGATATAAATTTTTCAAGGACTTTTTTTGTTTTCCCTTCTTCTAAATACAGAGTACTACATTGCTGATCCAAACAAAGCTCTAAGAGATAGCTGTTGGCCTGTGGGTCTTCAGGGTGTTCACCAGCAATAAAGTATGAACTATATTCTCTAAGGAGTGGAAACCCTTGTAATGCTCTGTGTCCTTTACTTGAAACTCCAGAGAACCCAGACCTCTTTGGGACACATCCCAACTCACTCCCATGAAATAGCCTAAGCCAGTCCCTACCTGACTACTTCATTCCACATGGCAACACAACTTTATATAATATCTATATTAGATATATATATATCTATAATATTATAGATATATTGAACTCTAACATCAATCCTGTTACTCCTGTAAAAAGTAAAGAGAAGCTCCTGGTGGGAAATACATTCCCTCGCATGTCTGAGCAGTTACAGCTGTCAGTTCAAGTGAACTGTGACTCCACTTAGCATCAACACTCACAAGGATGCATTTCCTGGCTGGACTTTTACCAACAAGAATTATGTCATTTCTTGGTAACAAAATGACTGTCATTCACGTAAGCCAAAGTTCTTGTTCTCAGAGTTTCAGCACCAAGGAAAAATATTATCTGTTCCCAGGCTTCCCAGCATTCTGAGCTAAGTTGCTGAATCTGCTACGTTTGAATTTAGTTTGAAATTGTCTGTGACTGTTCATTGTGCTTATCAGTCCGGGGTCCACGTACAGAGACCTGATTCCTGTCAATGCTTGTAAAGTCTTGATTTATTAGGTTCCTGCTGAGTTTTATAAACATTCTGATTTAAGCTTCACCCCACACTTATCAGAGAATACCACAATTGCCATAAAATTCAGTGTGTAGGTGAGAAAACAGCCATTAGAAACTGTAATGACATCTACAAAGACATTAAGGATGCCAGATTCTGGAAGCCTGAATGTCAGCCACTGCCGTGTTGAGGACCAACCCTAGCAGCTGTCACTAGAGAGTTTCCCACAAATGTCTCAGACTCTGAAGGAGAACTTTTGTGTACAAAATCACTTATTAGGATATCCTGAATACATAACTTTTAATCATACTATATTTAATAAAATTATTCTTTATGTATAATTTTATCAAGCTAGTTAAGTACGTTCAGGTATACTGACATTGCAGTGACATAAAGAGAAATTAGAAAAGCACTAAGTATTCTAACCCCACTGCCCCAAGGCATTGTTCATTTTCACCACACACATATTTTTGTGTCAGCTCATATTAGATTTCCTAATCTGTATTACACGTTGTATTATGTAGAAACGCATTACAAGATCTTCCTAAATTTCACTTAATTCATTGTTTGATACAAAGCAATTTTCTATTAGGTGGTTCCCTTGTTAACTGCAGTTGTGGCTGTTAAGTGCTAATAATAATAAGACTGGTTATTTTGTCATCATGTTTTCCTCATCTGAATTATATTATGATAGTTTTGTAAATACCTCCAACTTTTATTTTCCAAGAACTATAGCAGTACAATACCAAATGTGTAGGGAAGCTCTTACAATGCTTTGCTGACATGATGATTCTACTCTATTATTATTCTTTCCTACTACTAGTGATCTAGATAATGTCACCAAACAGCATCGGCACCCTTTCTGTATGTGATTATGTGGGTGGTGGTGATAGCACATCCTCACTTGTCAAGAACCAGAAGAAGAATCAAACTCTAGGAGAAAATGAAGTGGATGAAATTCATGTGCAAGTCTCCTCCCCTTAATTTTCTAATGAGACAATAGGTAAGGTCTGACCCACTTTATTTATTTTTAATTTATTTAAATTTATTTTTAAAGGCACACTTGGCAGTGCTTGGGGTTTACTACTGGCTCTGTGCTCAAGAATTACTCCTGGAGATGCTCCAGGGACCATATCAGGTCCCTGGAATTGAACCCAGGTCAGCAGCATTCAAGGTAAACACTCAACCTGCTGTATTATGACTCTAGCTTCCCACCCAGTTTAGAGCTCTTTGGGCCCACTGCTCTTTCCCACATACTAAATACTTGAATTATACCCAAGAAAATGATTCTATCTTTTATGGATTTTAGCAATAGCTTCTAGGAGTAAAAGGAGAGAAATAAAGTAACAGCTTTGAAGGTATGCCTTCAAAGATATGCCTACTTTATTCCAGGTACTAAGCTGAAGCTTCAAAGGAATTGCTAATATATAACCCCCACAATAATCCTGGAAGTAGGAAATGATGATCTCAACCTTACAGAGAAGTAATATGGACTTTTATTAGCCAATGATCACCCACATTCGCTCAAAATATGCTTATTTCCATCACCTAAGGACATATTTAAGAACAGAACCTATGCTCTTCTCTAACTCTGTCTCCTCAAACACTATAATCTAAGAAAAGATAACCCAAGAATAATTGCAATGTACTGAACGTACATGGAGCCCAACAAAGGGAAACTGGCGTGGACGTTCTGACTTTCAGACAATAAAGGGTGATGTGAGTCCACAAAGGGGTGGCAACAGCCTCTACTGGGATTCTCTGCCTTTAATTACCCTGGACACTCCAAGCAGAAGCTACGTGGCAACAGACAATAACTTATTGTAGCCATTGTGTAACATTATATTGCATTATGATTGTTTCCAGTCTTATAAATTACATGCAATGAGACGGGTAGATATGTGTTTATGCATAACATGATTTAACTCTTCAGTAAATCTCTGCATGTACAGGTACTAAATGAACAGGTTTCTACAGTAAGATAATAGGGTGGTTATGAGAAAACTACTTTTAGTGTAATGAATAGATTGGCCCAGAGTTTACAAACTCAGCCTGTAAAACTGGCTGATGTGTGGTCCTCAGATCAACATTTCCTCCCCCATGCTAGAAAATGGCACTTCTGCTGAGGTCATGGTACCCAAACACTGGTGTCTATCATAATTTTCTGTCTTGCCTCATGACAGTTTCTCCTGATAAATGGGATGGGTTCAATTCCAGGAACCTGATATTTGCATTGCCAGGGTGATTGAAAATGATACTTTTAAATAACCTTTCTTTACTTTTTTTTTGTATGTTAATACCAGAAGAATTTTTTTCTTCAGCCAGGAAGGCGCTACAGCAATTAGGGTAATTCATGCAGTCAACCCAGGTTCAATCTTTGGCACTGAATGTGGTCCCCTGAGCACCACCAGGAGTGATCCCTGAGCACAGAGTTCAATAAGGTATATTCAAGTTTCCTCCCCCACTAAAGAAAAAGAATGTTTTCCTTTTCAGAAGATACTCCCTGTTGCCCAGGTTCGGATGAGCTTGTGTACATTATAATGAAGGTAAATGAGGGTACAGCATTGACATCTGAGAAGAACACATACCAGCACTTCCTCATAATTTTCTACATCCCCCTACCTATATGATCTGTTGCCACTGAGGTTTCTGTTCCTCATGGTCTTCCCTTTAAACTTCTGCAATCATCTCCTGGATCTAACCCCAGTTCCTCTGCCCTCTCCCTTTTACATCTATCTAGCATGCCAGCATGTCTGACCATGACTATGAAAATAGCTGATGGAAGGTCCTGCAATGTGCCTTACTCTACAAAGGAGCTCTTGATATATTTTCATGTAGAATGATGGGCATGTAGGTCCTTCTGCAACCTTGTATCCCACTCCTACAGCACTAGTAAATATCTCCTTCCTTAAGCATAGTGAGCCACTCACATATATATGTCTCCTGCCCCTGCACCCGGATATGCTCAGCAAGGTACCTTGAAGGAGGGCGGGTTGAGTTCCCCTCCCTGCCCCAAGCAGATCCCCTCAGCTGAAGACCTCCAGAACCAGCCACAGCCATGCTTAAAACCACTCTCCACACGCTTGGATGAGCCTCACGTATGAAGGAACCGGTAGAGGAATCCAGGTGTGCGGGACCCAGGGCTGAGATCTCTAAGCCTGCTTGGATCAGGACTGGGACTCCCCCACCCTGATCTCCCATCTTCCAGTAGCTAGACAGTTACACCCACCAAGTGCTCATCTCGCCCCTCCCCCGCCCCGCGCGCCATGTAATCCCATCAATGGCCAAGACCCAGAGACTATAAAACCAAGTGGATGCAGCCGTGTAACCTCTTATTGTCTAGTTCTCACTCTCGGAGAACCCAGCAGGCTACCAAGAGTATCCTGCCTGCACAGCAGAGTCTGGCAAGCTCCCCATGGCGTATTTGATATGCCAAAACCCATAAACAATGATGGGTCTCATTCCCCTGACCCTGAAAGAGCCTCCAATGTGGCACTTGCTAAAATCTCAGGCTAAGACAAATAGAGACATTACTGGTGCCTGCTCGAGGAAATCAATGAACAATGGGATGACAGTGATACAGTGATACAACGATATAGATATTACAGACTGTCCTCCAAGTCCTGCAGAAAATCACCTCCCAGGTTCAGTCAAGATTTCAATTTTTCAGTCAGATCATTTGCTGAATCCCGAAAGATACCCGGATGCTGTTTATCAGTTCTCTCAGCCTCTAATTTCTGGGACCATCCTCTCTCTTCCTGCTGACTGACCACTGTACAAACTTCAACCAATTTTTCAGATGGGGGACATACCCAGGTTGTACTCTCCACCCAATAATGTCTTTTCTCCTTCACTTGGATTCCTAATACAGCAACACAAGGCAGAATAAAACTTCCAAACCCAAGTCTGTGTCCTCATCATCCCCAAACCTTGGAGGAAGATCCTTAGCTTCTCATGGTTTTCATTCCTACCTTTTCACCCTTTTCTCCTTGGACAAAAGGTCCTCTTCCCTAGAAAAGAAAATAAGAAGGCAGAGGTTTACTACTTAGTGTTTTCGCGGCAGGATGTCACACATGGTGGCAGCAGAAGCACCATGGGATGTAAAGTAGTGTCAAGCTTTTCCATCAGGCCTGCCAAGAAGACTCTAGAAGTGATGGCAACTTTTATTTACTGATAAGCAATTTTCATATATAAGGTTCCACTTAGTCCTTAGTGCTCAATATTATAGTGATACTCCTTTTTTGTCTCAATTTTATGGGTATGTAATTCATTTACCTTACAATTCACCTATTTAAATTTATATATTTAAAGGGGCAACTCAATGACTTTTTAGTATATTTACAATTGAAAAACAATCAATCCATACAGAACTCTTTACTTATTAGCAGTAATTCAAATTTCCTCTCACTCTTACCTGAGAAAAACACCAAATTTCTCTCTCTATTAATGTAACTACTCTAAAACTTTATACAAGTAGAGTAATAAGATCACTGATCTTTTATGATGAGTTTCCTACTCAGTGTTTTCTCAGCAAAGTGATTTCAAGGTTAAATCTTGAAAAGATGTTATAGAATGTATAGAAACTTCACTTTTATTGCAGAATAATGTTATTGCATATAAACACGATATGCTTTGTTTTTTTAAAAGATGAGAAAAGCTTGGGATATTTTACCTTTTGATCATAAACTATGTTACTGTAACTATCTGTGTGCAAGCTTTTGTATGCACATAGTTTTAATTGCTTGCCCTTTTCTGAGAGTTTTCATCTTCCAAACAATAATCAGTCTAGCCCTCTCCGATAGCACAGCGGGTAGGGCGTTCACCTTACACGCGGCCAACATGGCCGACCCGAGTTCGATTCCTCCGCCCCTCTCGGAGAGCCCGGCAAGCTACCGAGAGTATTCGATATGCCAGACACAGTAACAACAAAGTCTCCAATGGAGACGTTACTGGGCCCGCTCGAGCAAATCGACGATCAACGGGAGGGCCTTTACCTTTACCTTAAGTCCAAAAGTTCAATGATAGAGCCTGGATATGCTGTACTTGCTGTACTAATAAGGCTCAGAGGGCCATGTGGACCATCCCAGCAGTGATGGTGGGGAACCCGGGGGTTTCTCATGTATAAAGCATGTGATCATTCCTTTCTGCTATCTCCACAGTTCATAATTTTTCACTTTATTTTCATTTGTTTTTTGATTTTGACTTGAGTCACACTGACTGCTCAGGGTTTTATTTCTCACTGTATGTTCAGGGATCACTCCTGAAAGGACCTAGTGGGTCATATGGGTTGTCTAGGATCAAAGCCAGACTGACTGCCTGTAGGGCAGTGCCATACTCTCTGAACTAATTCTCCAGCTCCCCATATTTTCAGTTTCTTTTGCAGATGTACCTGAGAGTAGAATTTTAGGATTATTAGGTAACTATAGAAACTACCAGACTGTATTCCAAAGAGGCTGCACCATTTTCCACATATGCACACACAAATGTATAATAATTCTAAGATCAAAGTCTCTAAATTCTAATAGTTCTATCGCTACTGAAGATACTAAAATCCCTAAGTACTGTTAATTACTTGGCTATTTCTCCTTTCAGTTTTGTCAGTTTTTTGTTATGTTATGGGACACTCTAGTTAGATGTACATGTAGTTTATAATATTTTTGAAGTTTTGATGCTTTTTTATTTGGTGGGGGTTCTACCAAATGATACCCAGGAGTTCTGGAGACAACTCCTGGTGGTCAAATATAAGGGTCCAAGGACAAGGTGCTGCTCAAACCCTGTAGTGCTGAGGCTTACCTGGGCCACTCTGTTGGTGCTTATTCAGCCTCAAGGTCACATTCCACAATGCTTGAGAGAGAGTGTTCCTGTGGTGCTGGGGAAAGGACTGATATTTTCAGCAATGTAAAATTATCTAACATTTTGTGTATCATTTGTCTAAGTTTTATGGTTTTAAGTTTTAACACATATTCCCCATCTTTTTTCTTTTATGCTACTTGTGTCTTTGAATCTAAACTGTGACTTCTATAAATATATTATTGGATTTTGTTTTTATGTGAATTCTGAAAGAGACTATTTTAATTGGTGTGTCTAATATTGTCTCAGGGACTAGCAATATTGATATTGATAGATTTACATGCACCATTTTATGTTGTATATGTCAGCTGTCCTTATTTCATTTATTTATTTACTCTTCCTTTGCATGAGGATAGTACTATCTGTTACAGCACTTAAATATCTCTAATTCTCTTTTCACTGTCTATTTCTAAAGGATTAAAGGGTATTTTAGAGTTTGCCATATATATATATATATATTTAACTTATCAGGATCAATCTGAGATTTACACATGAAATTTTAAAAATACACTCTTAGCTCTAACATGCATAAGTTTATTACTCTTCCTTGTTTTTTGATCATATATACATATATACATACCTATATATAAATACATATATATGCATGTTCATATGCCAAACAAAAACAGGAGTCTGAGAGATTGTACAGGTGCTTGTCATGCATGTAACTGACCCAAGCTCAGTTCCTAGAAGCCAATATGGTCCCCTGAGTTCTGCCAGGAGTAATCTCTGAGTGTAGAGCCAGGTTTGGCCCCCAAGTAACCCAAAAGTAGCAATGTAGCACTGTCCATTGTTCATCTATTTTCTCGAGTAGGTCCAGTAACATTATGAGACTTGTTACTGTGTTTGGCATATCAAATATATCACGGGTAGCTTGCCAGACTCTGCTGTCCAGGTGAGATACTCTCAGTAGCTTGCCGGGCTCTCTGAGAGAGGCAGAGGAATCGAACTTGGGTTGGCCACGTACAAGGCAAACACCCTACCCGCTGTACTATTGCTCCAGTCCAACCCAAAAAGTACACTGTCATAATTACTACATTAAGGTGTCAACCAACTGCATTCTGACCTCAATTATTTCTTTACTTTTTTTTCCATTTGTTTGTTTGTTTTTGGTGAAACAAGAAAGTTTTTAATTGAAACTCATTTAGAAAGAGTGAGAGGAGAGAAAGGCAGAAACATGTTCAAAGAGAACAGAAGCTTCTTCAGAGCAGAAACAAGCAGCAAAGAAATATAGGAACAAGCAAGTGAAATACATGTTCAAGGGTGAACACTGGCTTGAAGAGCAAGCTTGACCTCAACTATTTCTGATGACAATTTAATTTATTGACTTGTAGAATATGAACCATGTTTATTTCTGGCTCCTTCAAAACGTTCTCTTATTTTGCACTCTGCTATGATGATTTTGAAGAGGAATATCTTGTGCTTACCCTGACTGACTTCATTAATTTTAGAAATATGTAGATTAGTGCTTTTGACCACATTTGGAATGTGTTTAGCTATTATAAACTTGAATTTCTCTCTCCTCCTGAAATTTAGATTAGGTGAGTGTTGGTACATTTTATAATGTTTTCATTTCTCTAGGACTCGCTCATTTTTCTCTATATTTTTCTGTTTGTTTTTCATATTACATAATCTTCATTGAGCTATATTCAAGAATGTTGATTCCTTCTTCAGCCAGCCTAAATCTACTTCGGATCCTCTGCAGTGCTTGTTTTTGTGCTCCAGTTCAGATGCAATAAATCTGAACTCTATAATTTTTCATTTGGAGGCCAGAGTGATAGTACACGTGGTTTGGGTACTTGCTTGTGGCCAACCCAAGTTCCATCCCCTGGCATCCCATATGGTCCTCTAAGCACCACCAGGAGTGGTTCCTGAGTGAAGAGCCAGAAGTAACCCCTAAACATCACTGGGTACGACTATATATATATATATATATATATATATATATTTCATTTGGTTCCTTTAAATGAAACTCATCTTTAGTTATATTCTGTATTTAATAAGATTATTAAAAATACCTTCTCAGGAGCACCAAATAAAGGGTGTTGGGAGGTTCCTCCCAGGATGGGAGATGCATGATGAGAGTAGACTATAGACTGAACACGATTGTCACTCGATGTCTCTTTTGCAAACCATAGCACTCAAAAGGAGACAGAGAACAAAAGGGAATGCCCTGCCACAGAGGTAGGGTGGGATGGGGGCATGGGGGGTGGGATGGATACTGGGATCAGTGGTGGTGGAGATTGGGCACTGGTGGAGGGATGGGTATTCTATCACTTTATAACTGAAACCCAAGCACAAAAATTTGTAAGTCTACAACTGTACCTCATGGTGTTTCACTAATAAAAATTTTTTAAAAAGTCAATGTTGAGAGGCAAAATATATGTAACTTTTCAAAACCTAAAAAAAAAAAATACCTTCTCTGACTTCTATAAGAATGGTTTTCTTTTTTTTTTTTCTTTTTTAGGTGACAGCCAGAGATGCATAGGGGCTACATGAGTATTGGGAGCTGTGCTAGTAAATATTACTCCTCTTGGCTTTGCACTCAGCAATTACTCCTGGTGGTGCTCAGGGACCATATGGGATGCTGGGAATTGAACCCATGTTGGCCACGTGCAAGGCAAACACCCTACCCAATGTGCTATCACTCCAGCCCCAAGAATGGTTTTCTTGAGGCCAGAAAGTTGTATAGTGTTCAGGGCTCTTGACTTGCATATGGCTGACCTGGGTTTGATCCCTAGCACCACATATGGTCTCACAATCCTCACCAGGAGTAAGCCCTGAGTGATGCTGGGTGTGTCACCTTTTCCCTGCAACCCGTGAAGAAAACAATTTTCTTGGGCTGAAGAAATTATACAGGGTTAAGGTCATGCATTGCATTGTTCCGCAAGCACTGCTGAGAGTACCCCAGGAACAGAACCAGGTGTAGTTGCCAGCACTGCCATGGGTGGCCCCAAATCCACCCCTGCTCAATGTTTTCTTTTGAATTTTGAAGTTATAGTTACAAAGGCTTCTATGAAGGCTCTGTCTACTAAATTCAACATCCATATATTGAATCCTCTCAGAGATAGTTTCTGTTTCTCTCTCTCTCTCTCTCTCTCTCTCTCTCTCTCTCTCTCTCTCTCTCTCTCTCTCTCTCTCATTACACCGATAATGAGAATCTCGAGTAAAGTAAGTGAAGGCCCTCCCGTTGATCACCGATTTGCTCTAGCGGGCCCAGTAACGTCTCCATTGGAGACTTTGTTGTTACTGTGTTTGGCATATCGAATACGTCACCGGTGGCTTGCCAGGCTCTGCCATGTGGGCGAGATACTCCCGGTAGCTTGCCGGGCTCTCTGAGAGGGGCGGAGGAATCGAACTCGGGTTGGCCATGTTGGCTGCGTGCAAGGCAAACGCCCTACCGCTGTGTTATCACTCCAGCCGGAACTAATTACTATCACAGTCAACTGCCTTTCACTAACATTTAATGGGGTTTTTAACTTTAAAGAAGTTGCTAGAAGTTTTTCTAGGAGAATGAGTGAGTATTTGGGGGATGTTTGAAGACATCCTTGGGGTAAATAGCTGGAACTATAGGCAGCACTGAGGTTTTGTTTTTGCCGCTAAATGATATCATGTTAGAGAATGGAGCTAGAGCTCCTGCTATGTCAGGCAATTCAACAGCAATAGCAGTTAGTGTGTTCCCACAGTATCTCAAACACCGAGCCCTAGGCCACCCCATAGTGCCATGAGAAATAGTATTTTATCACTCTCATTATATTAGTGGGGAATTGAGAACAGGCAGAATCTCTCCATGGAGCCAAAGTCTGTTCCTGTCTCTTTGACTTTGGAATTCATCCTGAACTCTGAGATCTTCATCTCCAAATTCTTCCCTGGTACACTGGCCATGCCATACACTCATCCTTGAAGAACTTATGGATTCATATATGCCAGTCAGGCCTAGGCAAGCAATGAAGACAAACCTTACATAGCACAACGGGGCATGAGCTGGAAATACGAGTGGGTGGAGACACAGTGAGTGAACCAGAGCTGAGGGTTGAAGATATCTAGGAGCTACATGAGTATTGGGAGCTGTGCTAGTTAATATTAAGAAAGGTCTTGTCCTGGGGATGTGTTGTCAAAAGGCTGGTTTATTAGAAATCATTGTCTTGAGGTTACACAATCTAAAGGCTGATGTTCTTATTTTTCTAGTGGGCTTTTTCCTTGTTCTTATGGCAGAACATGTTGCTAAGGTGTAAATATATAACCAAGGAAAATATCATTGAAACAATGTAATTATAGAAAAACATCATTGACAAAGAAATTCAGTACATTCTAAACTTAGTATCCTGAACATTCCTGTATATTTTTCCAATATAGGCTTCCTTCTAGAGACCTGTAAAAGACCTATGTTGCTTGCTCAATAAAGACACTGCATGAGCATTGCTTGTCGAGTCCTCCATACTCCATTGCATTTCTCCCTTTGCCTCGGGGACCCTGTTCGACTTAGCCACGCAGGATGTGGCACATGAGAACTGATACTGAATCAGGCACAAGCTGGGTAGGAGAGGTAGGGGGGCTGGAAATCAAGAGTGAATATAAAATTAGTCTTTGTAAAGGAGACATTCTCTGCAGTGAGAAATGCAGATAATAAGCTTGTTAAATCAAAACTACTGATTTGGTAACAGAGTTGTCTAGGTTGCAGAGAGGTGGTGAGAATGATAATAAGGTCAGAATGTCAGTTGGGGACATGACCAGGAGGAGCCCTCGCATGGACAAGGAGAAAAGCTTGAACTTCATTCTGAAAGTGGGACTGGGTACACTCCCTGGCCCTGCTATGTTTTTAGTACATTCTAGTTCACTTGCATGCTTGTTCACTTGCAAGAACACAAGAGTGCTCTATTTTATCTCTTCCATATTTTTTTCTTTCCCTAGACAATGACTTCTAGGTCCATCCCCAACTCATTTTATACTCTAAGAAGGAACAGTGACTTTATTTTTGGTTTTCTCTGCCTGGTATTGTTCTCCTGTCCTTCTTTGTCCTGGCAGTACCCATTCAGTCCATTGCACCCTGCAGAGAGGGCATCCCATAGGAAGGCACCCTGAAACCTTTAGGCCCATTTCAGCCAGGCAGAGGATGTCTTTACTCACCATGTCTCCTTTCTCTCCCTTGGGTCCAGGAGGTCCAGATGGCCCAGTGACTCCACTGTCCCCCTAAGTTGGTGAAAGAAAAAACATTGAATAAATTTCTCCAGTATAGTTCATTCTGTTATTTCCAACTGCATAATGAGGTCATATTTCTACTACTGAAGAGAGAAAAACATCTGAATTATTTCCCTAACCTTGTCCTTCCAGGAACTAAGAACATCTGGAGAAAATGAGTGGAGGAATATATTTCATATTTGTCCCTGGGAATGATCCAGCTGCTTATTCATGGTCAGGACCCCAGAAAGATGAGTTTAAAGTCCCGGTCAAACTTCATCTCTGCTTCTTTACAGTGGAGCAGTAAGCGTCTCACTGGGCTTTGAGCTCCTCCTCTGTGAAGCCAGAAAGCTGGCACAGACATGCAAGAAGAAATGTGTTGTTTCTTTGTAAACCATCAATAGGGTCCCTAATCAATAAGTCCGTGCTCCCAAGGTTTCTGGACCCTGCCAATGTCCATAAAAGAGGGAAAGCAGGCAAAGGGGAAAAAGTATCATGTGGTAGAAGAAGAGATCCACTCAGGTCTGAGAGTGGGGCTGGAGCCCAGAATCTTCTACCATAATACAAGTCGATACAAAACAGCGTGAGGAACACAGGAGTGCTCTATTCTATCTCTTCCATTTCTTTTCTTTCTCTGGACAATGACTTCTAGGTCCATCCTTAACTCATTTTACACAGGAACAGTGACTTTATTTTTGCTTTTCCCTGCCTGATATTTCTCTTTTGGCCTTCTTTGTCCTGGCAGCACCATTCAACCCATTGCACCCTGCAGAGAGGGCATCCCATAGGAAGACACCCTAAAACTCTTATTGGGTAACTTTAGCCATCCTCTCAGGCCCCTGAGCACTCCACTCCTCAAGATAATGTCTTACTTTCCACTGGCTCAAGATTCTAAGAAGAACTTTGTCATTTACTGCTATGCCCCAGCATCTAGTATGGGTCCTGGCACTCAGAAGACATTGGACCATAATTGTTGACATGATTTGAGCTATATACACTTATATAGAGTTACAGGAAGCCATGGCTTTTTGTTTTTTGTTTGTTGTTTTGTTTTCTAGACACTCACATCAGTACTCTGGGGGCTACTCCTGACACAGTGCTCAGAGATCACACCTGATAACATGTGGGTGACTTATGTGTATAAGGGATCAAATACAAGAGCTTGGTATGCAGAGCCTATGAACCAACCCTCTGAGCCACTGCCCCAGCTTTACTCAAAGTCATAATGATGGTCTGTAATTATCTGAGTTGATCAAAATCAGCTTAGAACCAGGATTATAAATCAGCGATCTGGGAGCTTGTCTCTGTACAGATCTGTCTTTCTCATCTCCCTCCTTAGTGCTCCTTCTGCCTTAGTGCAAGGGTTACACCTTCTACCACTGGATCTGTTTGACCACAGCATGGGACAGGCAGTACTGTGTGAACAACTTCTGCTTCAAGAAAACATTTCCTATGATGAGGGCAATAAATGCTCATGCAGTTTGCTCTTTTTTTTTCAGATTTGACAGTTCAAATGCTGAACTTCCATCTCAGTGGGACACAGTAAGAAAGTAACCCCTACATTGTACCTAGGCCACCCTTCATCATAAATGCCTGAGTTGTTCTCCTTCAGCATCCAGGATCATAGCAGAATAGACACTGTGTGTGAGAGTGTGTGTGTGTGTGTGTGTGTGTATGTGAGCATGTACATGTGTATGCATGTAGGTGCACAACATTTCTGTGTAGTATATCTGTAATATCCCGTGTATGATGCTATATGCATTTTGTTTGTATGTGATAATGTGTGATGTGTTTAAGGTGTGAGTGTAATGGTGCATGTTGAATGTGTGTGATGGTATGGATATTGTGGATGGGTGATGTTGTGTGTTTTTGTGTCCTACTGTGTTGTGGTATGTGGTAGAGGGGTATGGGTGTAGTTTGTGTGTGTGTGTGTGTGCTAGTATGTGCTTGTCATGACCTGCATGTTCCTGTTCACTGATCTAGCAGAATGGAAGCAGAGAAGATATGAACAGGGAAGAAGGAGGAGATGATGAAAGAAAGTAAGAGAAGAGAAAGTCAAAGGGACCTCAGTGGGCACTCAGTGGTTGTGAGCACATAAATGAATACAAGGATAAAAATGCTAGGGCTAGAGGGAGAAGAGAGAAATATATGGAGAGGGGAAATGAAGCATAGAGAAAAGGAGTATAAGAGAAGAAAAGGAGTTAAGGGGAAGGAAAAAGAGAGAACAGAAGAGAAAATCCATGTCAGAGACAGAATGAGACCTGTCAAAAGGAGAGCAGAAAAGGGGGAGAACATGACAGAGAAGGGAGAAGAGTGGAGGAGAGGAGGGGTTAGAGTAGAAAGGGAGAAGGAGACGGGGGTATAGAAAAGAAAGAAGAAAAGAGGGGGAATTATGAAGGATGGGGAGGGAGCGAGGCAGTGGAAGAGACACTTTGGACACTACATTTAATCCCTCTTCCATTCCAGTACCAGTAGTCAGTCCATGAAATAATTAAGTTTGAATCTCTCAGAGGCTCACTTTTCTTTTTGTTTTTTTAATTAGTGAAACACCATGAGGTACAGTTGTAGACTTATAAATTTTTGTGCTTGGGTTTCAGTTATACAATGATCGAGTACCCATCTGTGAGTCAAACAGGAGAGATGCTCTGCCTATGCTGTAGAGCAGGTAAAGAATGGAGAGAGGAGATGCTGCTCAATGTCCACCCTACAGGGAAGCCCCTAACTTGCGCAACAGGAATTTGGAAAGAGTTTGTAAAAAAGAATTTCATGCATTTAAAAATTAGAACAAGCACTCTAAACAAGTGGAATCTTAAAGTCTTGGCTTCCCAAATTTCTGGCTTATGAAAGACCTCAAAGGGACTGATGCAGACTTAGTTGACCACAGAGAGTTAAGCTTGTGGAACAAACAAGGTTTGAGCAAGTGCTTGTGGATCTAACTCATTCTTGCTCAAAATATCAGATCAAGACAAGTGGAAGCAAACAGAGACGAGACTCACACTCTGAACTTTATGCCACTTTCTCTTCTGTTTTGGTTTCCACAAGCCAGTGTCCAGGCAAAGTACAGTGGAACAGTCATCAGCCATATCACTGCTTTCTTTCTCCCATAAAGAGCATAGCAAAGGGCACTTAGGTTCAAAAGTACCCCTTGGGGGACTGGAGAGATAGCACAGCGGGTAGGGCATTTGCTTTCCATGCAGCCGACCCAGGTTCGATTCCCAGCATTCCATATGGTCCCCCTGAGCACCGCCAGGAGTAACTCCTGAGTGCAGAGCCAGGAGTAACCCCTGTGCATTTCCAGGTGTGACCCCCCAAAAAAAATTAAAAAGTACCCCTTGGCCAACTTCACCACTTACCTTTGGACCAGGGAGTCCCACTGGACCATCAAAGCCTTTTTCACCCTAAAAAAAGAGAAACAAATAAGACTATGCTTTTACCCCACCCCCATCACCAATTGTTTATCCACCATGTGATCACAAGCAACTGCTGACCAGAAGCTGGAGAGGAGAGTTCAGTGTCTGAACTTCAAATTCTCAGCGAGTCTCCCAGATGCTGGGTTCTGGCAAACAACACTCTGGTCCTGAGACTGAGAATTTTAAGTGGCAAAATATTATGATGACCTTTGTCCTTCCAAAGAAAGAGAGAAGATATGTTCCCTATTCCTCCTCCCACCTGTCTATTCCCAAACCACTCACCCAAATCTCAGGCCTTGAACCACTAATCCATCACTTTAACCATTATTTAATACCAGGCTATTGACTGGCAGCTAAAAGTACTGACATAAGCTTCCAAATTACAGGTGGCAATGGAAACTAAATCAATGCCACATGGAATTTAGGAGCTTATATAAGTAGACAAGGAGATTTTTTATTTATATTTTTTGTTTTATTTTATTTTTTAATTTTTTTAATTGAACCACCTTGAGCTACAGTTACAAAGCTTTCATGTTTCGAATACCATCTCTCCACCAGTGTACATTTTCCAGCACCAATGTCCCCAGTATCCCTCCCCTCCTCCATGAGAATTTCCTTTTTACTCTGTCTCTACTTATGGGTATTATGGTTTGCAATACAGATAATGAGAGGCCATCATGTTTGGTCCTTTATCTACTTTCAGCACACATCTTCCATCCCAAGCAATCCCTCCAACTATCATTGACTTAGTGACCCCCTCTCTATCTCAGCTTCCTTCTCCCCCAGCTCATCAGGCAGGCTTCCAAACATGGAGCAATCTTCCTGGCCCTTGTCTCCACTGACCTTGTGTGTTAGTTTCAGTATCATGCTAAGTGGACTGAATCAGAAAGAGAGGGATAGACATAAAATGACTGCATTCATTTGTGGAATATAAAATATCATGATATGAGACTAAGGAGACTTTGTAAATCCAGTGTGATCATTTTGATGGTAGATGGAAGCACATGGAGAGAAAAGGGAGGAGACAATGGTGTTCTAGGTCAAATCTGTGTTGAGTTACTGAATGAATGAATGGTGGATCATGGAAAGCAGAGTTGAAGGGAGGGAGGGTGAGAGGAAATCATGTAGATAACATGTAGATAATATGCTCAGAAAATAGTTTGCTGAGAATGCATTGGAAAAGCAGGCATTAGGTGATAAAGCAGAGAGGGGCAGGAGGGGGGAAACGGACCAAGCAGAAGTCATATATACAAATACCATTCAAGGCAAAAAGCCCTGGACTCCTCCAAAGAGCCCAAAGAAGCTCTTGTCTTCCCAGGAGGAAAAGATGAAACAATGAAGCCAGAAAGCAACTGAGAGGCCTCTCACAGCCACCAGTGGCACACAGGGTAGGAGCACTTGGTGGAGATTCATAAGTTACACACAGAGGAGTAGAGAACCAAGGGACTGAGCTGGAAAGAGGAGGTCAAAGGAGGGCAGAACCTATCTGATCCTGAACTTCCTTCCTCAGGGAATGCCAGCAGGACATATCCAGGGTTCTTCCTGTCTCTGGGAAAATCATGGAGAAGACGGGACTAGTGCTGGCCCACATCCATGACACAGTCTTCGGCAGAGACAGAAGTATGATGCAAGTCACATAATTCACTTAGTATCTCATTTAGGATTCTTCCCAAAAAACATGGATTAAAGGAATTTGTATTAAGACAGCTGCTTTTACTATTCCATTTGCAGGCAAGAATCTGTTCAATAGATTATGGGGGGAGAGAGGCTGAGACCACCTGGACAGATAATAGGAGAAGACACTTGGCTCCTTCCCGAACTATTCCCGTTTCTAATCAGAGTGTCAGACTAGAAAAGCCTCAGCTACTTTAACTACCCCAAATCCCTCATGTGGCAGGGGGACAGGCTGGCTCTGATTGACCCTTCAGCATGCTGGGCCCCAGTTGAACATTCCACTCAACTAGTAGCTGTTTGGGGTTCTCAGTTTCCCCAAGTTCTGATTCTGTCTATCAGTGGAGAAGAAGGGAGGGAGAGTGTAATGGAGAACAGAGGGAGGAGGGGAAGGTGGAGAGGAGCATGCCAGGACAAGTTGTCTGAAAGGCAGCTATGATATTCTTGAATTGTGTCTGCTCCTGTGAATCCCAACTAGACAATCATCCTTGTGCGACTCCGGAGTTTCTCACTAAGGCTGAACACCTCCTGCATGATGATCCCTAGCTGGCAACCATGATGGGGGTCCAGGACCCAGAGATATATAGAACAGCAGAATCTCATCCTTCCTCCAGAAAGGTTCTTCTTTTCCTCATTCTTTTCTCTTTTTTTTGGGGGGGGGGGGCACATCTGGTAAAAAGTGCTCAGGGCTTCCTCCTGGATCTGTACTCAAGGATCACTCCTGGCAAGGCTCGGGAGTGACAGATGGTATGAGGGATCAACGCAAAGTCAGCTACATGAAAAACAAGGAACTTATTTACTATACTATCACTCCAATTCTTTCCCCTCATTCTTATGTATTCATTTATGTTTGTTCTGGTTAAGTACTGAAAAACATATCAAAAGGGTCAAATGCTTGTAGAAAAGGCAGAATTGATAAAGTGTGTGTTACACTTCATCCAGGTGAATGAATGGTAATGGTGGTGCTCCTAGAGACACACTGTAGCACTGTCCTCCCATTGTTTATCGAGTTGCTCCAGCGGGCACCAGTAATGTCTCCATTGTGAAACTTGTTGTCACTGTTTTTGGCATATTGAGTACGCCACGGGGAGCTTTCCAGGCTCTGCCGTGCGGATGGGATACTCTCAGTAGCTTGCCAAGCTCTCCGAGAGGGATGGAGGAATCGAACCGGGGTCGGCCTCATGCAAGGCAAATGCCCTACCCGCTGTGCTATTGCTCCAGTCCCTAGAGACACAATCATTTTTATAACTAAGAACAAGATACATACATAAAGTCTACTCATTCTGATTTTAGACTGCAGTAATGAAAGGAAACAAAGTGAAGGAAGGATTGAGTATGAGTAAAGATGACCCAAACAGGAGTCAGTAGAGCCTCAGGAATGCATTACTAACTTCTGGAAAATATTCAGTAGAGTGAAATCTCAGGAGCAAACGTCCTAGTCATGCATAAAAAATAAGAAAGGAGAAGCCAAGGGCACTCATCCATGTTCCAGGCTTGCCAAGCCTCCACAACCATGTCTGTGATGGGAAGTCCCCACGTCCATGAAAGGTGGTGTTTCTGGTGACCCCCATCCTGCTCAGCTCTGTGGCTCCGGGCGTGAACCTGGGATAGGGCTGCTCATGGTACCTTTGGTCCAGCTGGACAGGAGCAGTTGATGGTCTTCAGAAATCCAAGCTGTTCATTGGCAGAGGTGGGAAGCTGCTGGGGAGGAGGTGGAGGTTCCGTCACCACCGTCACCTGGCACTGGAAGGAAGGCAGTGGGTCAGCATCTGCTCCTCGGCAGAACTGTCTCCTGCCACGTCAGCTAGACCAGAGTTTCCACTCAACCCTTGAGGACCCATGAGCATAAGAAAGAAAGACAAGTCACATCTGGTTCAGGGCCTGGCATTCTGAAGCCTGGCTAAGCCAGTCCCAGCAGCTGGGCTGGCTACTCAGCCATTTGTATGAGCTTCTTAACCTCTGAGTCTCTCCGTGTTTACATCTGTAGAATGGGGGCAGGTATTTCCATCCTAACTTGGAGAGAAGGGTTTAGTCAACAGCACATTAAAGCCTAGTTCAGTGTCTCCCATCCAGCAGGTCTAATGGGTATTCAGTATTTTGGTCCCTTACAACATCCTTTTCCTTTCTTTATTTTCTTCACTTACACACATGACCTCCATCAGCCTTCTCCTTTATCTTCTCAGGTCCTTCATTCTCAACTATCAGCACCACTCACCCCTAAATTGCTATCTCCAGTAACACGTGCATCGATGCAGGACAATGACCCAGAGACAGAGTCATACTGACAGAAACGCTTACTGTGTCTGGGGACTTGATGTGCCCAGCACTGCACATGGGAATCAACCTACACCACTGAGAAGCAGAGGATATGACTGGCCCTATCTACAGAGCAGCCTCGGGATCAGGATTTGGTCAAGTACTTAGAAAGGAAGAGACCTGACAGGAGAAGAAGTAGAGGTGACAGCAGCATGCACAGATAAGGCCTGGCTTGCCACCCACAGGTTCCAGGCCATATGCCCCATCCTCTGCTCTCTGAGCAGAAGCAGCAGAGACGGTCAGTATTGCATGTCCCTGAGACTCACAGAGCCTCAGCCTCCTCTCTCTCCAGGAGTTGGGCCTCACCACCTAGCCTCCAGCCTCTGGGTGCAGCCTGAGGTGAGGGGGCATCAACTCTCCTAGTAGCCTGCAAGATGCTGCTGTTCCCAAACAGACCAGATGCCCATACAATGGCTACTACCTAACCCATTCTGAGGGCAGGTAGTAGCCCACAACATGACTGCCTGTCCCTAAGTCACAGACATGGCACTCCCTGAGGGAGCTCAGGTTCCCCTTCCCTCCCATCTATCTCTCCCCCAGAAAGGCCTACTTACGGGGCCGGAGGGAATGTCACAACACGTCTCCAGTTCTGCATGCCGGGAGTCACAGTAGATGACGATTCGCTGTAAATCAAACTGGAAAGGGAATTGAGGGCAGAGTGAGCTGGCAATCCAGAAGGCCTGTGTGTGCAGACAATCCTACCTGGATATCAGGGCCCACTCCCCCCAGGGTCCTCTTCATATCACCTAGGTCATCCTCTTCCCTCAGAAAAAAATGGAGCTAGTGGGGATCCCTAAGCCACCTCCACCTATCCTCCTCTCTTCTAAAGTGAGAGGCCTGTGTGGAGGGAGGCTTGCTGATCCAGATTGGACCATCATTTTCTCCTCCTGTGAATGTGTGTGACTCGTTCTCAGCACATCCTTCTGCTCCCATCTTACTATCCCTCACTTTTCCAAGAGAATGTCAGCACTCTTCTATGTACCGTCCACAAACGCTGATTGTGGAGTGCAACCTTACCCTGAGCCTGCTCCAATTTCCAAAGGGCGGATAAATTTATTAACTAAACATATGCTTCTATATTCACCTTTAATAGCAATTAATGTAAAGAAGCTATAGTAGCAGTCAAACGTGAATATACATACACACTGGTACACACATACACACACACACACACACACACATACACTTGTTCTTTAATTCAGAGCTCAGGTCATCTCTCTGGCCTGCAGCTTCACCCGAGGATCAGGTTATTGGGTCAGAACCTGACTCAACTGCCTTGCCTTGGTACACTGCTGTGGCAGGCACAAATTACATGAAATGTCATGGTTTCCTGTGTATGTCCATTGCAATCTTTTCTAGAAAAAATCCTGAAGTACTATCAAACATCGAGTTGATCTCAAAACATAACCTCTCAGTATCTGTATTTCAAACCATAGTGCTCCAAAGAGGAGAGAGAGAGACAGAGAGAAAGAGAGAGAGATATAGAGACAAGAGATAGCTAGAGAAAGAAGGTCTTTGCCTCCCATAGAGACAGGCTCGGGATAGGATGGCTGGAGGGAAACTGAGGACATTGGTGGTGGGAAATGTACACTGGTGGAGGTATCGGTGTTGGAACACTGTGTGATGGAAACCTGATCATGATCAGCTTTATAACACTGTATCTCATGGTGATTCAATTAACAAAAGAGAGAGAGGGAATAACTCAAAACAAAACCAGAAACAAAACAAAACAAAATAGTAAATAAACTATCAACTTCAGCTTGTGAAAACACTCTGATTTGGAAATAAAAGGACAGTACTGATGGGATAATTAATAAAAGCCTATAGGTTGAAATAAACCTACTCACAAAGGAAAAAAAAACATACTCACAAGCACAAAATTTGTAAGTCTACAACTGTACCTCATGTTGTCTCACTAATAAAAATTTTAAAAAAAAGAAAAAAAGAAAAAAAACATATTCCCCCCAAAAGAGAATCTTGATTTTTTTAAACTTTGAGTATAGGATAGATATAGTGATTGAATTCTAATAAATAAAATCCAGAAAAAAATGACATCATTTCCAAGATCAGGTTTTATGGATTATAAGAAGAACGATGTCTCTCTGGAATTCTCTCTTTTATTTCACCTCTTACCCTTCCTTCTTCCCTCTGCTTTCTTCCTTCCTTCGTCCCCCTCCCTACTTCTTCACTCTACTTCCATCAAACGCTGAGGCTGGTGGGAGTAGGAGAGATAGATACAGTAGAAGATAGATAGAGTAGAAGTTACAGCAATAGGAACCAGGGCTTCTTCTAACACCCAAAGAATAGAACAACAAGACTAATTTAGTTTAATAGCGCACAAGAAGCTGTCAATAGTCACCTGGATGAGCTTGGGTAAGCCCCACCCAAGCTTTGAGATGACACACTCTTAGGAGACACCCTAACAAGAATCCCATCCCGTGCCCCTACCCCCTCTCCAATTTAGCCACTGCCAGAATGTCAGAGGAGAGAAGAGAAGAGAAAATAAATGTATCCTCGCCTACTTGTTCTGATATGCTTCTGGTGGGAGGAAAACAATTTTTCATGCAGCATAAAACACACTACACCTCTATCTCCATTCAGGAGTCATTCACAGGGCCTCTCCTCTGCCTCGATGGCTCTCTGCTTATAGCGATTATTGGATGTAGCCACCTACTTTGCCCCTGCCAACCCCAATGCCTAACACATACTCCTTCCAGGATGATTCTCTCACCTTTCTTCTGTTCTGCTACCCATGCCCAGGTCCTCCTGCCACTCTCATGGGTCACCCACATGACTTTTAACTATACATCTCACCCCATACTCATCATTTAATATGTAGTTCTTTATTTACTTTTTAAAGTGTGTTTCTCCTCCTGTGTAAGGCTCTCCTGTCTTGTCTCTTGCTCTATCACTGGGACGCTTGTCCATTGTTTACATGTTGCAGGTGTCCCCAGATTCATGGATTTCATGGTAGGATAAATAAATGTGACAATGACACACATTATCATATGGAATTTGAACTGAGGCAGTGGTGGGTCAAATATTGATTTTTTTGAACATTTATATAAATTGCATTTGATCTCATTCATTCCCTTACTTATCTGTGCTGCCCTTGAGAGACCATCAGAAATCTATGGTAGTGGTCAGCTGCTAGATATCGGTGTCCTGGCTCTGATGCAACCCTGTAATGGTAGCTCCTGACCTCACTGACTTGGTCAGGCAACACATTACTTTCTTTTAATCTGTCTGTTTTATTTCCTTTAGAAACATTGGCCCACAGATAAGAGGAAATGCCAAGATACTAACTGCTCTTGTGAGCAGACCTGTTTTGAAGATAGGATTCATTGGCAGACGCCCATTCTCTCAGAAGCTGAACAATCTAGCATGGTTGCAGGGAGAGAAATGGATGGAAACTAGACTTTTGGTGGTGTGTATAATGAGGTCTCTAAAGATGCTGCTCTCTCAGTCTATATACAGTAAGCTTACTGTCATTGTCACTGTCACTGTCCTCCTGTTGTTCATCGATTTGCTCGAGCGGGCAACAGTAACATCTCACAACAAATTGTGAGACTTGTTGTTACTGTTTTAGGCGTATCGAATATGCCATGGGGGGCTTTCCAGGCTCTGCCATGTGGGCAAGATACTTTTTTTTTTCCCTTTATTTTATTTTATTTTTTTTTACAGTTGTAGATTTACAATTTTTTGTGCTTTGGTTTCAATTATACAATGATCAGATACCCATCCCTCCACCAGTGCCCATTTCCCACCACCATGGATAATATCCCTCCCACCCCCATCCCCCCATCACCCCTGTCTCTGTGGCAGGGCAATCCCCTGTGTTCTCTCTCTCCTTTTGGGTGTTGTGGTCTGCAAAAGAGGCATTGAGTGGCAAACATGTTCAGTCCATAGTCTACTTTCAACATGCATCTCCCCTCCTGGGCAAGATACTCTTGGTAGCTTGCTGGGCTCTCCAAGAGGGGCGGAGGAATCAAACCCGGGTCAGCCACATGCAAGGTAAACACCATACCTGCTGTGCTATCGCTCCAGCCCAGTAAGCTTACTAATGTTATAAATTCATTGAGATTCAATAAAAAATAAATCTTACAAAAAAGACAACCAAGTAATCAATTAATCAAATCTAGGCTTAAAAGAAAGGAAGTAGAAAATGAAGGAGAGGGAGGGAAGGAAGAAAGTATGCAAAGAAGGATGAAAGAAAAGAAGGGAGGAGGGAGGAGAAAGGGAAGGAGGGGAGAAAAGGAAGAGAGGGTGGGGGTATAAAAGTGAAGGGAGAAAGGGGAAGGGAGAGGGATGGATGGAGGGAAAGCTTGATTTTCAAGGACAGAGGCGGTGCCAGATGGGGTGAAAATATCTGGCTGGAATATAGAAGAGACCCTTTCTGATTGTGCAAACTCTCATCATTTCCTATTTTTCCAGTCTCCATTCCTATCATCCCTCCACCCAATCAGGGATTCCATCCCCCAAGTCCCCCTGCCTCAATGCCATTCTGAGACTCCTGTACACTGTTATGGGCTCAGCAACTTATGGGCCCTGCCCTTGATGGACCCTGATTTCCACCACTTTATTGCAGTGTGGTGTCCCTTTTCTGAACTCAGTGTGGAAATTAACGGGACATGCAGAAACCCTGGAATTAGGATAAGCCCAGATCCAGGTCTGATTTTCATTCTTGCAAGGATGAGGTCACAGACCTCAGGCTTTGGCTTTATCTTAGTTTAGCTGATTCAGAGATATTTATTCATGTGAAAGTGGTGTTTTCATTTTATTTTATTTGGGACATATAGTTGAAAAGTAAGTTGCCTAGTAAAGTGTTATTATCTAGCAAACTGGTGCTATGGGCAATTGTAGTTTAAACCAGCTGAGTGCTCCACACCCAGTGACTAATAAAGGACTTAGGACACTTAGAAGTGAGGGAGTCGGGGGACTCCATATGCCACCCTTTCTCTTGGCTGAGGGATACTCCTCAGGATGTCAGTGGCAGCTTAGCAGTAGGCATTGTGGCATCTGGGATGATGTAGGTGGGGCACCCACTACATCAATATCACACATGCTGTGTGAAGAGAGATGGTATCCACACACTATTCCATGTTCCACTTGATTTTCTGCTGAGCATTCAAATAGATACCACAGATGGGCCCCTTAGAGCAGTGTTTCTCAGCCAGAACCCAAAGGATATTCCCAGAGGACTGCCATTAAAAATGTGCAAATGAGGGATCATAGCATGAGACTAGGGGGTCAACTAGACTAGGGGGTGCAGAGGAAGAGAACAAGGTCAGGAACAGATTTAGAAACTGGGAGAGGGAATGTGAGATCTAATTCTCTTCCTGCCTATAAACCCTCATATCATCACCATAATAATGTGAAGATCATGGTAGTGATGTTGTGTGTGAAGAGGACAATAGTGGCTAGCATTTGTTAAAAACATATGATAAACTGGGTATTTTATAAGAATATCATATACAATATGACTTTTAATCTTCTTCAACACTGCTAGATGCTATTTTACAGCTGAGAAAACTGAGCATCAAAAGGCAACAGTGGAGTGTAGATTCCCAAATAATTTTGCTTTTGGATATTTTGCTATTAAAAAAATTGTTACTTCTTATTTTAAGGAGATTTTCCACTCAAACATAGTCTTTCTTGATGTTTTGGAACAGGAGTTAGCAGAATATAGTCTTGTTACATATCTTTAAACATTTCTATGACTGCCTTTTGAGTCTCCGTTTCCTCTTCTGTGTAAGAAAAAGAAATCTGAACAAGATTCTCTCTGAGTTCCTTATGACTCACAAAGCATTTATTTCAGGGATGGCTATTCAGGGGAGGTAGAGCCAGCCTGGCTGCCTGGCTTATTAGGGGGAAGAAGCTCAATTTCTGAGCTCTGATTCTGAGCAGGAACCTCCCCACCCAAACCAGGAAAGGAAGAGCTAGCTGATTGGGAGGATTAAGACAAGTTAAACACACTCAAGGGATTACCCTAATCTTTATTCTATGAATACACCAGGGCTTTATCTTCACTTAGGTCCAGATATCTATTATCTTACTCAAAGTGTAGTTTAGAAATGGGCATTGAAGATGCATTATTGGCAGGAACCCCCATTTGGCCATCGACTGCCTGCATAATCTTACCGGAGTCACTGAACTTCTCTTGTATGTGCACCTCTCTCCATCAGTGAACTGAAGTTTGATTGGTACTTAAACTTCCTAAGACTCAATGGAAGGGGCTGGAGTGACAGTACAGCGGGTAGGGCATTTGCCTTGCACGTGGCCGACCCGGGTTCGATTCCCCGCATCCCATATGGTCCCCTGAGCACTGCCAGGAATAATTCCTAAGTGCAGAGTAAACCCTGTGCATTGCCGGATGTGATCCAAAAAGAAAAAAAAAAAAGACTGAATGGAAGATGGCATCAGAAATCAGGTGATAGGGCACTAAAGTTCTTAGCACCGAGCATGTGCATCATTCTTTAGAAGTAGCAGCAGTTTAAATAATGATTTCTCATAGCTTTGTTTTGATTTTAGTGTTTCCTTTACCTAATTTGATTCCACAGCGATTATATTATTTCCCCTTTCTAGCAGCTATATATGGAAACCAGGCAGAAATTTTCAGGCAGAAATTAAACAACCAAGCAAAGTCTGAAGGGCACAAACAGTGGGTGACCTTCCCTGTGCCATTAGAATGGGTAGGAGATGAACCCACTCAGAGGCTGCTATTCCTGTGACCCTCCTGCCCTCACTTGCCGGTCTTCGCTCTTCCTCCTGCTACTGACCAACTCATTGTGTCTTCATGTGAAGAGATGTGTGCATACAGGCAGCATAAATAATTTATTGCTTATCTAGCAAAGCAAGTAATAAAAGTGTTCCTGACTTTGTTTATGGTGTATTTCATGACAGCACTATTTCTTGTATCTGGATGTATTCAGACTTGTTCCTTTTTTCCCCCCATGATCTGTGCTTTACAAGTCAGGAATTGTGTTTCTAACATTTATAATGAATAATTAATAAGTGTGCAAAAATGTATGAAGATTACCTATAAATCATTGAGAAGAAAAATAGCATACTTGTATTTTGGTGTTTTTTTTTTGTTTTTGTTTGTTTTTGGTGAGTGGGGTTAGGGGATTGGTGTGGGCCACACCCAGCAGTGCTCAAGGCTTATTTCTAGTTCTGCACACAAGGATCACTCCTAACAGGGCTTGAGGAACTATATGGGGATCCAGGGATAGAGCCCAGGCCAGCCGCAGGCAAGCCAAGCACCAGCCCCCTATACTCCGTCCCGTTCTCCTAAACAGTATACTTTAAAACACAGACAAATGCTGCAGATTGCCATTCACCAAAGAGGAAAACAAGTACTCAGTCAACAGGAGAAGGATCCAGGTTCACTGGGGATCAGTAAAATGCAGATAGAAACTATAATAGATGCCATTGTACCCATAAGATTAGCAGAACAATAGCACTGTAGCACTGTCCTCCCGTTGTTCATTGATTTGCTCAGATGGTCCCAGTAATGTCTCCATTTTGAGATTTGTTTTTACTGTGTTTGGCATATTGAATACATCAATCCAATATTGATGTATACATCACGGGTAGCTTGCCAGGCTTTGACTTGCAGGCGAGATCTCTCGGTAGCTTGCCGGGCTCTCTGAGAAGGGTGGAGGAATCGAGCCCGGCTCGGCCAGGCTGGCTGTGTGCAAGGCAAACACCCTACCGCTGTGCTATCGCTCCAGCCCAAGAGCAAAGACATAAAAATAAAACACATTGATTTTTGCAAATTTCATACATTGCTGGTAGACACGTTAAGGTTCTATCTCTTTGTTGAGATATTAAGAATATTTGGGAATGTTAAAAATCCATATATTTTTAACATGTAAAATAAAAACTATTCCTTGAATCCACAGTCATATGCCCTGATGACACTCTCTCCGCTGATCTGCATTTCATTCCTAACAGTCAAGAATTACCCTCATTTTATCTTGTGAGGAAAAATACTCATATTTGTGCCTCTATATTTAAAATTCAAGGTTTACTGAATAAATGCATGAAACAGAAGCTATCCACTTATAGTAGAATGAACAAAAACACATAACAAAATAAAGGATTATGAATTAACAAAAAATAAAAATAAATAAGATGTAGATCTAAAAACTGCATATCATTTACATGTTTTTAGATAAAGATTATATATCCAATAATACAAGAGTTAGTAATAAATATGTCTATGAATACACAATAAATATGGAAGTGGTTTTGAATAGAGCTTTCCTTGAATCCTGATTCCACGAATTCCTGAAAAATGGGAGCTGTGCTTCTGCTTGAGGACTCACACACAGAGACCACTATGTGATGTGTTTGATGTATATAAACACTCAGAGTCTGTGAGTATCTCTGTTTGAATAGAGGTGAAAATGGAGTTTTTGAAAGGAAGAAAGGAAATAAAATGGGAAAGACAAGAAGGAAAGACGATTAAGAATAAAGAAGAAAAAAACACTGAAAGTGATGACAGCAACCACTAATTATTGCCACTGCCAGTTATTACTCCTAACTAGTAAATTTAGGAAGACTTTCACTGATTTTCAAATTCTTTGTTTTATAAATCCACTACGATCAGAAATAAACCATAACTGACTGAATGGATAATAAATGAATGACTGAAGAAGTCGAAGAATGCATGGGTAAGGATAAACTTTGAGTTCCAATTTGACATTTTTTTTTAAGTCAGGTCTTGCCTTCAAGGTAATGCAGCAAGGACTTGATAAATGATTTCATAGACTTGGAGAGCATTGCAGGGGGTGGGGCTCCTGGCTCCTGCCTGTGACCTAAAGGCCTTGAATAGAGAAGTCCCCACCAGTACTCACATCGATGGGCACACTGTCGTAGAGGCGCTTGCCAATCACTGTCTTTCCCTGGATGTCGATATTCTCCCTCTCCTCTATGGGCAGTGTCTCCACCAGTGCACAGTCAATGTAGAGGGAGACATTCTGGGCCTGGACGCTGAGAGCAATCTTGTGCCACTCCCGGTCAAAGAGGTCGTTGACCCGGAAACCACGGAAGACTACTCTGACAGCATCCTTCATGGCACCCACGGCATTGTACTCGACCGCCTTGTTCTCACCATCCAGCCGAATAGACACCTGGGAGGAGAAGATAAGAGATTTCTTGAGCTTCGTGGTGTCAAGCAGGAAGAGGACAAGTGTGGAGGGGACACTTCTGGGTCACACCTCATAGTTTGAGTCTTATCTGGCTATAACCTTGGAAGTGTTAATATTATCTCACAGACCACTCTAGGATTTCTAGTTCAATGGGATAAGTGAGTTCACATATTAATTCCAGTGCCAGATATCAATTGTTTTCTGAAGAGGCAATGTCACTTAGAGAACTTTTGCTATGAGACTACATGGCAATTTGTGCCAAAAGGCTTAAATTATGAGATGAATCCAAAATTTCAACTGACTTCAGTGTCTCTTAACACCCTGAATTAGCAACACAGGACTTACCTTCTGATAAGATGACAGGTACCAGTCTGGGGACATCCCATTTTACTGTAGAATATATGATGGTAGGGTACATAATATAAAGCAGAGAAAATGTCTTTATTGAGTGGATGAGCAAGTGATCCTGTTTGTGTCCTGATCAAAGAGGCTAGTCTTTCTTTTCCTTAACAGATGCATCCCAGTCCTCTCTGTTTAGCCCTAGGCCCCCAATTTATGGCTTTTTCAAGATTCTTCCTTTGACTCCTATGTTCTTTATCTTCATTTTATCTTCATTTTAGTTTGGTCTGTGAAAAGCTCAGTGGGTTAGAAACCAAAGGGCAGGAAGAGATAGGACAAAGGTATTATTTCTTCATGCTCCAGTGCTTCTCTGTTTGGTTATATTATTCTAAGATCAAGACACTTAGGGAGCTTTCCCTCCACATTCTAAAACAGATCATCTTCAGTGAACAACATTCTCCTCTCTTTCGGGTGTTCAAGCACAAGATGATAATTACTAGTCCCAGCATACCGCAATATCTAGTTTGTCAAAATATGCTTTTTGTTTGTTTGTTTTTTGGGAGGCTCATGAGTGGTGCTCAGGGCTTACTTCTGATCTTTCACTCATGGATCAGTTCTGGCAGACTCAGGGACAATATGGGGTGCCAGGGATGAACCCAGGTCAGCTACAACATCTCTACATATTGTGTAATCTCTTTGGCCCCTAGTTTGCTAAATACTTACCTTTACTTTATAAGATCCAGAGACTATAAAACCCAGCTCCTGGAAGAGAACAGCGCAGAGTCTCCTGCCCCCGCGCCTGGCTTGCCGGGGCCCTTTGGAGGGGGGCGTTTTGAGTTTCCCTCCCCACCCTGACCAGAGATCCAGCAGCCGAAGACCTCCAGAACCAGCCACAACCATGCTGAGACCACTCTCCACACGCATGAAGGTACTGGCAGAGGAACAAAGGCATGCGGGTCCCGGGGCTGAAATCTCCAAGCCTGCTCGGATCAGGGCTGAGCATCCTCCACCCAGATCCTCTTTCTTCCAGGAGCAGGGTCACACCCACCAACTGGCCCCCTGGCGCCGTGTAATCCCATCAATGGCCAAGATCCAGAGACTATAAAATCCAGCTCCTGGAAGCGCGCAGCCGCATTCGCGGCCATGCGACATCTTATTATCTCATTCTTACTTTGGACAAACTGGTAGGCTACTGAATGTAACCTGCCCACATGGCAGAGTCTGGCAAAACTCCCCGTGGCGTACCCAATATGCCAAATACCGTCACAATGATGGGTCTCATTCTCCTAACCCTGAAAGAGTCTTGAATATGGCACATTTTTTTAAAAATCTCAGGGCTAGGACGAAGGAGACGTTACTGGGGCCTGCTTGAGGCAATTGACAAACTTTATAAGCTTCTTTCATCCCAGACATTTTACTAAATCACATTTTAAATTAGGTGGCTGGTTTTGTTTTTTGTTTTTTTTTTTCTGCTACATCCAAACTGGCAAGTCACATTTCAACGATGTGACCTGAACAATTTAAACTCTCTATAGTTTTATAAAATGACACCAGTAACTGCACACACCATAGTCATATGGATGATAATATGAATTAATATATGTAAATTTTTATATAGTATTAAATATAAGCCATAATTTTTCAAAATAGATTCCACAGACCAGAGAGGTAGAACCGTAGATATGGTATTTGCCTTGTATGTGGCTGACACTGATTAGAATGTTCAAGAAAGACAATAATGCATTGAAGTCCTTTTTGATAAACACAAAATTGAGTTATTATGTGATCATTTGTTCTCATATTCTAAAGCATGTTGATTTATTTACTTTCAAAATTAAATAGGGATGACCTCCAGTGAAACTTATCATTTCTTCATAACTATCTGTCTGAGTTAATATAATTTCCCTGAATACTTCAATAGATTACCTTAGTTAGGTGTTCTCATTACTTTCCCCCTTTCTATCATATCCCAGAATCTATTTCCAAATAACAAGTCCCTATACTGACCTGGCATCTCACCACCTCTTTGAACATCATATCTGGAATGATCAATGCCTTATATTTCTTCCAAGAATAAAACAATAAATTTCAAGGGTGGTGGTCAATACCAAAGGAAATAATCCAGATGAAAATCTAGATGACTAGATTTGAAATACCTAAGAGTGTGTGAGAATTTTTCTACACTCTTCTGCTTCTGGGTCATCAGCCAGACTTGATCCTTTTCTCGTGTCTAGCCAGCATTTCCCCAAGGCACTGAGGTGCCCTCTCAGGGAGGCTAGCACTCCACCAAATTTTTCTCTCTGAAATTAGACTACCAGGTGTTTCTTTGAAAAGGAGCCTTAAGATTCTTCAAGGCAAACTCAACTCTGCTCTCTGAATATTTCAACGCAAGTATCATGCTGCCAGAAAGACATGAGGCAGATAAGTTGCATCTGTTACTGCCATAAAGGATAAGAATCCAGGTCAGGGGCTGTTGCAGGCTCGCCCACAGGAATGTCGATGCTGGCTTGAGTCTCTGTCCCAGACCCTGAGAAACTGGAGAGGCAAAAACTGAGTGACTGCACATGGAGGTGGAGGAAGGACACAGTATGCTCTTTAGAAAAACGTCCTCTGGAGAAGAATCCCAGTTACTCTGTTCTTAATTGCGAAGCCAATTCATACCACAGCTCAGGCTTAAATGTAGACCTGTCAGTGTGACTGAAGGTGCTCTGGAAAACCATGCAACAGGGGCGAGAGCAATAGCATAGTGGGTAGGATGCTTGCCTTACGTGCAACCGGCCTCAGTTTGATCCCCAGAATCCCATATGGTCTCCTGGAGCACCCTCAGGAGTGGTTCCTAGTTGTAGAGCCATTTTTAAGTCCTGAGAACTACTAGACATTGTCCAAAAACAAACAAAATTTCATTTAACAGGGCTACAATCAGGTGAGCATGGTAGAAAGACAGATTTGGAGTTCACCTACCTGGATTCAAACTCGAATTCTTTGAATTCCAATGGAAATCTAAACAAGTGTCTTAGGTACAGAAAGATCTTTCCTTTATAAGAGTTTCATAAAATCTATTAACTGGACTGGAACAAGGACAAATGTGTTAAGCTATGTGAAATATTCAGGCAATCCCTAACTCCTACAGTGTTGGTGTCCATAAACTCCTACATGCAACATGAAGTGCTTGCAAAGTGAGTTTGCTGCCTGGGGTAGCTAGGTCTCTCAGAATGAAGCCTATGAGTTTGGCTGTTACTATCTTATGGTTCGTGCCAATTTCAATTTTATTTGACACCAAATAAAAATATATTCAGCATTCTCCAGATGAAAGTGAATAATGTCATCGTAAGATTCATTTTTCAAGGGAGGACATGAGTAAATAAGGACAGAGATAAAGAATTGATCCATTAACTATGTGAACAAAGAAATTGCAACTTGGCAGAGAACAACAACAAAAAAAACATCACTTGCATCTCAAACCAACACATTGTGCTAATGAATTCAGTTTTAAGATGACTCCTTCCTCATCTGTGTGTTAATGAGATATTCAACCTTCTTAGAAACTAAAAGTCAAAACACACAGAGATGGACCAAAATAGAGCTTCAGAATTTTAATTAGGGCAAAATTAAGAATATCATAATGCCAAAAACAGTAACAACAAGTCTCATAATTTGTTGTGAGAAGCTACTGGTGCCTGCTGCGCAAATCGATGAACAACGGGAAGACAGTGCTACAATCATAATGAGGATTGTAGACATAGCACAGTGGGCAAGGCACTTTCCTTGCACACAGCCAATTGAGATATATCCCCAGTCTCCCATATGTTTCCCTGAGCACCTCTAGGAGTGATCCCTGAGCAGAGAGCCAGGAGTAAACCTTGAACACTGTGGGGCATGTCCTTCTCCCCCCACCCCCCAAAAAATATATAATGGAAAAATGTTTTAGCTATAGATCAGGCACTCTACAAGATGCTTTAAAAAGCCATTATTAATGTTTAAATCCAATCATTCAAGATAGGTGTCATATTTTCCATATTAGAATTCAGAAAATTAACACTCAGAAACCTAGTGTGTGTTAGGGCCTTGACCAGATAGGAACTGATGCGCAGCTCAATATCACAAAATTATACCATCCATGTTGCTCAGAAACAGGTGCCATCAGTATGAGCTGTCATTTCCCCAGTTATGTCTCCTGTCAACCCCAAGTATCAAAGCAATGATGTGATACTCTCCTGAGCTTCCCTGGGCCTTCACTCCATATTCTCCATGTACTAGGTCCATACAAATTCCAACACAGAAAACATGATAAAATAGGGGACACTAGGAGGCTAGCTCAAATATGTGGAGTCCATGCTTTGCACATACAGATCCTGAGTTTGATCTTTAGGATCACATAGACACACAAACACCACCCAATAGAACCCAGCTGCTCCCCAAGCACCACCAGGGTGACCCCTTGAATTCTGTCGTGTGTCCCATAAAAATAAAAAATTTTAAAAACATGGTGGAGGTACCCCACAAGATGGAACAGAAAGCTGAGGCATCTCAAAACAAGGCATGGCTCATACCTGTGGGATGCCATACTGGTCAATGACCTGCCAGATGTACCAGTCTTCTTTTCGAGATGCTTTCCGGAACCGGAAGGTTGTGACAAAGGCATACTCATCAGGCAAGCCCTCTGGGAAAACATCCCTAAGGGAGACAGAAGACACCATGTTGAGGAAATCAGTAGCTAAGATGCCTGCCATCTCATTGGATGTCACGAAGTTGAGCCAATTTGACCTCCTAAATATCTCTAAATTCTAACTCTCCCTGCTTTTATTGCTTTTTCTTTCAACCAAAACCTCACTAGGACCTTTTCAGTATTTTTATATTATAGGCTCTTCATTTCCCCTCCCCTTAGCCCCAACTCTATACCCCTTCAATCCACTCCCAAAATACATGTCTATTCCCTCTTCCCACCATCACTCTTTCCAACAAAATCTAGGATAAATGCTAAACTGCCACAGCCAAGGTCAGGTGTAACCTCATTTTCAGCAAGTCTTCACCTCTCCTAGCCTGTTTCTTCTTCTTATTTTTTTTTAATTTTTATTAGTGAGACACCATGAGGTACAGCTGTAGACTTACAAATTTTGTGTTTGGGTTTCAATTATCAATGATCAAATACCCATCACTTCATCAGTGCCCATTTCCCACCACCAAGGATCCCAGTATCCCTCCCACACCCCATCCACCCCATCCCACCCTGCCTCTGTGGCAGGGCATTCCCTTTTGTTCTCTCTCTCCTTTTGGGTGTTGTGGTTTGCAAAAGAGGCATTGAGTGGCAATCATGTTTGGTCTATAGTCTACTTTCAGCATGCTTCTCCCATCCTGGGAGGATCCTCCCAACACCCTTAATTTGGTGCTCTCTTCTCTATCTGAGCTGCCTTTCCCCCTAGTATGTGTGTGCTCCATGGCTGTTTATTCTTCTTAAGGTCCAATTAAGTCTCTTATCTTTCAGACCCTTATGCAACAGTACAGCAGCACATTCTCTGCTTCATGGGACTCTGGGTCCCTGCAGATGGTAGGGCCTGACCCTAGTTTGGAAGAGTTTTCCCCCATCCTCTTCAAATGCCCTCAGTCCCATAGGTGCCATATCTCTTGAAATTTCAGAATAAAATTGTTTGATCATTGTATGACTGAAACTCAAACATGAAAACTTTGTAACTGTATCTCACAGCAATTTAATAAAACAAGGAAAAAATTAAATTATTCTTTATCATAAATTACGAGGAAAGGTCTGGGTCTCTAATATCATCTGGCTATACCTCCACCTGCAGAGTTTGCCCAGGTCTGGGACGATTCTGACCTGGGAACAGGGAGGCCCTCTGCAGGCATGTGGCACTGAGTTCTTGGAGGAGGTGGAAGATGTCTGGCCAGAGAGTCGGGAGGGGAAATGAGTAGGTGTTGGGGTTTCTGGCTCCCAGACTCACAGACTCTCAAGGGACCATGGGTTTGGCTGGTAAATTCTTTGACTAGTTCTCTCTTTGCTAGTTCTCTCTTTGTCTGTCTCTGTCTCTCTGTCTCTCTCTGTCTCTCTCTGTTTCTCTCTCTCTCTCTCTCTCTCTCTCTCTCTCTCTATCTCTCTCTCTCTTTCTCTCCCTCTCTGCGTGTGTGAGTGTAGTTGGTCCATTTGTTCAAAGTCATTCTCTGAGCTGGGATTTTACTCAGGATCACATCACACGCCAACAGGGGTTCAGTACCCAGTTCATGCAGCAGCTGGATCTCTGTCAGGATAGAGGAATGATCCAGTTCACAGGAGAAAGATAGGATTTCTCTCCTCTCTACGGATGGACTTTGTTTGTAGATGCATACAAATTTCACTTTTCTTTCATTAATGTGTTTAACTATTCCCTCTTTTATTGACTAAACACATTTCTCTTAAAATATGTCTATACATAAATTTACACATACTCAAACATAAAATGAATTATATTAGGTTATATATAAAGTATGTATATAAATATACAGTATAAGAATAAACAAACTTCCTATAATCTGTATTTTTATTTTTTGACTTTTTGGGTCGCTTCAAGCAGTATTCAGGACATAACTCCTGAATAAACTCAGGGAACACTCCTGGAGAGCTTGGAGGACCATATAGGATGGCACAGATCAAATCAGGGCCATCCACATGCAAAGCAAGCACCTTACCCACTCTAGCCCCTAAATTCTGAGATTTTGAATAAGATTTTGAATAATACCTGCTTACCTCATTTTATTATAGTGAGAAGGACATTAGATAAGAAGATAAGAATGTGAAATGAACCTTACTTATCAGAAAAATTAGAAAAATATTAAAAATACTAATCATAAACAATATCAGCTCCCAAATTAAAACTACCAATTTATGTATGAATTTTTGCATGTAGAAATTTAAAGCATTAATATTAAAAGGGTTGCTATTCCTTTTTGAAATGTCAAATTCTTGTTTGATTTTGTTTCTGGTGCCTTGACATTAAACAAATATGACATAATATAGAAATCCCTTCTTAGAATCACTCAGAAATACCTGAGCCCAGAGCCATTGCCAAGAAACACTCCAATCCTTATTCTATAGAGAAGCACCAAGACTTCTTTGTTGGCTCCAAAAGTTTCTTAAAATGGTTAGAGAACTAGCACAGGAGGTAAGGCACTGGCCTTGCTTATGGTTGACCCCAGTTTGATCTTTCATACCACATTTGGGTCCCAGAGTACCATCAGGGGTCCATCAAGTACAGAGCCAGGAATAACCTTTGAGCAGTAACAAGTTTGACCTAATCACTTACCAAAAAAAGGAATTAAAAAAGACAATAAAATTTCAGAAAACGGGAGGACCTTCCTTCCATTAAACCATTCTACTACATTTATGTTATATGTACTTCCATTCCCTTATTTTGGTCCTCTTCTACTGCATTCTTCCATTAATGTGAAGCTCTCTATAACTTTTTTTCTGATTATAACCCAGGTGGATAGTGAATTAGATATAGTAAGCCAAGGACGCAAATATGGAAGTGAAATGGCCTCTAACTGAACACAGAACCAGGTGATTAGGTTGACCTAGTCTAGCATTTATACATCAGCATCAAGAGAATGAGAGAAAGCAATGCTCACCATTCTGAAAGACCTACGTTCTCAAGGTCTCCATTAGACAGGTGAAAAAACTAAGTCAGAAAGAGAAATAACTTATGCCATCCAGTTCCCCTTTGATAAATCTGGTACTTGAGCCAGAACTGACAACACAGTCTTAATGCCCGGTACATGACTGGCACCCAAAGAATGTTCAATGAATTAGGCTAAAGACTGTATGCATGAAATATTCCAAACTCTGTAACCTGGTATTGGAAGTCTAAGTTGGTAAAATAAGCAAATATGTAGGGGCTGGAATGATAGTACAACTGGTAAAATGCTTTCCTTGCACATGACCAACATGGTTTGATTCCCAGCACCCCATATGGCCCTCTGAATATTGCCAGGAATGATTCTTGAGTACAGAGCTAGGAGTAACCTCTGAGCATCACTGAGTGTGTCCCCAAAACAAATAAAAGAATAAACTATTATGTAACATTATTATCACTGATCATGGATTTATTTATTCTTTCACTCACTCAATTAATGAATTGAGTAAATTCATTAATTCTGTATGTTCCCTTCTCTGGGCAGTGCCTCATTCCATGCTAGGACTACAGGAGAGATCAAACTCAGTTCCCTGCTGTAGTCTCTTATTAAGCAAGAAATAGTCTAGTGGAAGGCAGAATGTGCAGCTGGTTTTAACTCTGCCACATTTTAGGCAGAAATTTATGTTGTTAGAAGGGAAAAAAAGAGAGATGTATATTTCAGTCTCTGAATTCCACAAAGACTTTTTTAAAATTCATAAGGGTTGTATTATACAATTAAAGAGAATTAGGTGTCTCCAGTAAACAAAAGAACATGAGGAAAGGCATGACAGTGATTGGTGAAGGTTGATAGGCTCTCAAAATAGGTGCAGAGGAACTGAAAAGATAAAACAGGCAATGACTTGGGGAAGAAAGGCATGAGGTTAAGTTGCAAAACTGGGCCAGGTTACCCATGGGCCTTTCAGGCCAGTTCGATAGCTTAAGAATCCTTGGAAGTAACCAACAGGGTTTAAGATGGAAAAGGAGTGATACTTTAAAAAGAAATGTTCAAAAAAAGATGTCTGCCTTAGGTTATCAGAATGGGGTTGGAGAGATAGGAGGATTTTTAAGGTGATTGGTTTGCATACTAATTTCAATCCCAAGCACTCCCAGGATTAACCCCTGATTACAAAACCAGGGGTAACCCCGGAGCACTAACATATGTGGCAAAAATAATCCAAAATAAAAGTAACTGTACATAATAAACCTCTCAGTGATATTATGAGACAGACAGGAACTTTCATCTCCAGTAGAAAACATGACATGATAGAGTTTAAAGAGCATCTAATAAATATTTTAGACAAGGGACCCAGGACCACTTAAATTGGCTCTCATTGGCATGTATAACTCCATTATTCTGGGTGATGCTGAATATGCCATATAATGTTGTAGGTGATCCTGACGGAGTTCCAAGTACCTATAAACATAAATATTTGCCTTTAAGTAAATTCCCCAAAAATGAATGTATTTAAAAAATGAGGCTAATGTCTAGTTTGTGTGGAGAGTTCCCGTTAGGAGAAGCAGTAAACTGATAAAGTCAAAGGTAAAAATAGATCAACCTATAAACAAGTTGAGAGGTTCATCTGTTTCATCTCAGAATGACTTTACCAGACACTGAGTAGTCCTAGCGTACAATCATGGCTCTCCAGTCTCCTCATCTCTGTCTTATCCAAGGTATCTAGGACACGTTTATAAGGACAAGTAACTACTTACTCAGTCCTCTGCACCACAGGGAAAGTTCCCATCCGGACGTAGGCACTGTGTGCTCCATTCTCTCTCCTCCCCAAGATCTCCTTCACACTAAACAGATCCATCAAGTCAAAACCTATTGAAAAAGAAAAGCCTGGAGTAGATTTGGCAGAGAAGCATGCAAGAAAAAGAAAAGCATGTCGCTCTTTGATAACTTTCAACCACCCTGTCCAAAGGACAACAGATACGGGATTTAACCAGAGGGAACAATTGAATAACATGACAAAAAAAAACATAAACAACAGAGTAAGGCTAAGTATAGCTTTTATGTTCATTTCAAAGTCCAGGAGAAAGATACAGAGAAAAGTTGACACTGAACTTTATAATGTAAAGTGAATGTTGTGAAAGTCCTGAGTCTTAATCAATCATGAGACAAATGGAAGATTCCCCAACTGTGATTTGCAGGAAACTTCTTAGATTCAGGAAGTCTACACAGGAGTGCTGCTCACACAGCCTGGCTCTGTAGGAAAAGGATGAGTTAGGGCTTTGTAACCTATAATCTTTAGCACTGTCACTGTAGCACTGTCCTCCCATTGTTCATCGAGTTGCTCCAGTGGGCACCAGTAACATCTCCACTGTGAGACTTGTTGTTACTGTCTTTGGCATATCGAATACACCACGTGGAGTTTGCCAAGCTCTGCCGTGCAGGCGGGATACTCTCGGTAACTTGCCAGGCTCTCGGAGAGGGATGGAAGAATCAAACCCGGGTCGGTCGCATGCAAGGCAAACACCTTATTGGCTGTGCTATTGCTCCAGTCAAACTATAATCTATTTGAGAAAATATTATATTTGGTACATGATGATCACTGGATTTGGCTGAGATGGTAGTGGTGATATACATCTGGCCTCATATGTGACACTGAAAAGGTGTCACATGCAACTACGTTATCTCAGTACTTGATAACTTAATCATAAAACCAGGGCAATATCTACTTGCAGAGTACCCTAAGACTTGCACCAGAATTTGAATATTCACTACTCATGGTAGAAAATTAATGCTGTGAGTCTTTATTGCTAAAGATCCATCACCACTAGCCACAGATTTTCTAGAGGGCTGGTCTGAAACTTGATGATAGACTTCTCAAAGAAGACAGACATACCCAAGGGAGTAGAATGAGAGGATGGCTCAAATCTAGTATCCCTCGCAAGACAACAAAGGCTGAAATCAGGTTAAAGAAAAGTCAAATGAAAGTCAGCACCAAGCCTTGCTTGTTTCTTTCTGCTTTCCTGTGATGAGGACAACTCTGCATCATGGGCACCTAACCCAAGAGACTTTAGGAAGATTCCTGTGGTTTCTGATGTTGCAAGATGCTGCCACAAATAACCAGAAATAATCTAGCCAGGCTCGTGAATGATGATTAAAGTTTCCTTACCACTAAATTCTATCCAATAAAATTTTATTTACTCAATACAAATTTAGAGAGCCTCTCTGTTCTAAATCCCATGTAAAGGGATGGGCTTAGCATTAATGCCAAGTTTGAGTATCAGAGTCAAATGTGTCTGATTGTGTTCCTGACAATGATGTCTTGCCTGTGACCTTAGGCGGGTGGCCTGACATTCTGAACATCAATTTCACCAAATTAGGGGGTGGGGGATGTTTTAAGATGTATGTCACAATATTGTTGTCATCTGATGGATACAATACAAAGTACTTCATATGGAACTCAATTATAGTTAAAAGAGCCAAAATTGTTTGGGAATCAATTACTTCCCCGTAGTAATAATTATAGCATCATCTACCACTAGATTCTGTCCACAGATGTCATTTGTCTATCAAACTCCTGTTTGTAAAAAACAATTACGTGCACAGCACTGGAGAAAAGGCTTAGAGGGAAAGGAAATCCTGGTTCCTGAGAAACTGTTATTCTAGGGAAAGACAAAAAATATTCACAAATGTGCAGCAAAATGACAACCACTAGGTATATAGTGGTGGAATAGCTAAGATGGACTATGGCTTTACAGGGACTGAGATGGAGTGACAGGGCAGGCTTGGATACAGAGGTCTCCCCAGACCCCAAACAGGACCTCTGGTGTTCTGTGGATAGGTTCCATCTGGAGCAAGGCTCTTGTAGCTCTCGTTGACTTTTGGAACTGACCCTTCCAACCTCACCATTCCTAGGTTGTCTAGTTTGGAGAAAAATGACTAAGAGCTGTCATGCTCTTTTTCAAAGTAGCATTTCACATACTAGCTAAGTAATAGAATCCATGTTCTGAGGGTAAATTATATTTGATATTTAAGACAAAAAATATACATCTAGAAATATCTTTAGAACTGAGAAAGGCACAAAACAAACTGAGGCAAATGATAATCTTTCCAGGTAATGTTCAGGCACTCACTTTTCCACAGATGTCCAGCCAGTTTAATGGCCAGGCAATGTTCTCAGCAAGGATGCAGCTGAGCACAATGTGAGTGACTACACTGCATTGGTGACAAATACTTGAAGACAAGGCCCAAATTTCTGAGGATCATGTCCCATTCTTCATCCCCGAAACCATGGGTTGGAAATATGGGACACTTTTTTGGAACTGAACTGATAACCTGCTTCTCAGTTGTAATATGCCCTTTGCTTAGGAAAAACTTTGTAGTGGGAAAATGATCCAGCATCCACAATGGCAGATTCTCATACGTGGAACCCTACTTATAGTCGTGTGGCCTTAAATGTGTTAGCCACTTTAAGACTGATTTTTTTTCATTTCTGTAAGATTTGGATAATATAAATGCCAGATGGTAAAACTATGAGTTATGAACCATCTGAAACTGTAGTGTGAGAACTATGTGGCTTCAAATCCCACTCCCACACTCCCCCACCCTACAGAATCAGGTAGTTCTGGGCCTTCATTTCTTCAGTCGCCAAATGGGGTATCCTCTAAACAGATCCTTTACCCTGAATAAAATAATCAGAAATTATGAATAAACATTCAGGGAGAATTCCTCTCCCTGGAACTCAACTTAGGGAGACCGTGGCTTAGTCACATTCTGTCGCCCAGAAAATCATCATAAAACAGAAAAGTGAATGTTATTTGAAGGTTTCATATTTTTAGCATCAAAGACTACTCGCCATATTTTCCCCAGAGTTTGCTGTAACTGGAAAGGGCACACCTTCAATTAAACTAGATTTCTTTCATGACAGTGAACTTGAAAGACGACAATGGCAGGGTTGCCTATTCCCTCATTATAGAGCTTCACATTTGCCTCTAGAAACTGCCACATTTAGCTGGGTTTCCCTTTATCAGTCAAATGTGGGAACATTTATTTTAAATTTCCACATGAAAAAGATACCCCATCTCTATGATGGGTCTCCACTAATATTGGTTATGATTAATAAAACAAATAAACAGAATAAACTTGAAAACAAATAAGTACCTCAGTGCCAGTAAAGGACACTGAGAGAAAAAAAAATGTGAATTGCCTGCAATAAACTAGTGCTGGGAAGAAAAGTATAGAATAACCTTGAGGTGAATAGATTCTGATTCTTGGCACCAGGAGACAAAGATTACTTAACGCAAAATCTTATATGCCCAAAGTCAGAGTCAGTGAAACTAGGTAGCATCAGGAAGCTTGCTAGCTTGAGTTAGCTATGACAGCTGCCCTCTGCCACACGCCCACAATGCACTCACTCCTTGTCCTTCAAAGCTTTGTTGAGGCTCCCCTGGTCAGAATGGGTCCTCTGGGTCTTTAGTGGGGCTGTTGAAGTGTACAGAGCTCATCTGTTAGGGGTGTGCTTCCAATAGATGCTAAGGTTCTTGAGAAAGGGCCCTCTGGTTCATTTTTCTGTTCCTGATGAGCATTTATTGTTTGACTTCGCAGCATCTTTTGTAGGAGAGGGTAGAATTTAGGACACCATCAAGCAACTATATACATAAAAAAGAAGTGTAACTCTTGCAAGTGAAAAGAGAAGGGAAACCACTGAGATCACAATATTTTTCCTTGTTATGGAATATTTTCCTTTCCAAGGACAATCAGGAAGGACTTTTCCGATGAGGTGAGACCTAGCGTAAATTTGAAGAACAAATAAAATGTGGGTAGAGAGAGGAAGGAAAAATACTAACCACATAACTTGATGGGCACAGTTTGATGGATCCCAGTAAGTCACATTCCTCTAAGAATCGTGGCTATTTGGGTTATGGTGAGGAGAGAGTGACTGACAATGTGGGCAGCAGGAATGAAGCCAACTGATTCTATTGGCCACACAGGAGATTTGCAATTTATTTCTGCCAGCAATAGGGAGAGTGGCAGGGCTTTAAAATTAGAGATAAATATTCATTTTCACATTAAAAGCTCAAAGATCATTCTGACTTTAGAGCTGGAAATGTAGGGACCAGTGAGGACTAGGTTTGGTTCTCAGGAAACGGAGAGGAAGAAGTTGGGAATTACTTGGGAGGAAAATGGGTGTATTTCCCATTTAAGAGGAGTAGTATGCCTGATACTTTCTTTGAACATTGAATAACTAATTCCATGAAAGGCATAATAGCTTTAGTCTCATTTTAATTTTTATTTATTTTTAATTTTTTTTTTTTTTTTTGCTTTTTGGGTCACACCCGGTGATCACAGGGGATTACTCCTGGCTCTGCACTCAGGAGTTACTCCTGGCAGTGCTCAGGTGACCATATGGGATGCTGGGAATTGAACCCAAGTTGGCCACATGCAAGGCAAATGCCCTACCCGCTGTGCTATCTCTCCAGCTCCCTAGTCTCATTTTTATAACATTAAGTTACAGTAGTAGGGCGTTCGCCTTACAAGCGGCCAAGATGGCCGACCCGAGTTCGATTCCTCTGCCCCTCTCGGAGAGCCCGGCAAGCTACCGAGAGTATTCGATATGCCAGACACAGTAACAACAAAGTCTCCAATGGAGACGTTACTGGGCCCGCTCGAGCAAATCGACGATCAACGGGAGGGCCTTTTACCTAAGTTATTAGAGAACTATCCTCAGAGACATTATTGATATGGTCTAGCATAAGACCCCCCCACCTAAAAAAATAATAATGCCTAACTTCTTTAATTCCCACATCTAAAATGCCTGTCGGCTGAGATGCTCACTGCTGGCACAACCAATTTTTCTGTCCCTGTTAAAATGAACAGCATTGTTCACGAGAGTCTAGAGGCCCTCCTGTGACTCCATTCTGCTGCTGACTTTCTAGAATTGACCCAGCCATGCTGTTCCCAGGATAGGTTCAAATTCTTTTGTATGCATTTTTATACCCATCACATGACTGGCTCAGAACCTTTTATAGACATCTCCCTCTCTCCCAGAACTGACTACACATCTCTTGCTCACCCTCCTCCAGAATTAGCTACTTTGTTTTATTTTTTTCTTTTTGGGTCACACCCAGCATTGCACAGGGATTATTCCTGGATCATGCACTCAGGAACTACTCCTGGTGGTGCTTGGGGAACCATATGCAATGCTGGGAATCGAACCCGGGTCAACCCGCTGTGCTATGTAATTGCCCAGAATTAGCTATTTTTTATTTTTTTATTTTTTTGGTTTCTCAATTTCTTTTTTTTTTTATCATTTTTTTTTATTAGTGAAACACCATGAAGTACACTTATAGACTTATCAATTTTTGTGCTTGGGTTTCAGTTATACAATGATCAAGTACCCATCCCTCCACCAGTGCCCATCCTCCCCCACCACGGGTCCTAGCATCCCTCCCCCCATCCCCCCCCCCGTCCCACCCTGCTGCTGTGGCAGGGCATTCCCCCTTGTTCTCTCTCTCTTCTTTTGGGTACTGTGTTTTGCCAGAGAGGCATTGAGTGGCAATCATGTTTGGTCTATAGACTACTTTTATTAGCTATTTTTTAGAAAGCAGAAATCTCCCTCCTAAGCAGCCCAGGGACAGCCTGTGTGTGTTCAGCCGGTCTCTAAAGGGCCCCACTGTGTCAGTCCGACCTCTGGACTCTCTTTTTAATAAACTTCCTTTGGTCTCACCTAAACTGCCTGGATATCCTGATAAATTGTTTTACCACCCAGCACGTGGAGCCAGAGGACCTAGGCTCAAGTTCCATCTCTCTCTTCTATTGTGTCAGATCCTATCTTACATAAGAGGGAAAACTGAGTCTCAGGGTTGTCAGGAGATGGACTCCAGTCATCTGGCTGGTAAGAAGCAGAGTCAGTGTAAGCCCGTCTCCAAGGGGCCTTGGTTTTTTCTCTTTCCCATCTTCATTATTTCACGTCAGATAAACCCTAAAAATAGCTGGAGTCATTTTAGGAAACACTAGAGCTGAGATTTCAGAATTGCTTTTCCCTCTAGATTACAAAAGTAAGTAAGTAAAGTAAAGGCCCTCCCGTTGATCGTCGATTTGCTCGAGCGGGCCCAGTAACGTCTCCATTGGAGACTTTATTGTTACTGTGTCTGGCATATTGAATACATCACGGGGAGCTTGCCAGGCCCTGCCGTGCAGGCGAGATACTCTCGGTAGCTTGCCAGGCTCTCCGAGAGGGGCGGAGGAATCGAACCCAGGTCGGCCATGTTGGCTGCGTGCAAGGCAAACACCCTACCGCTGTACTATCGCTCCAGCCCACAAAAGCAGCTTTGATTACTGAATTGAATTGAAATTGGTGAATCTGAGAATCCATCCCACCATAGGCTCCACTTAAGCCTCAATGTGGTTAGTTTTATTTTTGATATGTTCATAATACAGGAAACTATAGATAAATCCATCTCTGAGCATTCATTGCTGCATAAACAGGACATATGGACTGCGGGCTGATGGATAACTACTGTAGCACTGTAGCACTGTCCTCCCGTTGTTCATCAATTTTCTCGAGCAGGCCTAGTAATGTCTCCATTGTGAGATTTCTTGTTACTGTGTTTGATATATCAAATTCGTCACAGGTAGCTTGCCAGGCTTTGCTGTGCGGGCATGATACTCTTGGTAGCTTGCCGGGATCTCCGAGAAGGGCAGAGGAATAGAACCCAGGTCGGCTGCATGCAAGGTGAACACCCTACCATTGTGCTTTTGCTCCAGCCCTACTACCTGACATAAATATTGATTTCCTGGTCCTTGGAGCCACAGAGGAGAGTGGAGTTTTCAGGGGTCCCTGACAACAGTTCACTTCAGAGGAGTGTGACTAAAGCATTCTACTTCTGTCTACTCAGCAAACGGACTCTTTGGCAGGATCCTCAGACTCTTCAGTGTATCAGAGACTGAAGATTTGTCGGGGCACTGGGTATATTCATATATATATATATATATATATATATATATATATATATGTGTGTATGTATCCACAAGTCCCACCCCAGACAGCCACATACATGCATTCACACACATAGATTTTTCCAAGTAAGACCTCAGTGATTCTTAGTTAAAATTAATTATTTAATTAATTTTTAAAAAAACCTGGAGACTCTCATTCTGGAAAATAACAGGAAGCAAAATATTGGTCTGCCAAAAAATATAGTCCTGACTTAAAGATACATGGACATATTCTTTTTGTTCAGTTGTGTATTTTTCCTTCCTTCCTTCTTTCCTTCCTTCGTTCCTTCCAGAGATGATACAAATTCTCACTCTGCCAAAACCTCAGGCAAATTGTTTTGCTCACTATAAATTATATAATGCCTATCATATTCTGTAAGGTTGAAAGAGAAAATATATTCAAAACTGTTGGCACAAAGTAAGTGCTCAGTAAATGTTGGTTATTACTATAATCATTATTAATGACATTATTGCCCAAAGCACTCCCCTCTATGGATACGTGAGCTATATAATGAATTGCTGAGGGAATATGCTTCTGAATCCAAACATGGAAAATGCAGTATGGAGTTTGTTATTTCATTTGCCTTAAAGAGTGGCAACATCAATAGAAGCAGGCATAACCATGCTCCAAGGAAGGAGTAACAAGTGTTCCAGATAGAGCTTGGCTAGTAATTATTAAGGCAGTGTGAATACTAATGCCAAACTATGCGGCAATTTTACTCACTGGTGAGTGAATTGGCTATGTATTCAAGTTCGGTAATGTAGTAAACTAAGTAAGAAGGAAGAAAGTGACCTTATCTCATGAATTGGACAAAGAAACCCTAACTGATAATACCTTGCTGAGTACTAACTAGACACCAAGTACCCTCCCAGAAGAGAAAGGAGAGAAGAGCCTGATATAATCAGCACCTTTTTGGTTCTTCTAGAGGAAATTAGAATTGATGCAGGAGGCATTTAATAGGGAATGGTAAAACAGTTAACGGAGTATGCAGGAAGCCAGCTGCCCAAGCTGGTGATATAGCTTGAGTCTCCTGAGAAATGGGGCCAAGCACAGACCAGGGAATGATTCTCCTGATGAGTTTTTGAGTCAGGTGCTACTATAGATAGCCACTAAAAAGAGAAGAGTCTGGGTGTGTTAAATCCCTCATATACTTTACTTGTGTAAACATGTCACATAACCTTCTCCCACTCCAGAGTCATTCTTCCATCATACAAATGCAGATTCTGTCCCTAGATATCCCTAGGAGCACGCTGGCATCACAGGATGCTCTGAGATTGAGGTAGGGCAGTGAAGTGACTGCAAAGTTCCCCATCTCAAGTCCAGTGACTTCATGTCTCAGACAAGGCTGACTCCTCATCACTCAAACCCAAGTGTTTGATCTGTAGGGAGGACTCTAAACTAGCAGACACTGGCAAGGAGGCAAGACTTGAGAAAATCCTAACGGGTATTCAGTGTTAGGGTTAGGGAGTCAACCCACCTTAGATTGTGCTTTTACAGTTCTGAGCATGGCCCAGGAAATAGAAAAGTCTAAATTGCTATTTGCAGACATCAGTAGAATGGAGAGGCCAACCCAGCCACTTTCATATCTCCTACCTACTCAGTTACAGATAGAGAAATTCTCTGGAATATTTTTTTTGCTGCAGAATGAGCCATCATGTGTCTTTTTGTTCACTGATTCTTTGATTCACTGGTGTCTATATTACCCATGCACACCCCAAATATTTATTTATGCACCGGATTGCTTTGCTCTGCTCAATCATAAACCTATTTACTTACCAAGTGCTCCACAACTCATTCATTTTAATGCATATATTTAGTAACTCCTACAGAAAAGTCACTGACTCTAACTGAGAAGGTGTATGTCCTTTGCTGTAGCATGTACATTGATGAAAGCTGTTATCTATGCCATTCAATTTATTCTATCATGACTCTTAGGTATGAGGAAAGTGAGAACAGGAAGGAATCAAGGAAGTCCACACTTGTAGTCAGCAAATAGTATAACAAAGCAAGCATGCAAATTTGTCATATCTCCCACCTGTGATTTCTTTGGTTCCTCCATTGGTGTGCTTAAAGCGATCTCCTTCCACACGGACACTCGGACATAGCACATCTGAGAGAAGCAAGAGGAAGCAGATTAGCAATGGCCCACAAGATACCAGTGCCTGGAGAAGAGGCAGCACAGAAGTGCCACATTGGCTTGCTATTTCATTTACCTGCTATTGGTTTAGCCTCAGCTATGTAAATCCTGCAAATAATACATAGCCTCAGCTATGTAAATCCAGCAAATAAGCTCTAGCCTTTCATGTGGCCCTGACCCATGTTTGATCCTCTGCGCTATATATATATATATATATATATATATATATATATATATTTTATCTCACAGTGATTTTTTTTAAATTTTTAATAGTGAGACATCATGAGGTACAATTGCAGACTTACACATTTTTGTGCTTGGGTTTCACTGCCAGTAATGACCCCTGAGCACAAACAAATAATCTTAGGAAGAGCATCAATTTTTTTTTTTGGCTTTTTGGGTCACACCTAGTGATACACAGGGGTTACTCCTGGCTCTGCACTCAGGAATTACCCCTGGCAGTGCTCAGGGGACCATATGGAATGCTGGGAATCGAACCCCGGGTTGGCCGCGTGCAAGGCAAACGCCCTACCCACTGTGCTATTGCTCCATCCCCAGAGCACCAATTTTGAATTTAGAAATTCTAGGTCTAAAGATTGGTTATATTGATAAGTGTGGTGACCTGGAAAGCACTGAGCATCTGTGAGACAAGAGGTTACAAAGCACATACTTGCCTCAGGGTTGTTTTGAAGTGAGCAAGAGCAAGTCTTCAATAGAATAGGCCTAATAAGGAGGTTCTCTCTCTCTTCAATCTTGCCCCTAAAGCAACTTGGTGATTGCTCACCCTTCTCTTGAGGCAATCGAGCTACACACGATTATCATAATCACACATCATTCAGCAATTCCACCTTGCCATTAGTTTTATGTGCTATGACTTCTTTTCATATTTGGAAACTAGTTCAAGAGCTAGGGGGAGGGACCTATCTACAGTGAAGGTTAAGAATGAATCTTTCCAGATCTGGGAAGAGGTATTTTTAATGTTTATCCTACAAGGCACCGCAGGGTCTGGCAAGCTTCTTGGAAGGGGTTATTTTGGAAATAGCACCAAGCTGTCTGTCTAGGACCAAAAACAAGAGAGGATACAGTACTGTGTCAATATTTAGACAGCTCCACCCAGGACAGTGGCAGCTGTGGGGTGGCATCAATTGCCTTAATTCTGCAGGCAGGCCAGAGAGCCTGGCTGGGGATACTGCATTATTTAAAAGAAGTTGACTCCAAAGGTTCTGTCCTTGATTATGAGAAAATCTCTCGTGGCAGACCCTGAAACTCAGAACTTGCTTAGTGAGACTTATCTCTGTAAGAAACTCTAAGGAGGACCTAATTCCTAAGTGAGGATGTGTAAAAACAGTAAAAAGACCACTTCTGCAGAAAAGGTGAAGGAAGACTATTTTCAAAAAACTTAGAATTTGTTTGAACTATTTTAAGAACTCATTCCCATCAATAGAAAACAGTATGAAGACTCAAAAATAATAATTAAGTGTCCATATGATCTAACTAAGAACTCTAAAACACTATTTCAAAAGGACATTTGCATTCTTAAGTTCATTGAGCACTATTCACAATAACCAAGATCTGGAAACAGTCCAAGTGCACAAGAACATTCAGAGAGCAAAGGTACTCTGGTGTATATATACATATATATGGAATAAAATTATATATAATATATACATATATATGGAATATGATTCAGTATAAGAAAATATAAAGCCATACAATTTGCTGTAAGATGGATAGAATTAGAGATTATCATGCAGAGTGAAGTTAACTGAGAGGGACCAATACAGAATGATTTCTCTCATGTGCAGAATATAAAGAAGCATAACAAGCAAATAACAACTGGGTAGTGGCAATAGAATGGAGCCTGAAAATTTCACTACATAACATAGTCTGCCAAGAGGTTTAGATGGGGAGTGGGAGTATGGCAGAGGGACATGTACACTCTGGTACTGGGTATGGTGTTGGGACATATCATACTGGGAACTCTATTGTTAACATCACGGTAAATATATTTTTTAAAATAATTTAAATTTTAAAAATCTTAAGGGGCTAGAAAGATGGCCCCTGTATGTGTCTGGCCTGAATTTGATTAGCAGCCCATATGGTTTCCCAAACCTGCCAGGAGTTATCCCTGAGTGTAGAGACAGGAGTAAGCCTTGAGCACCACGGGATATGTTCCAAGAATCCAAAAATAAATTAATAAATAATTATTTTAAAAAATAAATAATTTCTAAGACAACCTGTATATTTACTTTGGGAGTCATTACTAACCCTCACAGTATTCAAAAGGCTTAAGAGGCAATTTAGAGCTGAATTAGTAAGTCAGGATGCATGGTTCCTAAAATACCCCTTCCAGTTTCCCTAGGAATATTGGACAAAGGTTATAAGAGATAGGGTAGCATCTAAAGTTCCATTAGCCCACAGCTATATTTACCCCTCCCAGATATTTTGACAACATGCATAATTTTCTATTATTTCCACATTGACTATTTATTTAAACCATAACATTTATAGAGCTGCAGAGATATTGCAGGGATGGAGATAGTCCTAGGAACAAGCACATGGTATAATAGTCACAGTTATGGTCTTCCAGGTACTCATAGGCTGACCATCGTGACAGAATTAGAATACAAAGTACACGGAGGTACTTTGCTGCTGTGACTGTGTCATATCTCTTAGTTCTTGTATTCTTCCTCTTCAACCTCTGAGGTACTGCAGCTCCCGAACCCATGCTCTAATTCACCCCTATCTTGGAAAGGATTTCCTCCTGTCCACCATGTGTCTGAGAGCAAATGGCATCAGGTTAAAGTGCTGAGTGGCCTACCTATGACTCCAATAATTAAGAGTATGAAGGCTTATCTGGACCGCTGATCAAGCCTATGGTCCAGGAACAGACCAATCTTGAGTTCCTGTAGAACACAAGTGACCAGTAAAACATGAGCTAAATGGACAATGTTGAATGGGAGACTAGATACTCTTCTAGACCAGGTTTCATCATGATGTAAGAAGGTCCCACAGATGCTCCTTCATAGAGGTATTGCAGATACCAGGAATCATTGTCAATCCACCATGCCTCCTCCTTTCTCTCTAAGGCAATACCACTTCTATTGCAAAGGGTGGAGTTCTCATTTCGAAGAGAAAAGAAATAGCTGGTTGTTCTCCTCCAATTATAGCACTTCTTTGTCCTACCAGGCCAGATATTCTTGTAGCTTAGGGCAGACATAGGAGCCATCTTTGGTCAAAGAAAAAAATATCAGAAATCTGATAGTACTGGGGGAAGGGTGAATTCTTTAAAAGCAAGAAAACAAACAAACAAACAAAAAACTTCTGCTGTCTCTGATGAAAGGAGATAGAGATGAACATGACTGTTGTACTTTCTTCCCCCACTGGATGTAGGAATTGATCTCTGGGAGAACTGAAGAGATAAGAATTCAAAATCGATAATCCCAAGACAGTGAAAAACAGTAAACAACAACAACAACAACAAAGGCCTTCTATTTGCTTACACTATCATAGTTGGGTTTCCTTTATTTATGCTGAGTATTAAAAAAATTGCACGCATCCTTTACTTGCAAGCAGCATTGATAAATGAGCTAAAGGATATGAAGTACAGATTATCTTTCCACTTTATGGGGAGGAGGCAGGAATTGGGCAGACCTGGATGTGATCAGGGCTTATGCCTGGCTCCTCCCTCACGGATCACTTCTAGAACTACTCAGGGAACCAAATGCAATGCCCAGTACCAAATCAGGGTGTGCACATACAAGACAAGCGTCTTAACCCCTGTGTTATCTCTCCAGTCTCAACTACTTATATTTTAGAATAACTGAGGTCAATGAATAAGGATAGGGAGAGTGGGTACTATATTTTCCCCATAAAATAGCTACTGAGAAACAAGGTTTCCTTCACTGTCCCAATCAGTATGTGTCATCAAGCAGTCATTTAGGATCAACCTAAGAAAGAATTCTGGAAATAAGGGCAAGGTTAAGTTCTCAAGAATCAAAATGTGTATTAAATTAGTTCTTAGTTTGTGGCTTGCTTTACCTTTGGGATGCTGTGTTAACACATAAACTGGGCTGGTAAAATAGACCTTGATTCTTGGGAGCTCATCTATTGCCATCCCTTGATAGTAATTTTTCCATCAGTCTTTGTCTAAGCATAAAATCCCAGACTTCTGGGGTAAAAAAAAGTGTTATCTATTCCCACAGTGTGAATTTCACTAAACCAGAGCAGCCATTTGAAGGAAAATGCAAGGAATTCACTGCAAAAATATTACAACCTAACTTGTACTGGCAACAAATACCAAGAGGAGAGTGTTTACTCATTAGGGAAAAGAAGTGTTTGACTGATATCTTTCTACCTTAACTGACAAACCCTGGGTTCTATTCAGAGATGGCATAACCTGACTATTCCTTGGATCTCAGACAAGTTTCTATAACTGGAAAAAGAGGATTCTGGCCAACATTTAATGGTAAACATCTATCAAATGTTTACCTGTATTTTTTTTAAAATAACCATTCCTGGTGGTCGATTTGGTCCTTATTACTGAGTCTAAGAGACATGAAGAATCCAGATAAAAGGAATTCCTAAATTGAGGGTAAGGTTTGTAGCAGGCTACTTTTATCTATTTGCATGCACCCTTCTTGCATGCAGCAGTAATAACTGAGCTAAAGGATATGAAGCTAAAGGATACGAAGCACAGGTCGAATGGGCCACCTCCATGCTACCTCCATTCTATTCTATGCTAGAATGTGGAAGTGGGGATAGCAGCAGAGCTGAGGAAACAGGCAGAATAGGGAGAAGCGGAGAACAGAGACAAGACAGCTCAGCAAGCAGTGTGGAAGGAATCACTGTCCATCACCTCAAAGGAGCCACTATGCCCAACGCCAATAACTACGACTAGATGGTGACATTTTAAGTGGGTTCAAGGGTCTGAGAAAGGAAGTGATGAATCAAACCCCCAGAAGATTCACATC